TTTGTTTTATTTTTTTATTTAAATTGGGGTCACTAAAATGTTAAATAACTTTCTTTTTCTTTGGTTATTTATTACTCTCTTTATTTGTTTATATGTCAAAATTTTCATTCGATATTTGTCACGAGCGATCGAAGAGTAGTCGAGTAGTCAATAAATTTTTCTTGTGAAACTATTTCTAGAGTGTGCCTCATGTTTGATGTTTATATTAGAATTAGTAAAAGAATTAAGAGAATTTAGAATAATATTAGAGTAATTTTCTGAGTGCGATCATACAGATTCTGAGTTCAGGTAAAATGTTAAAGCTACGGAAAAAACTGTAAAATGTTAAAGCTATTATAATTAACGATACATTAAATATCAATTATAACTTTAACCCTTTTAAGACATATAGAACATATCTAATGATTAATGGATACCTTTAAATCCAGTTTTATCACTTAGAAAACTATGAACATTCTTTTATTTCCTCAAGATTTCAGTAATGACCACCCCACATATTCTTAAAATATATGCTTATATCGTTAACATAGTAAAAAAGAATAAAATTATTAAATGAAATTTAAATATATGGATATGAATATTTTTGTCTTAGAGCTGAGAATTTAAAACCTCATCCCATATCAATATTAACTTTAATTTAACTAGTAAAGGTATTAACAGAAATATTGCATAATAACTAAAACATAAAAAAAAAATTAGTTTAATATTTTTTATATAATTAAACATTTGATGCAATAGAAGTATGTTTATTTTTTTAAAAAAAATTATATTTCTTCGAAAGCTAAATACAAGATAAAATGTGTTAATCAATTAGTATATTTTTATAAAATGTGTTAATCAATTAGTATTATGATACCCCTCTCTAAAAATATGACAAAAATGTAATATTAAAAATAGATTACATAGATCTATAAAATTTATAGTGCTAGGGAGGAGGATTATCCTCTTTGTTGAGGAGTTTAATAACAAGTTCTACATAAATATTATTATAAATATTGATTCATCAAAATTAATTAGATTATATGGTCATATCTAATTAGATAAGATATATTATGGATATGATTGTATTCTAATTATGATTATCGATTAATAAAAAAAATCTAATTATGACAGAATTTTTTAGAATATAATATTAATACGAGAGACTCTCATAATTACTTATCGTAAACCTTTTGCTTTCGTCTATAAATGGATATGACTTCATAGGGACTCAATATGGATAATTAGATATATAGATATGGAGATAAGAGGAGATGTAGATATGTGATATTATTGAGAGATTATAAATATTTTTTCATCTCCCCTTAGTCACATAAATCAATCATTAAGATATTATATATATTCTCTCATCTCTTCTTTATCCTTAATCCATCAATCATAGTGGTCCTATAAAAGATATGAAGAAAAAAAAAGATGAGTCTAATTCTCCTTACATATCAATAGAAAGGAAGTTCAAGTATGATAGGATTTCTTATGATAAAACATTGATAGGAAGAATTCTTCTAATTATTTATCTTAGGCTTTTTGTTCTCCTCTATAAAAAGATAAGACATCATAAATATTCAAAATAGATAATTAAATATGCGGATATACAAATAAAAGGGGACATAGATGCGTAATATTATTAAGATATTATATATCTTCTCTTATCTCTCTTTAGTCACATGAACCAATCATTAGGATATTATAAATCTTCATTTTATTCCTAATCCATCGCTTATAATGATCATGTGAAATATAGATAGAAAGAGAGAAGAAAATCTAATTATCCTTACATATCAACATTGCTAGTCTGCTCATAAATAAAATAAAAGCTTTCTAAATGATATCGAAAGATACACCTCATAAATTTAATTTATTGATTAATTTTATTTTAGATTTTAATATTAATTTTTTTTGTATAATTGAAACATAAGGATAATTGTAAACAATTGACTATAAGAATTTATTGTATCAACATGAACCAATAAGAAGTAATTAGAGGATACAAGGAACTTCTTGTTTCTTCGTTGTTACACCAGGGGACATGATAAACCAACCACAATGCTTATTTAGCAACTACAATTTACGACATGGAACAACTACTAAAGAGGTCCCCTTATAAATCTTGAATGGGCTACAATTTGAGAGCTGGCATAACTATAACACTGAACATACATCATCTTTTATGCTTTTATTTTTTTTGATTTTACAATGAGACCATCATCATTGCTACAGTTGATCCTTTTCCTTGAAGTGAAACCTTCATTCCTTGATGCCTGCAAACTCTTTGAACTTCCTGGCCTATCTTGCTTACTGGATTTGATTGGAGTGCCTGTTCTTAGCTGTTGCTGTCTCTTTTGCTTTCTCTCATATGCCTTCTTTGCTCTTTCAGGAGATAGCAAACCATGTTCCATCATCCTATATGCAAAGGCGATGAATGCAAGTAATAAATTAAACGATAACTTTAGATTTGTAGGGATCACAACTCATATTTCTTAAATTGAAGACACTAACTGAAGCTGACTGCCATGATTTCAGAAGCATTTACACACTATGATTGTAGGAAAAACAAACAAGCTAAAGGAGTCTGAGATAAGTTGATTTGTTTTTAGCATTTCATGCACTATAAAAGCAACACGGAGTGTTATGAAAATCAGAAGCCTTCTTAACCAAAGTCATATTAGTTCAATGAATAAATAAACAGAACTTTTCATTTACTTTTGCACAGGAAGTGTATTTTTGTAGCAATATCCAATTTATCAACTATTTCAAATTTTTAGAGTTGGTGACATATGCCATTTCATCCACAAGAAAACAAAAAATGAAAAAAATCAATAGCCCTTTCAAATGGCTGATTGATGCCTTTCTCATATAAGATCAATGAAATATTTAAAAAACTAACCAAACTTTTACAAATTTTACTTGTAATGACAGTTGGAACATCCAAATTACTTTATCCAATGTAATAAACAAAGATCTGCTACTTCATCAATTACTAGTGTGATACTTTCAAATCTGTCTTATATGGAGGAGGACTATCTAAAGGAATTATTTGCAATATCCTGTAAGTCCTACTTCAAGAGTAAATAAAAAGTATCATGGATTTTTATAACATCCAGCAAATTAACAAAATCAATCCTTCAAAACATTGTCAAAAACCAAGAACAGAAAAGCAAAGAAAATTAACCCAAGTATAGTTAACGTTCTTCTAACTGGAAAAAAAAAAAAAAAAAGTGACTGTAGTATGGAATTGGAAAAGAACTCACCAAAATTCTGCCATTTCGCTTGACGGAATTTGCTTTGATAAGGATTCATAGAATATCCTCAGAGGTTCCCTCTGACAAAGAACAAACAACCACAGGATGTGAAACCATCTAATGACCTCCACCACACTACAACAAGTTGGTCTAATATGAGCATCTTTTCACTAGTTAGATACCTCTTCGGGGATGTCATACTTCTGACCAGGCAAAGCATAGACTTTCTTCTCAGCTTTCCGTCTGGTTGTCTTCGTGACAGTTTTCGATGAACTTGTTACTTTTTTCCCCTTCACAAGTATCCCAAAATCAATTTCACAATAACAATTAAATAACATGGTTTACAAAAAGAATCAAATTACAACTCGAAGACATGGATCGAAGGAAGTCATTCATATGTCCGTGCTCTAACTGTAAGAGGAAACCAAATCTAGGAAAATGCTTGAGACCCTCCAAAAACCAATCTAATCCGCCCATAACGAACATGCAAGCGCATAAACCAAATTTATCCATTTTATATTGGATTGTCGAAAGGAAAAGGGGATAAAGGCCACAAGAAACTGAAAAGAAAAGCTCGTTATAAATCAAGCTTTTGTCACCTCCCAAATTCTGCAGGTGAGCAAGAGAAAGAAAAGCAACAAATCAAAGATCACGTTTTGAAGCCGCAAATCGGCTTTGATTGAAACGAAGGGACCAGCAGACCAAAAACTCGTGTGTTGATTACCATCTCAATCTAACAAGAAACCATAAATCGTGCTAATTCTCCGAACAAATTGGAATCTCCTTACCTCCAGCTTAGAAACAACGTTGACGGGTTTCTGCTTGACGACCGAGATCGATTTACCAGGTCCAACCACCTTCTTCTTCACGTCCGGCACGGCGGCCCCTTTCTCCTTCCCGCCGCTCCCCTTTATCGCCCTCGACGAAGACATAGCCAGCAATCCGACGCCCGCTCTTCAAAGAACTAAAATTGTTGGATTACTAGAGAAGTAGACGAGAGATTGAAGAAAGAAGAGATAGAAAGAGCCACCCCTTCTCTTTCTCCCTTGGCTTTTTGGGACAGTTGTGAATAGGGAATGATCAACCCAACTTATAAGCCTAATCTGACTCGAACTTGTAATATCTAATCCTAATCAAATTTAAAATTACAATTCTAACAGAAAAAACACAGGATCTTGCGGTCGGAGCGCGGCGGAGAGGCTCAGACGAGAACCCTCTACTTGCCGCCGCCGCCTCGGAGAAGGCAAGTCGAGCAGCCAAAGGAGATGGGGCGGGCCGTGGTTGATTGCGCCATGGGTGGTGACGGGAGCTTTGCCAGCCCCAATTGTACTACCGGAGGGCACTTTGGCCATTTTGCGCTTCTTTCACTGACTCTAAATGCGTCAAAGGTTTTCTCGGTAAATACGCTCCGCATAGAAATTAGTATAAGGAAGTCAGATCCGCCGTCCATTAGCACACTGAGGCATACGAACGGCCGGATGAGAACAGAGTGATTCGGCCCGCTTGTTTGGGCTTAGCCCAAGTAATGAACGGGCCACAACAGAGATTCACATGGCGGAGATTTTGACGTGGTCATCCCTATTACTAAATACGGATCTCTCATCTTGTTTTGATTGGACGGAGGCGAATGTTTCGATTGCTTTTGTTTGAGGACATGTAACATGGTGTTGTCTAATCTCAACGTTGCATGGTTAGGTTTGGGTCCACGCTGCTCCCACGTCGAGATGACAAAGCTCGTAGTTTAGCAGGCAGGAATGAATCTACAGCACGCATGCAGTCTAAATTCCAATTATATTGACATGATAACTCTTTACATGAAGAAGAAGGATCCTAGAATGCGAGAACTGCGGTAACTATAATATTATAATAAGCTCTCCTTCCCATGGCGCTCCGGCTTTTTTTTGACACAGTCACTGACACAACCACCCTCCTCCCGTCATATCTCTGTCAACCGCGTACGTCCCTCTCCCTGCTCTCTCTGTCACCCCACGCCATCGGCTCTCTGACACGCTGCCTGTGAAGGCCTACTTTTGCACCCACCAATCGGTATCCGAGAAAGCACCGGCCCCGCTCCGGGGAGCAGTCCTCTTCATGGGCGTCCGATGGCTGTGTCAGTCGGGAGATCGAGACGGCCGCTCTCCTGCAGCGCGCGCAGCAGTTGCGCCCCCTTCCGTCTACCCCGCGCGCTGCACTCACCCTGCATCGCCGCCACCACCGCCCTCCCCACCTCCGGCGGTGCCTCCCCCGCCGCCGCCCCGCCGTAGATCGCAGCCATCACACCGATGGCGCACTCCCTCCCCCTCCCCGCCATCCCCTCCACCGCCCCCGCCAGCGCCGCCGCGGCCGCGGCGTGTGCCCGCACCCCCGCCGCCCCATCCGCCACAGTGCACAGCAGCTCCAGCGCCGCCAGCGCCCGCTCCGCTGTCGCGCCCGCAGGCCCAGACGCCGCCACCGCCTCCAGCGCCGCAGACGCTGCCCCGGCCTCCACTGCGGCCCGCCGGTTGTGCTCCGCGAGGAGTAGCGCGAGGAGCACTTTGGCCGCCGGCCGCGCCGAGGCTGGCTCCCGCAGGGCGGCCACCACGCCGGCCATCACCGGCGGAGGGCAGGGTATCGGCGTGGGAGAGGAGTCCGGTGCGAGGGACCTCTCTAACAGGCGCAGGGCCGGGAGGCTGGCGCCGGAGGCGAACTGGAGCTCTGCGGCACGGAACGCCTCCGCGAGGTTAAAGGAGGCGGCGTGGGAAGGGTCAAGGGCCTGCGGCCCGCGCTCCGGCTCAGGCGTCGGTTGCTGTTGGTGGTGGTGCTGCAGGGGGAATCTCCACTGGGTGAAGCTCTGGGAAGTAGAGGAGGAGGAGGAGGAGGAGGAGGAGGTGGACGGAGGAGGGCGTTCGGGCTCGGTCGGCCGGGGTGGGTCGGGGGCTGCGGACGGCTGGGGCGGAGGAGGGGGCGGAGGCGAGGCGGAGGGCGGCGGGGGCGTAGCCGAAGGAGGCGGCGGGGAAGCGGAGGCCAAGAAGGTGGCGGCGGAGGGGGGAGGAGTGGTGGGGCTGAGGGCGGACTGGGTGCAGTTGCGGAAGATGCCGCAGGAGAAGAGGGGCCGCGGTGGTGTCTTCAGCTTCGCATGGGGGCTCTGGTGGCTGCTCCGGCTCATGGCGGCGGCGAGTGGCACAACCGTGAAAGGGAGCGCACTCCGACAGCGGAGAAGAGCGAAGAGAAGCTACCGAAACAAGAGCGATGGGAGAAGCTTATATCCTCTCCGCGACACGGGTGGAGGGCGTTGATGGTGGGTACTTGAGGTGCGAGTCCCATACACCATCGTTGCTCTGTGGGTAAAAGATCCGTCAGAGTGGGCCAGCCCAGTATCTACCGCGGGACTGGATGAGATAGCGGGGCCCTTCCCACCGAGAGCCGGCACGTGTTGGTGGGGCAGCGGAGAACGTGGATGAGTCGGGTGCCCCTGAGATCGATGATTGGTGGCGCACGTGGGGATGGGGCCGACGTCCGTGACGTGGCTATCGGCGGTTGGGCGGGTTCGGTACCGCGCCCGCGATGTGGGCTTGCGTGTCAGGATAAAGTACGCCATCGAGACCGTTCGGCGCGCCGAAAGTTCGTCCAGATTCGCGCTTTGATGGGCCTAAATGGGCTTGGGCTTATTACACGATTCTACATCTCGTAATGGGCAAAAAGAGATTTCATCCTAAAAATAAATACGATGGGATGGTCATCAATCCATCAAATTAATGCATTTCTCGTGACAAAGTATCAGCACATATCCCAAAAAATAAAAGACTACGCAAACTTCAAAGCCATATTTTAGCTATTCCACGCTGTTAGAACCATAATTAAATGTAATTAAGCATCTAATTAAGTTGATCATACATGCCAAAAGATAAAACTGCCCTCTCTGAGTAACAAATGATGTGACAGTCAGATGATAACAATGTGATAAATAAATACATCATGTTGATGTGACAATCAATGATAATGATGCAATGCTGGACCAATAATTACTCATACGATACTGCATCATGGTCATGTCAGCATGATGTGACAGCCACAATAATTTATTAACCTGGACGTGGAAGGTAAACACTCACTGAAGAACTGGGAGAGAGCAAGGCAAAAGCCTGACACTTTCAGGTAATTGCCCAAGCTTTCATCAGAGTGCACTGAGCAGGAATCCAAAGAACACGTACATGGGTCCATCTTGTTCGCTACATTTGCTGGTCTCACAACACCGAAGCTTTTCTCCTAGCAGCAAACTCACCAAAGAGGCCATTGTTAATGGATCAGAAAGAAAATTCATTGTAAAAAATAAATAAATTTAGCCCCTCAGAATGACTAAATAAAATTACTCACATGCGATACATCTCATGCTGATCAGCATGGTTGCAGTTTTTAGGAAGACAGAGATGCTGTAGTCATATAAAAATGATGGAGAACGACATAATGAGATGATGACCGCTAGTGGAGAAGGGAACAATGCAATATTCTGAATGCATGCTGTATATTATCTTTCACACTGTATAATGCTATTGACATGACTTCTCTGTTTCGGAAACATTGCATGTTAGCTCATAATTAACAATGGTACTTACTCCACATGGACAAATATAATATTATAATTTGAACATTAGATCAAGGACAGGATATTAAAAGTTGCCACCATAATGGATAGGCACACAAAATGTTATGGTAGCAGTAAATATCAGAGATCATATCGAGGAAACCATCAAGAAACCCTGGATAGATGAACATCAAAGACAAGCACAACATCATATCACATGTTTAATCCAGTCTATTTTGTTTCATCTGAGGAAGACTAATGATGGATGAATAGACAGCCCCAAACTTGAGGTCTGTTCTACAACAGTTTGATGTTTCAGATAGCTGGTAGTTGTCATTGATGTACCACGTCAGGTATGCCTTGCAATTGATGCTTTCTTATATGAAAAGGAAAAAGGATGGAGACTGACTCAATTGAAATGTTTACTATCGGAAAGATACAGGTAAAGGGCCAATGATAGCACCATGCCATTGAACAAGAACTATGTTGCAAGAATTTCAGTCCACATGCAATAGAATGTGTCATATAGATAAAATCCATCTCAAAAGAACACTTTTTTATTTCAGGAAGTACCATGCGGTCATAAGGTTATAATGCACCAAGCTGATCTTCCAAGATGTTGCTAGTCCCAGCCAGCTCTGACACTTCATCGTGGCCCTTGGTGCTGGGAATGGGATCAATCATGCATGAAAATAAGATCATACTAGCAGAAATTGCAAGAGATCACCCTGTAGTTTTTTGACTAGAGATCTAAAATTCTTCAATGAATTTATGTCTATAGATGCAAATAAAAGCTTCAATGAATCTAAAGTTCTTAATATATATAGCACATGGTCATAAGAACATGGAGATCAATGTTATTTCATAGTATCTATGACCAGCTGATGGGTTATGATAATTTTGAGTTGAATCTATAATATTCAAGCAGCTAGGATACAACAATATCCAAGATCAGAAAAGTAATTAGTTCACTGGTGATGCATATACTATAAAAGCATAGATTGTTCTCAATTCTTGGTAAAAGTTAAACTATGCTTTCTTCAAGTATATGAAAGGAGAGAACTCATCTGCAGTTTGTGTATCAGACGATGGATTTCAATACCTGACCATATATTTTTCAAAAACAAATTCATGATAACAACGTGCATCAACAAAGGAGAATAAAGGACCCACTACTAATCAGTACCAAGGACAAATACCATACTTAAGCTGAGAGATGGAATTATAATTGACATGCTTGTTAATTACTCATCTGAGGATCAAGGCTGAAGTGAATAGGATCACTAGTCATATTAAAACATACGAAATTCCAGATCTGAAATCTTCATGATCCTCAGCCTTCTGCAACGATTACTAAACATTCTGCAAAGGCATAAAACATATAAACACAGTGATCAAATTAGGGTTTACTAACTCTATTATGGATGATTACTGATTAGTACATCAGAGGTCATGCTGTGGCATGGCTGATGTGTAAAGAGTAAGATCTACAACATAATGCTACCGTTCATCCATACAGGAAATGGTCCCATCCATCAATGTAAACACTCAAGTCCTTGGTTGGCAAAAAGGAACTTATTTCCTACTATCAGAAAGTATAATAATGAAGAAAATAAAGAAATTCCGATCATCTTTGTTTAATAACTTAATGGTGATTAATGCCTGCTCTCACAAGGGCTTATATTTTTATTAGGTACGCCAAGGCTGACAATTTTAACATTCACCATCTCACTCACTAAGTATAGTACTCAAACTGCGAAAATAAGGGAAAAGGAGACAAACATAACACATAAAAGTAATTTTTGTGACCACTCCATCTTGATCATAACTAGGGGAGTTTGTAGATTTGCATAATGTCATACTCACTCTGAAGGTATATTGATGATGAGCATCCAATACCCATCTCTTGTCTTCATAAGTACATACTCAGACCCTTGATAAAGATCCATCATCCAACCCTAGCTTCGCCCTTCTCTGTAGTCTGTATGTTGTTCCATCTGAAATTCATTGGCCAGACAGCAAGAAATACAGGCACAAGCAAAGCTCTCGTCGTACAACAATAATCCAAGAAGCTTAGATGGTAATGCATCATTCAACTGGGAACTCTTGTGAGGTAAGAACTTTGGCACTCATGATTATACCATGAATTCCCGTGCATCTATATAAGTGCACAAGTTTACATTCTGAATCTCTGATTGTGCTGGAAGGCATGTTGTACAATAGACTATAAAAGGTTACTTTGTCTTTTCTTCCTGTCTGTTATGATTTTCTTTTTCCATTTACTATGCATGCTTATGTCGTTGTGCATGCATTGGCACATCACATGCTGATAGAAAATACTATTCCAAGAACTAATTGCCAATGGGGGCATGACATGGTAAAATAATACATGGGTCAGAATAGCTTAATATTTGACAACAGACACCTAAAATCAAGAATATACAATATTACTTGAGTAGACACAATATGGATCTGATAACAATGAGAACTTATTTAGGTTTGCCATCAACAGAATTAAATGTAAAGAGAAACATAATGAAAAGATTGTCCATCTTTGTTGCAAAACTACATATATAAGCAGTTGTATATGACGACAAGGCTCCAAAAAAAGAAAAATACCCAAACTATTCAGTCAGCTCAACATCAATACATTAAAGTATCCCATAAAACCCACTAGAACAGAAACAAAGAAACAAATAAAAGCACCTTAACTAACTTTGGTATAATAAAATAACGAACACAGTAACGATATCTGCAACAGTATTAGGCACTTGTAATCATGACTTACCATAAAGCGCCCGCTATAGCACTTTAATTAAAATTGCTAATATCTCCCTTCTAATCCAAGAGATCAGTTTCTAAGGCTTCACAACTCTAGAGCACATACCAGTTATATAGCATGTACCACTGATCTCAAATTCTTTAAAGCAAACAAAGAATTGAAGCTACCAAGTCATGTAATTATTTGCAAGCAATAGAGAAGACCGAAAAAGTTGTTCCAATGCATTGGAAAATGACATAGCTCACCCATAGTAAATCAGGTAAACATCTTCTCGGGTGCCGAAGAATGCTCCTTAATGCTGGAACAGTTTTTAGATAACTTTTCTTAGGTATGGCTCTCCATCCATGCTAAGCTTAACAACAAGGCATTTGATAGTACACCCCGATTGTCGAATTATGCCAAAAACTAAAGACCATGAGATAAAATCCTGATATAATATAGAAACACGAAACATGAAAATGCTCAAAGTCTTAAATGCTAACTTTTAATTGATCTGCAGTCGTATGAACTTTATTTGTCTTTGTTACCTTGGAACCAAATTCCTGTCGACACCAAATGAGCAATAAGCAATTCCACGGTTAGCACTGATATGTAGTTCATCCACAAATTCCAAGAGCTTCCTGGAGAATCAACCACAGGGCGATCAAACACTTCTACGAATTAAGACTTAAGTCATGACCCAAAGCGAAAATGAAAATTTCGGTTTCCCAAGCCTCATAAAGTACAGCAGGCAAATCACTAAAATCAGAATCTTTAGCAGCTTCAGCTTGTGCCCTCGTGCCGAGAACAAAACCCTACCTTTGCCTAATTCCACCTCAGATCACGGTCCGTCTAGCGGAGTCCCACTTCGGGGTCTAATTAACGGCGTCGGAGAACCCGCTCCACAGTCTCCTCGGGGTTGAGGGGCTTCGTCGTGGGAGGAGAGCTTCCGGGAGTCGTCCGAAGAGATCCGATCGTTTCGCAGAGGAACCGCGATCGTCGCAAGTACTTTTGCCTCGCCATTAAGCAAACCTATCGATCGATGACAGATTGGTTCATCATTGTTTGCATGTTGCCACGTGGACAAAAATATTGTCGCAAGTATGATCGGATCGGACACCATCTTCTTAGTTCTATAGTTTGAACACAAGCGTTGCTATCGGAAGCATCACTATCGATATATCCATAAGTTCCAATTGTCATCTTGAGAAGATAGCAAATATGCCGGTCCAGCAGCGGCACTAACATCCGTCGGATCAAGATCGGAAGGGCCAGATCGACTCCAGCAACAGGCTCCAATCGAATCGGCCCGGCCCGGCCCGGCCCGTCTGTCGTCGGGTCAACTGCACGAATTTATCCACTTCAACAGTATCCCCCGCGGGGGCTTTCATTGTCCGTCAGATCTCCATCGGACGGTGGATTGGAGCAATCCTGATATGTCACGCTCCCCGCCCCTCATACCTGCTCTCGGTCCCGCGACGAGGCCGTCGTTTCGCAGGAGCGGACCGCGCCTCCACCTCCTCTCTTGGGCTCGTCCCGTGCCTCGGCTCCCGCGGAAACGCCGTCATCAGCCCACCGGGAGGGTGTCGTGTAGCGAGATATCTTGCGTTCGAAGAGGATTGAAGCACAGCATCTCGTCTCCCTTCGAAATCCGATCCGGTGATCTCCGGAACCTTCTTTCGTGGCGTTCTCTTGCTTCTGGGGTTTTGGATTCCGAGGTGGTTTCTTGTTGTTGTGGTATTGTGGTGGATCTCAGCCCGAGCAGAAAAGTTCCCGTTTTGGAGCGTCCCTGGTGTGATCCGATGGGTTTTTTTTTCCCTGACCGATATCTTTCGACTTTGAAGTGATGGGTTTCGGTAGCTTCTGTTGCAAATCTCATCTCTTTGTCCTCGATGTGGAAGATGTGGTTGTCTTTGTCCTTGAAAGCTGATATATTGGAGCATATGAATTCTTTTAGAGATTCCATTTCTTCGGTTCTTTTTTCGCTGAAGTCGATAGCTTTTTCTTGCTTTGGATTGAAAAAGAAACAAAGAAGGAACAAAAGGTGATCGACTTTTAGTTTTGGTTTTAGGGGAAGTTCTTGAATCGAAGTGAAGCTGATTAGTCCTGGTTGACGAGAAAAAAGAAGCCTTTTTGGTTTGCTATTTGATTGTTCAATGGAGTTGCAATTTGATCGGGTGATTCGTTAACATTACTTCGTTTACATTGTAAATGGCATCATTCAGAAGAAATATACCTGGGGCGCGGCGAGGTGGAGCTGTGCATATTGGCGAAGAATCAATAGATGCCGATGCCTTCACCAAATTATCTCATTCTGAGACCTATTTGGCTGCAAGAAGATTGCTAAAGTCATTCTTGAATTCACTGGTGAACAGGATTTCGGATGGTGTTGCTGGTCTATGGCTGCGACCATCTTCTCGGTTTGTGGACAGGTCCAAGGCAAAGGGGATACGCTGGAAGAAAGTTCTTTTGCATATCTCCATCTTTTTCATGATTGGGATATTCATCGGTTTCACCCCGTTTCAGTCTGTGGATGTTTCCAAGAATTTTTCGTCTCGACATCAATTGTTCTCCTTTAAAGACGATCTAGCAGCTTTAGATACTCATAGGAAAATCTATATGATGCAAAAGGAGGTTCAGAAAACTGCTAAGGCAGAAAGAAAAAAGAATGAGTCGCATGATACAATGGATGCATTACCTGCAGCTCTGAGTGTGGAGTTAGAATCTCACAAGCTTCTAATTATTGTTACTCCAACTTATGTTCGGCCATTTCAAGCCTATCATCTAAACCGCCTGGCGCACACATTAAGAAATGTACCACCTCCTCTGCTCTGGTTAGTCGTGGAGACATTCACAAGGTCTAGTGAAACTGCTAAGATCTTGAGAGGATCTGGGGTCATGTACAGACATCTTGTGTGCAAACAGAATGTCACATATATAAAGGATACTAGTCTGAATATAGCTCTTTCTCACATCGAAGAACACCGTCTTGATGGTATTGTACACTTTGCAGATGATAATGGGATATATTCCATCCATCTCTTTGATCAAATGAGACAAATCAGGTACTTGCTCTTAAATTACTTATAAATCTGCATCCTTTAATGCTAGTAGACATGATGAGTTTCTCAAGTCACCAATTAATATTTTCTGCAGCAAGATCATATATATATATATATATATATATATATATATATATAATGACTCGCCTCACCCACATTTTTTGTGACTTAGAGGGCTAAGAATATTAAAACTTACATTTTATTTTCACCAAGGAACAATAACTTCTTTGTGCATGATTGCTTGAATTGGTTTGATTTTTGTTTGGATGCATTTATTTTTTTTGGCAATGATTTATTTTTTTATGAAACTAAATTTCCCTTGTTTTTTTGTATATAACATATCAATAATTTACATAGTGAAGAACCATCGATTTTAGTGTTTTATGGGTTATCTCACAATAATATTTGGTGCTGTATGCTTCACTGTGTCTATTTAAGAATTATCAAATTTGAATGACAGCATATCCATTTTGAATGACCATCACAAGTTTGCAATTCTGATTAAATATTCAATTTGTTTCTTTGTGTTGATGCCTTTCTTGTTCAATGCTTTGTTTTTCTTGCCGTTGAAAGGAACAAATCATTAAAAAATGTTCGATCGTTCACAATTTCAGTTTTACAACAGACACACTACTTGGTTACTTGCAATGGTAATTTGCTTGGATGCAGAAGGCAGAGAGCCAAGCTGATATATGACCATGCAGAAACCGAGACAGTGTGAGAGATGAGAGACTATGAATAAGCCCTATACAGTGAGAATTATTTAGAAAAATAAGGTTATAGTGATCCAAAATCATCACGCCTACTAGTAATATTGTTCAGAATATCTTAACCATCTTCCATTATCTAAGCTTTCATTGTAGCTTCTACCTCTGGTTTATATCATCGTTGGTGTGATCCTTAATTTGTGACCTGCAGGCTATTTGGCACATGGCCTGTTGCCATTGTCACTGGTGCTGGCAAGCAAGTTTCAATAGAAGGACCAGTTTGCAATGGCAGCCAAGTCATTGGATGGCACAGGAATCTGAGCAAGATATCTCAAAGACTCCACACTACCATGGCAACCTTTGCATTTAACAGTACTGTACTATGGGAACCCAATAGATGGCTCCGCTTGAATCCTGAACCTAGACGAAAACATGATCTAATAGAGGAAGATTCCGAGGTTGGTTCACTAACTTTTTTTTTCTAGACATTATATGTATTCGTGGAACAAGTTTCCGTGTATTTTCTTCTGTACGAAACTCTATACTTCGACATTAGAAGTACTGCACACAGCTTGTAGCCATAGTTACTTGTATGGAAAATGATAAATTGATATCATTCGCTTGGCACATCTCTTTATCTTTGTTTAGTTTGTCACAAGCATAGATGATCATAGAAAGAGACCAATGTGCATTTATGTTTTCAGGAGACTGCATTCATTGAAGAACTGTTTGAAGATGAAAGCCAAATGGAAGGTTTAGCAAATAATTGCTCTTTGATCATGGTTTGGCACCTTCGAGTAGAAGCTTCTGAAACGAGATATCCCAAGGGCTGGTTGATGCAGAAGAACTTAGATGTTGTCATTCCTCTAGCATGACAGATGGTTGAATCACCCCATCAAATGTAAAAAAACTTCTTTTCTTTCTTTATTGGATGCTTCATATCTTCTCTTTAAATCAAAATCTTCATTTCTGCTTCATATTTTTGTCATGTAAATGGATGCTTAGACTTCTCTGAGATGGTTACTGAATAGAACTTGTTTCATATCCTGGGAAATCCAAATTGAGCTGCAGCAGCTGCTTCTGCTGACATAACCAAATTTTGATTGCTTCAACCATGAAACAAGGCTTGGTCTCTTTGATGTGGATGTTTCCTATCATACTTGGTTGTATCAACATTGTCTCATCACCAATGCTACTTTACAGCTTAGCAATTCTCTAATTTTCATGGAGATGCTGAATTATGTAAAATTATGAATTCATAGAACCAACAACAAATACTGAATGCAAGGTGATTTGGCACTACTTGTTTGCATCCACAAAAGAAAAATAATTTTTTTTATCAATTAAAATCAAACCGCAAGTTCTCTCTATACAAATATTCTTATACGCATCTCATGTAAATTTGAAAAAAGAAATTATTTATTTTTTCATTCTCTCTAGTAATCTACATTTACTCTGCTACAAGTGTTTCAAACAGTTTCACTAAATCATAATTTACAAGATTTTTTTTTGAAGTTTTATTATTCTTTAAATTTCTTGTCCTCCTAACACACCACATGGAAAAAAAAAATACTTGCAGCTACAATAAAAATATAAAACTATATATTTTCTTTTCCTAATGATGTCATTTATTTGATTAGAAGTTGAAGAGCCAAATCTACTATTCTTCGGAGAAATATTATAATAATCCATGTTATCTTCATGATAATTGGGTTGATTTATAGTGTTAATGGATATAAAATTTCCAAACAAACTTAAAACATCTTAAATCAATGATTCACTCAAGTTAATAATTTAATATTTTAATAAAAAAAATGAACACATTTATTTTCGTATTTGAATCTGATGACCCCTATGTAAGATCGATGGCCTCAAATGGACGATCGACATGCTCTCTTATTAACGACAACTGAAAAATCTCTAAGACTCATCGTATCCAAAATCCGAACCGTTTATCACCTACCAAAATCTTATTTCAGATAAATCCATCCCGACACATATTGAACAGCCAAGATTAGTCTCCAGAAACCATATCCAGACCTGCGGGCCGTCCGATCTCCAAATCGGGTCCATCCTACGGTGGAGATGAGGTTTAACGTCGCCAAGCACGAACTGCGACGCACACGTCTTATTTAAACGTCACCGAATCCCCGAGATCACGACGCCTATGAATTTTAGCCGTCGGATCAGTTAACGAGTTGTAAACCTTCAGATGTGTTCCTTTTTCTCTTTTAATAAATTATTATTCTTTTATCTTTTCGGAAGATTTCTTAGTTTTAGATGCATAGTTTTGAGACAGGTCTCTTCTATGTCCCCGGCAAGCAAAGGTCACCGAAGAAAAAGACACGACCAATATACGAAACTAAAGATGCAACTCTTAGAAAGAAGCATTGCAACTGCAAGCACTCAAGATGTTGGAAGCTGTAGGCCAAATGGCATTACAGCTCACCTGTCATAGTTAATGATATTTGTTGTTATTATTCACATAGCAACAAATAGCAGAACAATGGTTGCTACCAAATACATAGAATTGGAAAGACCCATCTTTGTTCGATCCCATAATAAAATTTTTTAGAATTAATAATCTCAAGCTGCACCTGATCTCAAGAGACTCTTGAATTTCTCATTTGTAGCGACTAAAGCGGCGGCAATTCCAGGTTCATTAGCAGAATGACCGGCATCTGGAATTACCTGTTTTGGCAAAAAGAAAACAAACAAAAAGAGAGACAATAGCATCTTTAGTCCATGCTTATTCAAGACCAAGGGGTGTAAGCATTACTGTATCATCATCAAATAACGGAGTTAAAAAAAGAGGCCATTAACAGTACAAACTAGTTATAAAGATGCTAGAGGGATTTGATCTGAAATTTCAGCTTTTGCTAAAACTTATGTCAAATTTATACGGTGCACATATGAAAGAGCTAGTTTATGTCCAATTTATGCGAGTTTCAAACCTAAACAAGGCATGGGGTCGAACGTCACTGTGCTTGCAGCAGAGCAGCATGAGTTGAATTACCCAAACAGAGAGGGAGGGGTACATAAGCATGAGTAGGAAAGAGGTGTTTTTCCATAAAAGTGCTTTTGAAGCCAAAGCAATGAGGAACTTATTGAAAGGCATGAGGAATAACTAATCAGACAATTATGGGACACAAAACGACCATTTTAATAGGAGTTGGTGCAGATAGATGGACAATGAACTTGTGATCAAGAGCCACTACATTCTCGAAAGTTAAAAGGTTGTCCAAGAATTTTGTATACAATAGAAGTTGGTAAAGGTACAACAGCATTCAACTTAGAAAAGTTACCATGTACGTAATCAAACTCCCAACCGAAACTTCAACAGGATTTCCTCGACCATGAATCTATATTCTCTACCATCTCACAGAGTTGAGTTATCGCTTGTAAGCCACAGATCTAGACATCTTTCAATTAATTCTGTTGTCGCAGCTAACATGCAAATGCTATAGCCTTATATCTTGTAGAAAATGATATCATAAAAAGACACCAGAAGAATCATAAGCTTGCCGATGAACAAGGATATTCTTAACATTTACTGAAAAGACTAGACATAACACAGAAAAAAATGCTTAAACAACTCAAAAAAGTCAATGAATATAAAAAACTGATATAATTAAAATACTCTACATCCTCAAACCTGAAGCCATCTCATTCTTGTCATAAATTTATATTGCAAAATTGGAGGGAAAAAGAATATCATCAATAAGAATATTGAAAAAGAGTTTTTGTCTGACCTTGAATTCTGCTTCAGGCCATGCTTTATGAAGATCCCAAGCTGACATCATTGGGCAGCAAACATCATACCTTCCCTGTACAAAGTTATTGACATATTAAACTTGTCTCAATGTAGCAAAGCACTAAATCTCCTGGCAAAATAAAGCTATAGCAATCTTATGAATTTTATCGGCTAGTACATGAAGGAATATAATTTCAGAACATGGCCTACTTGTATTGGCTGGCATATTCACCAATTTATAGGAGTTTCACTATAAACCCAATAAATAGCAAAACATATGCCAGTTTGAGCCCCCCTATGAAGTTTTATTCAGTTTAAATAAACAAAACTGCCCAAGGTTTAGCTTATGTTAACTTGAGGCCCAGATTTTAAATTAAATCCACCATTCAGATTAGATTTCTTCCTTCCATGTAGCCTGACGACGGTGCTCTACTGCTCAAACCCTTGCTGCTGGAGGATAGTAGACCACAACATCAAGATAAAAGCATTCTGGATACTACATACTTTATCCTAGTTCTCATCTCACTTATTTTCTTTTTGGTTACTCAAATGCCACTAGCGCATGCAATTACAAAGGTCATCCAGATTGGTAATGAACTATCCTTGTATGTTGGTAAAATATGAGAAGAAAGAGATAGAGAGAGATATATTAGAAAATCCAATGCCATGAGATTGCAGGTGAGTACCAAACACACCATGCATTCAACACCAAAGCACCTATGACAAGAAAAGTAACACAAAAATAATGCAAGTTGATACTGACAAAAAAATAATGAACGAGTTTTAGGAAACTCATATATGTGCTTCATTACATTTTACTTTAAAGGAAGTAATACTTTTGAAGTACAAAGATTAGAACACTGGAACTGAAATTTCTACTTTAAAAAGTGTGAGATAGTAAACTGACACTGCCTAACAAGTACATAGCCATTTGTAAATCCAAAAGTATTCAAACATAGAGGTTAATTAACAAGATAAATATGCAACTACCAATGAGGACCGACTTTTCTTTTCAAGGCAAATGAGCAATAACTTCTTTAAACTCATAAATTGATTAACACAATCTAACAAGAGTGTATGCGGCAAAAAGAGGTTAGTGTGCTTCCTCATTTTAGCTGGTTAAAGAGGCAGCAACATACCTGTACAATGACTGTCTTTATATGCCGGATCTTATCCACGTTATCTAATAATTGTGAACTAGAGGGCAAAAATCCCTTGTTTACAAAGTAGTGGTTCTCAATTCGTGCAAATGCCTGCAGAAAACAGAAAAAAAGAAAAATATATCCCCTCATGTCAAACTGACAAAAGTGTTGGTACTAAAAGAACTGTGATGGAAACTTGTGCAAACTAAATAATACATGTTGAAAACCAATGCTCAATCAAACAGTACACAGATACAAAATTTTCAGTGTGGCTCAAAACTTGGCGTATGACCTATCTGTTATTACATTATACAAAGATCATCAGCAAGCAAGAAACTGCATCAGCACAATAATTCATTGGACCAAGAATAGGGCAAAGAATATTAAAAAAAAACTAATTTATTGTTTGCTTAGCAGATATCTGCTAGAGAAAAAAAAGGAGAAAAATTTAGGTGTTTACAAGCACATCATGGTGGCTTGGCTTCACTATGATTGGATTTCTCTGACATGATAAAACAAATAAAAGGCTTTCCCGTGGAACACTTTAATTGTTGATCAATTCAATTAAAAGGTCATTCTGTGCACTATTATATAGATCTTAAACCTTTCTGATAAATTGGCAATCAAGCTATGAATAGATTGTATGAACCTCAACAGACCACAATATTTGGTCAAAGTACCAAGACTGAACCAAATGATATGGGTTTAGCTCCCACCTTTGTAATATGGTTACCCATTTTGGAACTAAATTTCCAATGATTTAGAAGTTTAGATTGATTTATGCCAGAAGAAACATGCTGGTACATAATACTAGATTAGACATGATAACCATGTAGTAGTGATTATTTTAAGTGTAGTAAGAAATAAAGACATGACTTGCCAATGAAAAATTATCGTCTTCGCCTCTTTTGATATTCTCTTCATTTTGCATAAGATGGGCAGTCATCAATTCCCATGTAGTCCAAATTTTGGCAGCTCTATTCTGAAAAGAAATACATCAACCGGTCCATGTGACAAGCATATAATACGCATAACCAACAGTTACAGAGTCAAGCACATCACCTCTTCCCATCTGAATAGAGATTATAGCAAATATGCAGGATCAAAAGCACAGAATCATTTATTTACAACTATGTGGCTCAAATTGCAAATAGAATTAAGATGCTCAAGAGACATCAAAGAAATTTCAAGATAGAAGTATCTAGAAATGTCTTATAAAGGATCAATTTATTTATTGAGATCTAAAAGGCCAACTGGAAGATCATGAGTATCAAAAACCTGTATACATTCACAGAATCATCAAGTTTTCCAGAAAAAGATTTAATCATTTGCTGTCAGAAAAATTTTGTTGGTCAAAAAACAGATATATTTATGTTGTGCTTTGTGCAGATTAACAGGAAGATGCTAAATCAGGTCCTGCAACAACAACAAAGCCGTAAATCAGGTACTCCACCTCCCTGCTTTTAAACTCATAAGTTGTAACCGCTGGTATCAGTCAACTACAGCTTATTTCACATAAAATGCAAGGTTATCCACTAGTTCACCGCTCAATTTTCAGTTAGTTGTAAGATCAGAATAGCAAAAGTCAAGTGTCAGCTCTAGCATATATCGTCTGTGGCTCCTGCCCACTGCCAAGCCCTCGGAATAGTGTAGTCCATGTTTCCAGCCTACTACTAACTAGTTGTCTTGATCATCATAATTTAATTAGATGAACCATTTCAGTTTTACAAATATTAAAATATTAAGTATTTTTATTTTATAATGTCTTTTGATTTGAAAGTAAGATTTGAATGTAGACTTTTTACCTAAGGTTGCAACTTGAGTAACTTGAATCAGAGGCTAGAGACAGTTGAACTATAGCCTGACCAGTTTAGATGAGGTTGAAAAACTCTAGCAGAAACCTAGTTGGTATGTATGTCTGATACAAATTGCACACCTGTGTTCTCCGTCAATTGGTTCACAAAAGGATCATAATGTAAAATATATACTTATATCATATATGCAAATATGCTTCAAAAATTTCATTGATAACCATGTCAAATTAAATAGTTTTGCGACTTTTATTCTAAGTTAATCTGCATAAATTTTATTAGTTTCATGTATTCAATAATCACAAGATACATGAGCAGGCATAAGCAACCCCCTGATATTAAAAATAGGCTCATACACTTGTCTGCAATTATTAAAGTACAACCCAAAAAAGAACAATTATCTCCACAAATCATGGGCACGCAAGAAGTCATAAAAACAACAGTAACGGATCGAATGAGCAGATAGTGGTGCTGAAAGCTACTATAAAAAAAAAAACTCTTACCTGTACATCAATGTCATCAGAGTTCAGCCTCTTGTTATATGCAACAATGAAATTGTCCCTTTCATTTTCTGGGATGAAATCCCTAAATGGCTCCCATGCTGAAAATCCAGATTGACAATATCAGCATGATTTCATGCAATGTAGTTATATATGCTTGTAGATCAACAATTATGAAGCTTCAGGTTCCTGTTAATGATGCTGACTAGACAAAAGCTATTTCTGCAATAAAATTGTATTCTTAGTGAAGAATGCAGAAGGCTTGAAGCAATTCCCAGATGTTTCCATCGTAATAAGTGATAAAGTGATGCACCATGGAAGCCCAAGTTCAAACATAAAACCACAATGTTACACTTCGATAGCAGGTATGTAACTCTCTTGGGCTTTAATTAGCGTTGAATCACTGGAAAATTACGGATACATCTCTCCTACAATTGAATTTGTAGGTATAGAGGAGGACTTGCAAGATATAGATTGGATCAGTTTCTCATCTAATCTGACTTCACCTGGCTGGATGTGAATAATAGACACAAGCTTTGAAATTCAGTGAGTTCAGTTTGTTGACATTCTCGGTTTAAAATCCAGCTTCAACCAAAACAGTGTCCATATAGCAATTGGGCTAGAACCTTGTAACCACTGGGCTGGCCTTTGTTATGCAACAAATAATCTTCAACCCATACAGCAAGATAAGGCAAGCAATGCACACGGTGAAAATGAGCAAATGTCAAGCCAGAATTTATCAGGGGCCAAAGAATTTTTTGTCAGGCATATCCAGATTGCACAGCATCAGGCTCAAGCTAGATCATTTCAAGTGAGTTAACTCCACATTGATTGACAAATGCCAATGTGATTGTGCTTTTCAGCTCATTACTTGGCACACAAATATTAAAGTCAAGAAATAGTCTAAAGTTAAGTTATTTGTCCTAAGGAAGGCCTACTTTCAAAGACATTTGTCAGAGAGGTGCAAACACAGGCATCAAAGATTTCTATGGTAGTAAATTTCATGAGATGCAAAAAAAACTGTAGGTAACATTTTGCCATATCAAACATCTGAATAGTCGAACTATCTGATCAGGTAAGCATCTCATTCGACAAAAAATTCCTAGATATTTATCAAAGATAACCAAAGATCGAAAGAGGGTTATTGCATATGAGTAACAGCCCTACATCCATAAAAACAACTTAAGTGTCATAGGGTGTTATAGTAGAAAACAAGGGAGATGTTACACTATCAATATAGTAGCAAGAAGTTCAATCCCTTAGAATCATTATCAGCAATTTATTCTTTTTGGTTCAGAAGAGGTCGCAAAGTCAGGGGGCATGTTAATTGAAAATTTTAATATAAGGTATAATCAAAGAAAACAGTTGGAAAATTAAAGCAAAAGATTAGCAACAACAGTGTCATGAACTCACGATATTAAAAATTAAAATACAATTAATTCAAATTTTCCAGTGAAATAAATATTTCTGATAGCTCAGGAGTAGTCAAACAATAATATACATATATATATATATAAAGTGAATCATCATACCATCTGGGAATATGGCAGCTGCACCACCTTCATAAAACCAATCAAGCTCCTTCTTCCTTAGTAAAAAGATGCCTCTAAGAATGATACCGGTAACCTTAGCCACCAAAGACAGAATGTCAGCATGTGTAGGCAAAGAACTCTTCCAAGACAACAATTATTCAATAATCCACCTTGTCAGGATGAGATTGACTGTATGCAAGGGCCAATGTGCTTCCCCATGACCCACCAAAAACCTGAACTCAGATCAAAAAGAAAGGTTGAAGCGTTATACCACAATAACTAAAAAGAAAACTCAACTAAAAACTTCACCTGCCATTCTGGTATCTCTAGATGTTCCCTTAGTTTCTCAATGTCATCAACCAAATCCCATGTTGTGTTCTCCTCTAAGCAGGCATGAGGTGTACTTTTGCCTGCACCTCGCTGAAAAGTAATGTAGTTTAAGAATAAATGAACTTCTGAAAATGTATAGTTAAAAGATGCCAAGACTATTAGATGAGAAATTACACCTGGTCAAACAAAATGATCCTATAAAATTCTGGGTCAAAGAAACATCTATTGCTGGCTGATGTACCAGCACCTGGTCCCCCATGAAGAAATACGACAGGCTGTGAAAAATTACGAAAATGGTTAAGAATATTAAAAAGATATCATGGGTTTACAGGAGTAGCTTTGTTCTTTGAACTTCATATAATTTCTACTAATAGCTGTGAAGTCAATAAATCTGAAATAAATCCACTCTTGCCTAAAGATATGTGTAGCAAAAAGAAAAATCGCACATCAAAATAAGAGTCACCTAGAGTTCACCATAAGCACATGTTCCAAAAGCATTCTCTTTGAACATCGAAAGGGGAAACAGCAAATCTCTCATAATACATATAAATGACTACTTGTCTAGCATGATTATCAAATTTACATGATGATAATGCTAAGTGCTATTGACTGAATTTCATTCATTAAAAAAGGTGGCACAGTGCATTGGTCATGACTGCATTTCACTTATTACATATGAAAAATAATTGCAGAGATAGGAACTTACATGCCCATTTGGATTTCCTGACTGCTCCCAGTACAATGTATGAATATCTGAGACCTTCAAGAACCCTGAACTATATGGTTCTATATGAGGGTAAAGATTACTATTATACTCCTGTGACTCTTTCAGAGATTCCATATATGAATATTGTTGAAGAGTAGAAGAAGAATTATTTTCAGCACAACTAAGCGACCTGTAAGTTCCTGCATTCCATCATCAATGTTCCATAGATCATGAGAAGAAGGCAGTTTGATGCTTACTTATATAATGGCCGCTTATTCATATAATGAGTTTGAACATTTGGAAACAAATAATTGGATGCACAATTTGTATACCACCAAGTTTTATACTTTAGCTACTTCACATATCAATATTCATGACATGCAATTAAAAAAGTCAAGAACAGTTAAGTACAACAAAATGGATATGCAAAATGTTGATCACTTAACGCTACAGAAGTTGAGAACTAGTAGTTCATTGATGCCTCATTCAGTAAGATAAAATCGTTGCTTCCGTTTAAACAACTGAGGGTGAAAACCGAACAGGAAACAGAAGAAATTCTGCATAAGAATAAATTACTTCTGCTCTCATTGGTTTTTTTCTTTTGTTTCCACGTTTTTTGATTCAAGTTCGCAACTGTTAACTTATTGAACTGAAAAGACTACACAAGATCATGGCAACGATATGTGAAGAAAACTCCATTAAAGAATACAGTAAGACATAATTTCCACTTTATTATCCAAAAATAAAAAAAGAGATCAAATCGTTAATAACGTCATCTTCCACTTCATCTCCAAAATTAACACATAATCATCATTGTTGAAAATACTTTTCATGACAAGAGATAATAAAACGCAACCCTAGTTCTCCTAAGAATTTCCACTTTGTTGTCCCTCAAATTCAAGTGCGTTACTGCCAGGTGAACCATCTTTGTTCTTCCGAGAAGCATCCTCAGATAATACATCTGACAACTACTTCACTCGATCCCTTTATGTCGTCGCACAACCCAACATCGCACGAGAATAACACAAAACCCACCCTAGACTAAGGAATCTAGCGTTAGACGACGCGATCGAGAGGGTACCTGCTAGATCGGGCAAGTATAGATCTCCGAAAGAAGAACAAAGGGGACGGCGTACCTGGTGGCCGGTGGTTACCGCGAAGGGGAAGGTGGAGACGAGGGAGGGGAGGAACGAAGGAACGTGAGTTGGTGGCGAGGAATTTAGTGATGGAACCGGAGAATGGAATTGGAAGGGTCGTAAACATCAAGCCCGGACTGACGATAGGATTTTGTTAGACGAGGAATCTGCTGCCAGCCAGGCTTTTGGGTTGGAGTAAACGGATACCAATAACGCGCACAAGTCTCTCTCTATCCTCTACGGGGCGAATTCTCGGAAAAGATTGCTCCATTGTCTTTTATTTTTGGATAAATATCTCACATTTCAAAAATTTTATAGCAGCCTTATTTTTGTTTTACTTAATACTCGAAAAATCGTGACTTAGACAGTAAGCCACCTATTTTTAATATTTTTAATAATATTTATCCATAAGATTTATCGATTCAATTGTAATATTTTTAATAATATCAAAAAATACTATAATATATCATTATATATATATCTTATAAAAATATTATGTTTATAATATGAACATAGTGATAAGGTATATTTTGGATCCAGGTTACGTCACGGTCGATGTCATGCCATGCTATAATCAAGTCAGCAAGAGGAGTACCCTCACGCATCGAGCCAAAGAGATCGTACCAAGGTGTCGATTGTTGCATAAAGTTATTATCTCACATCTCGAGGATCGATCGTCACGTCAAACCCGATTGACTCTCGTACAGTAATACAAAAGCCCTTGACCGACATCTGCCCCAAGGGGAGGCATAAACAAATCAACCCACCACTGACTTGCTCATCAAGAGGGTCAAAATCGACAATCACCCAACGAATACCATACTTGTAGGAAAGCGATCACCTTCGAGCCACGAGCATTCCGACCTTGGAATCATCGACCGGCATCCCAACGACGAGCCGCTAACCCGGATGATAGATATCGATCCAATAAAAAATAACATGAATTATCTATATTAATTTCTCAATATATATCATATGTCAATATATTAATATGATTCATTATATATATATATATATATATATATATATATATATATATATATATATAATGTGCTCCAGTCTTATCGTTTCTCCAACGACGAGGCCCAGTTCGATCCGTGCCATAAGATGCGCCCGCAATTCCACTATCTTGTCCTCCCTGGTTGACGTGCCTTCTTCAACCATCGGACTCGAGATTTTACGCCGCCACGCGTCGTTCCCTCGGCGCGGAAGTGTTCTCATTCGTCCTACAAGCGTCGCGTCGGAACCGCCCCCTCTGGCGCCGCGCTGTATATAAATTCACGGGCACCGCTCGCGGACTTGCGTGACGCGCGGAGTAGGCGCACAGTCAGCTGCGAAGGAATGGGGGACGCTAACATGCGCGCGGAGCTCGGCTCCCCGGGCCGGAGATTAGGTACACTCGCAAGGCACCTGGGCGTCGACTACTCGCCTGCTTCATCCTCTCTCATGGCGTCCCACAACGCTAGCGAGATCGTCACCCCCTCGCCGACCGCCGGATCCTACGGCGGATCGGTCTTCGCCAACGTCGTCCAGGCGCCGGAGGACCCGATCCTTGGGGTATTTCGCTTTTTCCCTCTTGTATATTGGTGATCGGAAGGAATTGATTGGTTCGTGATTCTATTTGGGATCGGACGCTTTCGGATCGGTTTGTTTTGGTTTTAGATGTTGTAATCGACATTTCATTGTTTGTAGGTTTCGTATCGGTTGATGTAACGATATAGTTATGCTTCTCTTCTGTTTGACTTCTTTGTTGATGAATTTTGGAGACTTTGGTGGTTTTCAGATGATTTTTGGTTAACCGATCATCATGTAGTTTTCGGTATTTAATTTGGGAGTGGATGAATAGGTGACAGTTGCATACAACAAGGATCCGAGTCCCGTAAAGGTGAATCTGGGAGTTGGGGCCTATCGAACCGAGGTACAATTGATGGAACTGTTTGATCTGTTCTTCTCGTTGCCTTGTTGATCGGTATTGTCTTAAATTAGTGTTTCTGCTGTATCAGGATGGAAAGCCCCTTGTACTAAATGTGGTGAGGCGAGCAGAGCAACTGCTAGTGAATGATCCGTATGATTACTTAAACTTAATATTGTGCTTAACTGTTAGATTGTAAATCTGCTGAAAATATAATATGTATAGGGCATGTGTGTGTCAGTTAGGAGTAGCTGCATACATCTAGAATTTGCATGGTTGTAGCAAGGGAATAATTCTGCTAGATTGGAGAGCCTCTCCAACTGTTTTCAAGATCCTGCCTTGCCTGGCACACAACCTGGGCCTAGCTTCCCTTCAGCTTTTTCCTGGTTGGTGCTTTTATAATTGTTTTGTCATTAAACCGACTTCTCTTACTGCTGAGATGGTAAGTTCTTTTCACTGGCTTAACAAAGATTGTTATAAATCGTTGTTCTGGTCTACTACGTTTATGATTAATTTCATTGCGGTTTTAGTATGTACCATTTTTATAAATCCACCTAGGTGATTATCTAAATCGACCTTTGCCTGTTGTTCTAAGGTTCATTGGTCTTCCATAGCATGTCTACTCGGCATTTCTTTTAATGCACTTGTCATCTTGTCCCAGAAATAAGAAACTAGATGTTTCGGAACTGCAAGTTGTTTGCATATTCTTTTACTTTTCTACTTGATACTCGCTACATGCTTCAGAATTACTAGATGTGCTGCATCTTTATATGACTTTTCTACTTGCTACTCTTCAGATCTCGTGTGAAGGAGTACCTCCCTATTACTGGATTGGCAGATTTCAACAAACTGAGTGCTAAACTAATCTTTGGAGCTGACAGGTGTATATCTCTTATCAATTTTTTAATTATCACTGTAACAATATTGTGACGATTATGTTCTATTGTTTAGATCTTTATTTATTCTGCTTTCTGGTTGATGATGTGGGTGATTTGCATATCAGATCACCATCCTGATAATATAAAAGCATCTTTATTTCTTGAAGGAAGCTCCACATGATTGTTGTTTTATCACTTCTACAAAGTGCTAAACCTTTAGGGACAATACATAAAGCACTTTTAGTGCTTTCAGATGATATTTTGTTCTGTGGAAATAACGGCAGGGGAAAAGGTGCACTCCTAAGGTATCAAGAGCAATATTCTTGCAGAAATATTGGAGCTGCTCTCCCTGCTGGTAGCCATGATTTGATGATTTGAAAATCTAGCCTTTCAGATACAAATAGCTACTCTAAGAAACATGGATAGCGACATCGATAAGGATAGAACTTGGAATTTTCTCATCTGTACAACAAAAATTTTGAAATAAATGATTATGACGAAAATAAAGTTAATATGCTATGTACCTTTCAGTTTTCTTAGGATATCAAATATGTAATTTTAAAATTTAAAAAGTTATCAAGTATGTGATAGAGAAGAACTTGTTATTTTACAAGATAATGGATAGAACTTAAGATGAAGCCATCAGTTAAGTCTATTGAGCATAAACTGAATCTCAACACCAGATACAGTAGCTTCTAAATATAATTGATTATTTGCCTTTATAATCATCAAAAACTTCAGTATCTATCAATGAGATACCTCTGAATTTTTCCATTTATATTAACTATAAATATAATTGAATATGTACTTAATATTATTAAGTCCATATTCTGTTAGTTATCACTCAGAAGTTGAATATTCGAAAGAGGCATCCAATATGTGTAGTTATGCATTTTAAAGCAGCCATTTTCTGTAGCTTCGTAATATTTATGTCAGTGACGAAGTTGCTTGCCTTAGTGTTATGTTTGCTACCATGTATGCCATTGCTAACATGTCAGTTCATCATGGTTTGAGACACATTGTGATGAAGTCACTTTTGATTATAAATATATACATAAAGTGTGATTGGTTGAACATGACCAAAGTGCATCTAGTATTAGCAGAGAATTGTACTTGAACCATTTATATCAGTAGTATTTTGTTGTTGTCCATGCATATTTCCACGTGATAAAGGTTGTGATGATTGAACTATGAGGGCAATTATGGAGATACAACATCGACAAAAACTTAAAACTGTGTGGTTATCATCATGTTGGTTATTGAAATAGTCAATAATCTATATGTTAGCAAAATTAAGATGGTTCCAATGTTCCATTGTGGATAACCCCCAGAACTGTTAAAGTTTCACTTATTTTGCTAATGCCTATATATTATTCTTTCTTTTTGACAGTCCTGCCATTCAGGAAAATAGGGTGGCCACTGTCCAATGTTTGTCTGGTACTGGCTCGCTGAGGGTTGGAGGCGAGTTTCTGGCAAGGCATCACCATGAAGTATGGTGTCATATCTTAGTTCATGTTTTATATGTTATGGTAATCTAAGCGACTAGTTTTGAGTTTTAAGTTGTTGCTTGTTCCCCAGCATACAATTTACATTCCACAGCCGACATGGGGAAACCATCCAAAAGTTTTTACATTAGCTGGCCTATCTGTCAAGACTTACCGCTATTATGATCCGACAACAAGAGGACTGAACTTTCAAGGTGGGGATCATATCACTTCTGCCATATGCCAAATTCAATTATACTTTTAATTGCTTAATATTTTTTACTTGTTTAGGTCTTATTGTTAATATTGACCATGTAGTTCTTAACTATTCTTTTCTGTTGCTTGGGAAAATTTTTTGTGGTGCAGGTTTGCTAGAAGATCTAAATATGGCTCCCCGTGGAGCAATCGTGCTTCTTCATGCATGTGCACATAATCCTACTGGTGTGGATCCAACTCTTGATCAGTGGGAGCAGATTCGATTGCTGATTAGATCAAAGGGCTTGCTACCTTTCTTTGACAGTGCTTATCAGGTAACATTTGCTTTGCTGCAACTTAAAATTTATCACATAGAATGTATGCTTCTTGTCATGCTTCCTTTCCAAGGCAATCTAAACCAGTTATGCATGAAAAATGACCATTATATGTATTGATCCACATAGTTAGACATGAATTATTTTATAAATTCTTGTAGTTAATCATTTTGCTTCAGTGTGCTTGTGTGTGTTCTCCTACATCTGAATGTATTATGTACCTTTTAAGAGCAAATGTTCTAGGGATTTGCAAGTGGAAACCTAGAGGCTGATGCACAATCAATTAGGATGTTTGTTGCTGATGGTGGTGAATGCCTCACTGCTCAAAGCTATGCCAAGAACATGGGCCTCTATGGGGAGCGTGTCGGTGCACTAAGCATTGTAAGAGACTTCTATTATCTTGAGAATTTCTTCTATCCTTGTTAGCTAATCTTTTGAGTAAGTTACCCTGTAGTCTTGGCAATCTTATGTGATGAAACAATTTTCTTCTTAGTCAATGAGATCAAGACTCTCATACACAGAATCAAGTTCTTAATTAATTGCAAATCAGGCCCAATATTGTCATTGAAAATCTATGTTACAAGTGTTGTAAATACTAAATACTATACAAATATGTTTTTGTGACCATAGTGAACGATTCGCAGGTGCTAAGAATTAAATCATCTTCATCCAAAAAGTAATGTTTCAGGTTTATTATGATCATTCAAGATACATTAAAATTTGAGTAAGCCTACATATGACACGATTTTGAATGCTCGCTTCTGACAATGGATTGCACAACATACAAGGTCCATAAGTCCAAAAAATGTTATTAATGACAATAGTAAATCGTTTAATATATAGAGTTCACCTGTTTATATTTTTGACTGGTCATAGATTGTTTTTGTTACTGAAAATTGTCATTATAGCTAAATATCTAGAGCCTCATTAAGCTCAATTGATGAGTAGCTTAAATCTATTTTAGTCATACTCAGCTACTGATATGTGCCATCAATGCTATTCACTTATTTAAGTACTTAATAGTTTTCGGTTTTTGTCCTCTCCTAATTTTGTTCCCTCGAGTGTCACTTCAACCTTGTAGGTCTGCAAGAGTGCGGATGTGGCAGTTAGGGTGGAAAGTCAGCTGAAGCTTGTGATTAGGCCTATGTACTCTAATCCTCCTATTCATGGTGCTTCTATTGTGGCTACTATTCTAAAAGACAGGTATTGCATTATGCTTAGTATGTTAATAATGTTGGCCCGTAAAATTAGGATGCAGTTATTACAGAACTTGATCTGTTGCATTATGCTATGTTTTTCATGTTTCAAAACATGTTCCTTCCTCTTTTTCTATTTTCTCATTGGGCATACTTGCTAACTGGTATTTCAACTTAATCTGCTTAGAGAAATGTACCACGAATGGACTATTGAGTTGAAAGCTATGGCTGATCGAATAATCAGGATGCGCCAACAGCTCTTTGATGCTTTACGTACTAGAGGTATGTGAATTTGCCAATGTTGGTCTCAGATTAATCTTTTTTCTCTGTTTAATCATGTATCATTTTACCTACTTATGATATCAAGTAACAGATCACTAACCTGAGGTCTCTCACCACCAGCGATTACAGAGCTCATATAGTTTCATTTAGCTATCAGCACTCGCATACACTGATAGTATGTAGTCTTTGGTTGCCGCCAACTACTTGGTGGCTCTGCATGTGCTATATTTACTAAATTCAACTATATGAGGTTATAATGACAACATTTATGGTCTTTTTTTTAGGAAAATGATATTTATGATTTTTAGCTGCTCAAATGGTAAATGTAGATTATATTAGCCAAGGAATTAAGAGGCTTCTTCTATGGTCATGCAGGGACGCCTGGTGACTGGAGTCACATCGTCAAACAGATTGGAATGTTTACTTTCACAGGGCTTAATAGAGAGCAAGTGACCTCCATGACCAAAGAGTATCATATTTACATGACTTCTGATGGGTAATCTATCTTCTTTTATCGTTCTCTTGCCTCAAATCCCACTTACCTAGTTCAAGTTGTCTAAATACGAATATGTGTATATCTATCAATAGTGGTTCTGAGAAGCAAATGCTTGTTGCAGGAGGATCAGCATGGCTGGTTTGAGCTCCAAAACTGTCCCTCATCTTGCTGGTGCCATTCATGCAGCAGTTACTCGCATCAAGTGACAAATGGAGACCCTGGTATAGATTTAGCCTTCTTCAAGCATCTTTTGCATCTATCCATCTGTTAGGGTTGGCCAATTTTGTCATCTTCCATTCCTAATTCCGTAATAAATTTGTGCAATAAGATGTGGAAACAATGTCTCCAGATTTATGCTTGCTGTTTCTGGCAGTAATAGTTTTTTTATGAGTTCTGCCTGTAAAACTAATGGAATTTTATGGAGCGTGGATGTTTGTGATGCTTCAGATTGCCACAATAACTCTGATCTACTATCAGTTCAACCAGTTGTAAATTGATTTCATGTTGGTTATCTATGAGCTGCATTAGACCATGGTCCATCATATCAGAGAATCAGTTCCTATTGGAGATTGTTTTGTGTTATCTTAATCTTGTACAAGTCCTCTCTGATCACAATTCATTTATCCTTATATTCTCCTCGTCTTCTCTTAATCATTCTTAAGATTGTAGTCAACTGATCTCGTTGTGCTCTTTTTTCAGTGCAGACAAAAGAAAAAGATGGTCAATATTATATATACTTGGCCCAGTTAGTGAATATATACTTTGCCTCTTGAAGTATTGGATATCCAAACTCTTAAAAGTTATATTTGATCCTTAAATTTTTAAAAATTATATTCAAATTCTTTATAACCTATTTTATTTTTAACATCATCAAATTATCATTTCACCCTTTGAGGCATTGATACATATGGGCTATTCACTTTCAGTGTCCCCTCTGTCGTGATTTTCGATATTGTAATCCCTGTTGCCACCATGTGCATGCAGTGCACCACCGTCGTGGCCCCCTACCTCATAGTTTCTACCCGGCTTGAATTCTGTCGTGATCTTCAACACTGTAATCCCTGTTACCACTAGGTGCATGCAATATACCACCGTCGTACCCCCTACCTCATCGCGATTTTATGATGGTGGGATGTGTAGCTCCTACTCGGTTTGGACAAAGGCTGGATCCGAGATGTTGGCTATCGCGAACCAAATCAAATTCTCTAGATACGTTCCTCAAAAAAATCGATTTGTGTTGATTCTTCCCCTAACTAACAAAGAGATCTTCATGGAATTGCCACATAGTATAATTTTGCAAAGAAATACCTCACTTCTTTTCAAGAGTAAATTATAGTAATTTCAAAACTATGGAATCTAATATAACTTTCAAAAGTTTAGAAACCCGAATATTGGACAAATACAGAAAATAATATATTATAATCAACCTTGAATATATATAAAATCCTTTTAGAACTTATCACTATATAAGTCAATACATATAAATAAGAGGCAAAAAAAAAAAAGAATAAGGAAAACATCACATAAACTATATATATATATATATATATATATATATATATATATATATATATATATATATATATATATATATATATATAAGAGGCCAAGAAAATAAAATAAAATAAAACATCACATAATTCCTGATTTAATGGAATGGTGAAACTATGCAGAGGCTCCTTTAAAGATCAAGAACTGGAGAGTCTCCAAATGAAAGTAGATGAAGGTCCCTAGCGAGTGTGTAAAGAAGCAGCCGAAGCTGGAACCGACGACGCACTGCCAACCGGGCCCATATACTACGTCAAATTCCTGAGACCACGAGAACAGAGATGAACAAGACAGAGGGAGCACGAGAACGGAGATCCAAGGTGGAGGCGATGGTATGGTACCTTCTTGATGTGGCCGGCTATGTTCCTGCAATCCAAGGCGTCGAAGAGGTCGAGGGCTTCGGAGGCCGACGACATCGCCTGCATCTGCATCTCCAATGGCATGTCCGTTTCTTGGATCGTTGCCTTCCCTTCCAACATGCTGACCGTGAAGCGTTAAGAGCCTGTGCTTAGGACACCCCAAAACTGGCACGAACTCGACCTTCTCTCACAGAATTAGCGAACAGTGATGTGCCAAGCAATGAATGCTACCAGACACCTTTCGGATAAAGGGAGTGAGGCAGAGATTAATGGCCGTGCACACACACATCTATGTATAGGATGCACTTTACGTGGAAGAAACAAATATCAAACGGAGTCTCTTTCTGCCATGTTGGAGATATTTTTCTCCTCGTTTTGTTGCCTTGCTGAAGCCAAGTTAGAAACGGCACACCCACAGAGCTTTTTAGATGGACGGACGAATGAAGAGTCTGAGAAGGGTTAGTGTGGACATGGCTAAGACTGGGGAGCAAACAAAGACGATGGCTTGATGTATCATTTGGCATTCTTTTTGCATTTTACTTTCCCTTCTCTGAGCCAGACACTAATATGTGAAACCCCACAGGAAATAATCTTATGGTGTGAACAGGCAAATATTGCTGACCAAAAGGTTTCTGAAACTGAAATAAGAAACTGAGTACTCGCAAGAAGATACTTCCATTCAATTTCTGGATTAGTCACATCTACAAGGAAAAAAAATAGGTTACATATGCTACAAGCAACTTAAACTTGTTATGCACTGATCTTACTAGAGGAAAAAGAAATTAAGATGAAGATGGCCAGCTTGTTTCGACTTCTCTACCGCATCTGGTGCAGGAATACAGCAGCAAAACATTACCGAAAGGACGCTTACGATCGCCCCCCTTGATCCTAAATAACTTAGGATACACAGATATCGACAGGCAGCATAGAATATAATAACGCTCCAAATAACATAGCAGCTCCACCGTTCTAGCTCTCACCAATCTGGCACTCTTGCTCGCCAGCATAAAACCCATTTAGTGCTTTGATCGTTTCTAACCAGAGTTCGTGGTACTACGTCCCAGGCATTTGCAAGAAACCGAGATCAGAGTGCCGCCTCGCATGTTCTGGAATCAGCTTGCCAATGAGCTCCGGTGATGCACCTGCTAACTGCAAAAATATTTCCAGGATTAAACCATCTGCAGAAAGAACAAAATTTTTACACAACATTTTTCAATGTGAAGTCTTGACCTTTACTGAGTTTGCTTAGTTAAGTATGATTGTAGAAAGAAGAAACCAGATGGTCATGGAGGGTCGTCACTCCAGCAATTCCATGGACACAAGTTTTATTCAACCGAGCTATGCCATGAATCGTATGAACTCAAGATCTTTGCTGTACATGTCATCAGTAATCCCAGATTTTTCTTTGCGTTTCTGGGTGACAGTATTTGCTGGGTTGAGCTCTGAGTCATGTTGTTATACGGTAGTAATCTACTCCTAAAGCAATTGCTAGCAAGATGATAGATACGGCAAAATACAAAATCAAGTGATTAATGTACATTATAGCATATGACATGATCAACAAAAATGAAGATGATCATAGTTGTTGTATATAACTATAAGAAACAACTACATGACACACACACAACTACATAATTGAATCCTGTTAATCCAATGTATATCCCTCAGAATGCCTGATATCCACAAATCACGAACTCACTGGTTCCTCAACCTCAGCCTTCGCTGAGGGAGCACCGATCATTCACAACTCTACTGCAAGTTCAGATTACTAAACTCGTCATCACAGGGACATCCGAAACAGGATTCTTTATATGTCTTTACAGCTACAAATTAACAGAAAATAAACGGAGAAAGTTTACCTAAAGATAACATGAAATTCTAAGTAAAATCACATAAATAATGTCAATGTCAGCATCATCCTTATTGACTAAAAGGGACATCCAGACAGACCCTGGAATGCATGGTTCACCAGAGTCCCAAGATGAGATATCACATTAAACACAACCGATAACCACTTACAATTTACAGCATCCGTTGATGTAGCCTACTCATCTGCCTCCGATTCTGATAGTAAAATTATTTCTGTCCTTATTGTCTAGATGGGCATGCAGACAAAGCCCTGTAACACAAGGGTGTACAAAAAAATCCTAAGAGGAGAGATTCAGCTGAACTCATAGCCACTTACAAGTTATGGTATCGGCTGGCAAGGTGGCGATAAACAAACCTGGTCATACACCATAGGCCCATATGAAGTTTTCTTTCAACAATTTCACAACTGCTCAATCGGAATGTAAGCAATTAAGTTTTAAGAAACAATTCCCAGTTTCATTATTGATGAAATTCCAAGATAAGAGAGAATACTGATGGGTAGAAAAATTCAGTAGGTAGACTGGAGGCTTAACTTAAACTAGCGAAAACCCGCTGAGGGGTGTGGAAAAGAACAGTGATCTTACTATAGCCTTCAAGAAGCTTACTATAGCTTGTCCTTGTGTTTGAAGCCAAACAGAAACTTTGTCAAAGAAAAAGTAGTGACTATCAAATATTAACTTACAACTGATGCGGCTACCAAAGAAAAGTAGGAACCATAGAAGTGCCTAGGGAGAGAAATGTGTGTGGCAGACGGAGCTTATAGAAGCTGGTTTGCTTACTTCTTGTTTGAAGTTAAAAAGAGCAGGCAGAGGACGACCATCTGGTAACCGTGCATTTGAACCCCGTAGCTCATCAAAAAAGGGGTGAGCGCATGCTTCCAGCTGCAATAGAATACGTCAAGTTATATAAGGATTATTGATAGCAATATCAGATCTTATATTGTAACTTGACAAATGTACATAAAAGATTCAAGGATCTTATAAACCTACAGCATTTCACTATGTTTTACTGAGGCCAGATATTATATAAATTAAATTCATAAAATATTGCATAAATATTGCTGTATATGAAAGTTGCTATGCTGCCAGTCACATCAGTCCTAAAAATATATTTGGGGGGAATCTTACTGCAGTGCAGCGAAAACTTGGAGAGTATTGAAGAAGGCGTGATGTAAGATCAATTGCTTCTGGAGGCATCCGCTTATGGAATATCTGAAAAGTTACAAGTTACTGTAAAACTCCAATGAAAAAGGCTAATACTATGCATATTATATTCACTACATATATCTAAATATGCAACCGAAGCAGTGGAATAGTATCTTGATAAATAAGCAACCAAAGAAGGCTATTTGTGGATGGAGCTTGAAGCACATTACTACATAAGACCATCACTGGGGTGGACCCCACATGCACCATTCCAAAGTGATTCTGAATTATATTTTCAAACCCAGAGTATGGAAGACTGTATCATCCTAGTTTAGTGGCACATCAGATGTGGGAGAACAATTGTGTTGGTTTATAAAGCTAAAGTGAATATACTATCATTAACTTCAGTAGTAGAAGTCCAAAGAATCAAATTTAGCATCATCCCTTGATTTGAAAAGCTTCAGCACTGAGACCATCAGAAGATTACGAATGCAGATAACATCAGCTAATCACAGATGTCACAAATCAACAACACAACCGAACCATAATGGTTCAACTTAGGGTGTCATCTGTTTATATGCATATTAGCCGTGAAAGAATCAAGCTTTATCATTGCAGCTTGCTGACACTCTTTTGCAATCATACATTATGAAATTCAAAAGGACAACTTGTACAAAAACCAAAGACAACATGAAAAAAGCGACTGTAACTAATCTTGTGCCATGGGTGAAAAAGTGGATGCAACTAACCTTGTGCCATGGATGAGCTTTTATCTGTGGAAATCTGAAATCTGTATAGTTAGGATTCATGCACCGAATTTCCTCACGTGTTGGAGTTCCAAGAACCTGCATATGGAAAGAAATTTCGTACAATGTTATGACTCCTTCAACCAATATTTACCAGCAGGGCAGCCACATAATACCTTGATTATCTGAACAAGCTGATCAACAGCACTGTCTCCAGGAAACAATGGCTGAAAAATATGTAAAAGTTGGATACGGTAGGTGAGAGTTCAAGAAACGCTTCTTAAAGGTTATTAAAGCACAAATACATGCAGGTGAGACAAAAGAGTACCTGACCGAGGAGTAACTCAGCAAGAACACAACCTGCTGACCATATATCAATGGATGTTGTATATTCTGTTGAGCCAAAAATAAGCTCTGGAGCACGATAATAGCGAGAGCAGATGTAAGAAATGTTCGGTTCACCCTTGACCTGATAGGGCAAATCCATTAGAAGAACAGAAGAGAAACATTAAATTCAAATGAAAACGAATAATGAAAAAGATCGAAATATTTTGCAGTAGCCTTCATGGAAAGAAAGCTACAGTCAGAGATCTTATATGCAGGAGATCCTACAAAATTCGAAGATATTTATGAAACAAAAACAGGTAACTTGACTAGGAAAAAATAATAATTTAATTATATCTGGTAACCCACTAGCTGTTCCCTTAATTCTTTATTCTCTCTTTTATCTATTTTTTCCCCCCCTTTTTCTGGTCTTTGTGGATCAATTCAAACTACAGTTGAGGAAACAAGCACTTTTTCTAGGAGGGTGATGACTATCAGAAAGTGTCATTAATTGAAACTAAAGACCTGATGAGCCATGACAAAACAAGCACTTTTTCTAAGAGGACAAATTGACTACCAGAAAGTGTCATTAATTTGCAGTAAAAATCTGATGAGCCATAGCAAAGCAAGCACTTTTCTAAGTGTACAATGCCAACCAGAAAATGTTAAAGACTCCGGCAGGCAGATGCCTAGTTTAACTTCACAAGGCTAGTCTACAGTGCCATGCATGGGAAAACATGGTAGCGAATCCTTTAATCATTACTTTGAGAAAGCAAATATGCTGTGTTTCCTGTTATAGGGTAAGCTAGTCTTAAAATCTCATCAGAACATGATTCAGCCATCACAATGCCTCACATCTGCTAAAAGTCTAAATATGACGATTACTTCTTTACTCTTTAATCTCCACATTACTGAAAACAAGTAGCAAAAGGAAGAGTGCCCCAAATTTACATAGAAAATATGAGATAAATTAAACAGAATCTAAAGGATGTTTCTTCTCAATAATCTTAAATAAAAAAACAATGCACTTTCTTTTGTGATGCAACCTCCCTCTCAGCAATTTTTTAGTTAATGCATGTTCTTTGAGAATTCTGTAAATGATCAATCCATTTAAGAGCACCAAAATAGGCACAACAAAGAAAACCAGTCCATGTTTCGTTCCAGGTGAAACATACCAAAACTTTTGCGCTTCCAAAATCACATAGCTTGACTTGATGGGTAAGAGGTTCTACCTGCAGAAGCTCTACTAATTGTAAAAGTCAAAGACTTTACTTGATCAAACTTGACAAAATATATAAACTTTTAAGGCCATGGGAACTCACCAAAACATTTTGTGGTTTAACATCTCTATGGCAAACACCAGGAACTGTATGCATATAAGCCAACCCTCTAAATATCTGAACAAATATCCAATTTAGTACTCTCATTCATGTGTCTGCAAAGAGTATCCACAGGCGACAAGATAAATATACCTGATATGTGTAAAGCTTCACGTAGATTAACGGCATCCTTTGATTCACACTGCTGAAATGCCTTAGAACACGAAATAGTGTTTCCGGCACATATTCCATGACCAAGTTGAGAAAAAGCTCATCTCTGCTCGTGGTGAAGAAACAATGCTTTAGAGAGATCACATTCGGATGATCCATTGAGCGCATCAGCTGTAGCTCACGGTTTTTGTATCTCTGATCCTGCAACACCTTTTTTATAGCCACAGTCTCTCCTGTTTCCAAACATTTTGCCTGCCAAAGACAATCATGTTTGAAGCCAAGGCACTAAATGGTGCGACGGGTTTATGCAAGTCCCAGACAAAAAAGTTAGCAAAAAACCTGAAAAACAATCCCAAATGAGCCAGCACCCACCACACGCTCAGCCATGTAACTAATGGTCTGCAGCACAAGCAAAACAACTCACATTACCGAGATACGATAGCAACCAATTTGCATCTCTATATAAAGCAGTTTAGTGGCTCCTAACCTGCTTGGGTTCACCATTCTTGCCTCCAATGGTGGTGGAAATGATATGACCAGTGACCCCATCACTTCCTTCCATAACAGATGCTTGCTGTGGTACGAAGATAAAAAGGAGATCAATTTAGACTAATATTTCTATCTAAGCAAAAAAATATTAAAGCACCAAGCAATAAGGTGAACTATCAGAACAGTTGAAAGCAAGCATGGTCACCAAAAAGTGAACTCGATTATAAGGCACTAAACATGTAGAAGTATACAGAGATTACAAGGAACACTGGTGATATAAAGTTGGAGACCGAGGCAAGAACTCCACAGAACATCAAATAAGACAAGATCCCAGAAGTCCTCAAGATTGTTCGATAAAATGTGGCCACCCTTCTCCAGCAAATAGGAAATAGTTTGAAAAGTGAGCAAGTGATGTTGAAAAAACAGAATAAAAAATTGCTTAAGACCTTTTTCTGTTTTAGCCACAATTCTTGGATGCATTGAAGACAATGAAAGGAATTGCTACCTAATTACGTTTAGAGCAAACGACAAGCCCAAACGGACAAGATTAGAGTAGAAACCGGGTGTGTCACCGCATGAGAATAACACACACAAACTAGTACAGCAGAATAACAAATACATCAGATAGTTAAATCCATCGTTATCTTCTCTAGATTTAGAGAGAAAAAGGAGTTCGTACAAGAATAGATCAGAGGGGGGGGGAAGAACAAGCACACATCAGATCCACCCGCCAAACTCAAAAAAATCCACAACAAGAACAGATTTTCCTGGCTCACTATGGGTAGGCACCTATCGACACGCTCCGAAATCACAAGGGTCCAGCTCGAATCACCTCAAAGAAGCAACCTTTTTTCTTCACATTAGAAAACCGAGGAGGCAGGGGATTCGATCAAGGAAGACAAGAGACAAAGGGGAAGAAAAGGCTACCTTGCCTTCGGCCATCTCCGCGGCGGGTACAAGGGCGTCGTGCTCCAGCAGCTGCGGATGATGAGATCCCGGCGGCAGCGAGGCCGTTCGATGTGGTGGAAGGAGGAGGACGAGGAGGAAGAAGAAGAACAAGAACAAGAAAGCGTTGCGGCGAAGACCCCACTCCCTTCAGACGGTCGTCGGCTCCATAGTTTTCCGGTGGAGGCCACTCGAGACCGTCCAATGTAATAAATGCGATGAATAAAAAACAATTCTTAAGAAAACGTTTCCAAAGGAAGTCTTTTCCTCCCTCTCCTCAGCGAACCGCGTTGTTTAACGTAACGGCCTTTCATAACCGTTACAATATTCGGACATCATGTACCGGCCGTTATTTTACGGTTTCGAACCGGCCCTATTTTAGATCCGCAACTGATGACTCCGGTTTCCTAAAATCAGAAACAAGAACCGAAATCATTCCGGTTCGGGCGGTTCCAATTAGACTGTCTTTTATTATTATTATTTTTAAAATAAAAATAATTATAAATAATTTAAAACTATAAAATTATTGATTCAAACTAATCAAATTCAATTTACAAACCGTCGAGATCGATCGGTTCGATTCGGATTTGATTCATGAACCGTGATCATGACTACTATTACGGAGCTCCATCATTGATTATCTAAATACTGTAAAATATGTTATTTAAGATACATAAACTCAGATCAATCAATAATGTATTGATTTAGTCTTATAAATCAATCTTCAACTCAAGTCATTTCACACTTATCATTTCAAATAGTTAAAGATAACAGTCACAGCTTCCAATTAGTAGCACATGAAAGGAGGAGGATCGAGGAGTCAATGGAAACCAGTGCAAATTGAGGTATATATCATCAAGTGGCAAATGATTGAGCAGATGCTAGAGATTATTAATGGCTTTTCCACAACAGGTTGGGGCAAGAGTTGCATCTCCCTGCTGTCCGAGCTTGCTGTGGCCCGCATGACAACACATTGGCCCCGCCATGGCACAAAGGTTGTCCAAGGAGAGTGACACAGACAAAAGGATATTATGCTGATCATGATAAGGAGATGATGCGCTTGGAAGTCTTTGTTCTACTTCATAAAGGCAAGTTGGACTAATTATCATTAACATCACTGTAATGCTTTCTGCAAACAGAAAACAGCAGCATTAATCTCTGTCACACAAGGTTGGGAGTCAAAGCAGGCAGATTCTTGCACAGGTAATCTTCCAAATGAAGGTAGAAAGGTTACTAGATTATATTACATGAACTCAACAGCTACTCCATATAAATAAACACTATATCGGAATCTAAATATACTTTTACGACTCTTACAGCAGTCCAAACAAATATATGACAAAGCTGTTTCACCGGTGAAACCAAGTTTTTCATGAGACCTAGTTATTACTACCTAATGCTAATGCAATGTAGATTGATACAAGCAACGTTGAGTGCATACTTCAGGAGGTGGTGGTAGTAGTCTTGGCACAGATAGGTGTAGCTGGAGATTTCGGTGTGTGTAAGTTGGAGCCACCGCCAATCCTTGCAGTCGACTTGTGCTTCACTAGAGGGACCAGGGATTGGACTACATCTGCCATCAGAGGCCTGTAATCGGCCTCTGGCTGCACACACATGGCAGCAATCGCGGCAACTTGTACGGCTTCTTTCAAGGAGTATTGCCCTTCCATTGCCGGATCCATAATTTGTGCAACCTTCTCTCGATCTGTCAGTCGAGGTAGAGCCTAGCATCATCACAAGAGAAAATTAGCCTAATCTGTCGAAACTAATGAAAGTACAGCCAACGCCTTTCTAAGCAAGCAGTTAATCTACAAGAGATGTATCACTGTTCTTTCTCTGCGAAAACAATGGTAACAAAATCAGGATAACATATATGATAGAATCAAGATGGTAGGAATGTTTTGTCTGAGCACCTGTGCCAGAATAGATCAACATCTGTTTGCAATCAGATTAAGTTAGCATGCACTCATCTAAGTATATAGTAATTATTCATCTTGTCGCTTTGAGGGCATAATACACTGTAGATTAGCGGCAATGAGAAAATAGCACACTTACCCAAGACACAAGAACACCTTCCCCAGGAGGTCTATTCATATCTACCGGAATTCTGCCTGTAAGCAACTCCAAGAGTACAACACCATAGCTGTAAACATCTGATTTTGTAGTCAAATGCCCAGTTAATGCATATCTGCAGAAGAAAAAAGGAATTCAATACAATAGGTTTAGAAAAACTTATTTTTTTAAAAAAAATTCTTAGTCAGTTGTATCTGCTTAAATAACGCCACAATGCCATCAATCACAAGAACTTGAGATTAGTAGGTTTTCATATTTACTCTGGGGCCACATAGCCTTGGGTGCCTAGAACTCGTGTTGAAACATGGCCTCCAGCTTTTTCAGATCCAAATTTGGCCAAACCAAAATCTGAAACTTTTGCACGGAAGTTCTTATCCAAGAGGATATTGCTGCTCTTGAAATCTCGGTGAATTACTGGTGGATTGACTTCCTCATGCAAGTATTCCAGGCCTTTGGCAGCCTCAAGTGCTATTTTCATTCTCGTCTCCCATTCCAAATTTGACACACCACCATAGGATCCTGAACATCCAACTCAAGCTGTGAATATTTTTCCTAACATCAGAAGCAAATGTACATGACTGACACCAGATGTATAGATCATTCTCTGGCAAAAGCAATTACTTCGTGAGACACCTTTCAGCAGTTTATGAAAAATTTATCATTCTGACAACCCATAGAGATATCAAGCTCCTTTAAAATTAAATATCATATAGCTAAAGATGGCGTAGGAAGGGAAATACAAAAAGAAAGCTAGCTCTCAAAATGACGTCCATGAAATATCCCTGATTTCAATAAAACTTCTAAGGTTTTCTGATTCTTATGGTCACATCATCCTTGAAACAAGTTGCTGTGATGGATGTTACAAGTCATTAATAATGCTTTTGAGGATCCATCCAAGAAATTATTGGTGTTTATAGGCTTTTAGTACTGTTCCTACTTTCCTCTTTTGACATGAACTAGTACTAAAGGACATCAATAGCATTAGCCATTGTGAACAACGACATTTTGTCTAAATCCCATTATGCAACCTCTTACAAACTCTACTAACACAGTCAGATCCAATTCAAAATTCTCAAACTTGCCCCAAATGAATTGTTTAAGATAGCAGTGTATGTGGAATCAAATCACCGGTTTTTAGTATTTTTGAAGCAGCTGATCCTGTTAATAATCCTTCAATGCTATTACAGTTGATACATGTCACTAAAATCCAACAAATCAGAAACAAAAGACTCTAGATTGCATACCCTGTACAAATGGTTAATTTTCTTGCATGGTAATATTGGTTTTCGCATTGTGATAGATTAACCAATTTGTCCAAATGCTCAGCAAGAATGACTTCGAAACGAACTCATTGTCATCTTAACTGTAAAAGTTTTCAATTTGCAATTGACTGGTGCTCCCAAACAAACTCATCTACCATGATTTTTCACTACAAATGCACAACTGTCTTAAAATTACCATAAAGTTTATGAGCCTGCTATGGTCCTTATTCCTTTGTCATCGACCACAAATTTCTAACATCAATTTCATGTAGCTCCGAAGTGTTCGTTCGGTTTTTCTCCTACTGCTATATGATCATACAAGATATCATTTTTAGTCATACATTTTTCATAGCTGTTTGAAACAGTCAACCAGTTGATAGCATCATCCACCTACATTCTGACTATTGACATCATAATCCACCACTCGGTAACATTGTCTTCGGAGTTGCCATGACCATTATTCGACCACCCAAAAAAATAATAAAATCTCTTCTCTTCTTGCATCCTATATCTTTTGCAATTCTACATGGTTAATTGTTTCAGCAATATACCAAGAAGGTTTTTTGGGGCATCAGTTGATATTTGGAACATATCACTGGGACTCAACATGTGTGAGACCTGTTTTTTTTAGACAATTTGAATATCTTAAACCATTTCACCTTTCACTTTCATATGTCTTTGTTTACCTATGCCAATTAAAATGAAACAAACACAAGATAATTGCAGGCATGGAGGTTGAGATATAGGAATAAGATAATGATGCAAGTGCCTTTGATCCTGTTGATTAAATAGCTGTACAACCTACTCCTGAATGTCTTTTTAATGACACCGAGAATTAGGTGATACAAACAGAGATTTTTTATGATGCCAGGTTTTCTATGGGCCAAACACTATAAAGTGGGGAACCATGATGAATTCACCCACCATGAAGACATGGTTCGGATTGACAAAGTTGATACATGACATCTAAATTGATAGCTAATGTTCCTAAAACCACATTTTTCTGGTTCCTATCCTCTTTGTTTTCTCTTTTTCTCCTCGTGAATTCTTGATCTACTTGGAACGTTAAAACCCGGGGCTATACAACAACAACAAAACCGTAAGTCCTAATTGATTTCACTGTGGCCTATGAGCTACAAAACATAGGCACATGCAACACCATAAATCATTTGAATGCAGCAATAATCTTGCCATACTAAGTGCTACCAACAACCAAAAACCAACTGTTTATCCCCCTACAATTCAATGTCATAACATTATTCGATTTACGAACAACCAGAAGTAATCATCGAATACATCTTCACAGAAACAATGGCTTACGTACCGCCGCCGGTTGGATACAGATGTTCCTGGAGGCTGCCGCTGGCCATGTACTCATAAACCAACAGCCTGTGACCACCTTCCGAACAGTAGCCGATTAGTCCGAGCAAATACGCCGACCGGAGTCGCGTCAGTAACTCCACCTGCATTCGATCCCAATTAGCTTCATTCTGAACAGTATAGATGATGAGAGTATAAGACATCAAGAAAAGATGACCCCGAGGAAGAGATCACCTCCATCTTGAACTCCTCCTCCCCCTGCTTCCCGCCGCTGTCCATCAGCTTGACGGCCACCTTCCTCCCGTCGGGGAGGGCACCCCTGTACACTGACCCGAAGCTCCCGTGCCCGACCACGTTCCCCTTCCCGAACCCGCCTGTGGCGGTGTGCAGCTGCTTGTAGGCGAACAGCTGCACTCCTCCCCCACCTTTCCCCGCGGCCACCACAACCTCCACCTCTCCGCCGCCTCCTGCGGCCGCCTCCTCGTGATCCGCCTCTTCCCGGGCCTCGTTCTTGAAGGCCTTTCGACGCTGGGACACCTTGCTGCGTATGTAGCAGTAGTAGCCGAGGGCGACGACTAGGGAGGCGAGGGCGAGCACCGCGAGGACCACGATCACCACCAGCGCCACGCTCTCCTCCCTCCTCTCCTCCGCGTCCATTGGCGAAGCACTGACACAGTGACACTGATCCCTGCTCGAAGTTAGCAGGAGAAGAGCGATGTACAGTACATTGATGAGACCGGAAGGAGGATGGTGAGAGGCATAACTACAAGATTGAAAAGACGACACAAAAGCTAGAGAGAGAGAGAGACAGAGAGAGAGAAGGAGACAAAAGATTTAAACATGAAAAGCTTCGTGCATGGGACCTGTGAGCAGACAATGGCCTTCGCCCAAGGCTGCAAAGGTCGAGTGTTTGCTAGCTACGGAGACTTCGCGTGTGGGCTTCAGCTCAGGGAAGATGACACGAAGCAATCGAAACATGACATTTCGACGATCTGGTCGTTCGTGATTCGAGGATAAGCGTGTTCGATGCTCCGCTCATCGCGAGATCACAACGGGCCATCCCGTTTCGAAATCAACGAGAGGGTTCATTTGCGCGGGACACTGTGCAGGTGCGGACACGCAGCAGGAAACCAGGGTAAGTTTACACGTTGTGAATCGTGCTTCATCATGCTTCTGCTTTGACCATTCTCACAACATGGCATTCACTCCCGATTAATAATATCAAAGATCTCGGGGATGATCATAAATTAATTTATGTATCTCATTTAAGTAGCTAAAGATCATCTCAACTGGGAAAAGGAAGGAAAGAGAGGAGCATTAGCAGAAAAAAGATTAGATGGTATTATTGACCATCAAATCCAAAATAAATGTACATGAAATGACTACAAGCTGGATTCAGCTAAAGCCTACATTTTCCTGTACTCTTTCTCTGCTCAATGATCCGAGTCTCGCCGTTCTCCTCCTTCATCGGCCTCATCGAGGGGGAAAGAAGCGGTTCAGGTTGAAGGGGAGCGTGTAGAACTCCTCGTTCCTGCCATCTCCTTTGAACTTTCGAAACCTCGCCCACCACGGCATCCCTCGGTCACCGGCGGTGTCCTTGAAGTCAAGCGTGTTGTCCAGGAACACCGCGACGATCAATGCCACCGTTGGCGGAGAGGAGAAGATCGTGTTGATGTAGTCATTGAACTGCAGCAGCACAATGAACATACATATGAATCCAGATTATTGACATGTTAATAATCTTGCTCCGAGGCTGGTGAGATGCAAACGAGCGCAAGTGATACGCACCCATTCTGCCTTGGTGTGGGCTGGACCGTGCCGTGCGCTCGCAGTGTAGCGAAAGAAGTACTGAGGAATGGATAGGCCGAGGAAGATGGAGACGCCCGTGATGAAGAGGTTGCGCATGGAGTTCATGTTGGTGAACTGCAACAAGGAGAGCCCCACCGCAGCTGGAACAGAAACATCGATCATGATCTAAACACTGGTGTTTATCTGAAACCGGAGGAGAAGCAACGGGAGAACCTACCCACGATACCAAACAGAACACAGTAAACAGCAGCGAAGATGGTGAAGGGAATGGAGGCGAACAAAGCTCCAAATTTCCCTGTGCCAGACAGAGGAGGAGGAGTAGCTTCAACATTACACCGTGATGCTGAAACCTAATTGACGGGTTCAGAATGGTTTGTTTGCTCATCACTCACCCAAGATGGAGAAGAAGATCATGAAGCCAGCAGAGATCTGAATGACCCTCCGACTTCCCACCCTTGTTGATCCAAGAAGCCCCACATTCTCCCTGTTTGCTTGTGCTCGCAGTTAGTAATCTTCGTAATATTTATACTCATGATTCAGTGAATGTGTATTAGAACATCGTGAAATCTTACACTGACACAGTTGAACCGGTCGCAGTTCCGAAGAGTCCATCAAGAAGAACTCCAATTCCCTGTTAGTTCATGCGGCATGGCAGATATCAACACACAACTCGCTCGATAGATAGCTCATGATTAACCTGAACAGACATCTACCTGCCATCCAATGCCTCGGCTGAGAACGTAAGCTGGAGGCGGTGTTGCACTAGCGAGGCGGGCTGCAGCGTTGTAAGCCCCTGTTGACTTCAGCGAAACAAGAGACCATTTAGGTTAACGAGAACAAACGACGGGGACGGTGGTGTTCGACGTCGCTGATGCTTACCTCAATCATTGATACAAGAACAGCAGCCATCATCCCGAAAGAATGGCCAGCATCAAAAGTTGGTGCACCCCATTGCAACGGGTACGGAATCTTTATCCTGAAAGCCTCCATGTGTTAGCCCAAAGCAAATGCAAGGCGTTACAGAGAGACCAAGGAAACAAGATGAGCTGGGTGAGTACCAGGGAGCAGAGGAGATGAGGTCGGCACGGTCAGTGCGGCAGTTGATTTGGGTGCGCTCGGGGCGGTGCTTGTAGGCGCCGCCGACCGTAAGCAAGTGAGCATAAACCCAGATGATGGTGATGGTCAACAGAAGAGAGAACCTCTCCAATACGGGCAGCCGTCTAACGTGCAGATGCTTCAGATACTGATCGAGTTCTCAGGTTTGGATCCCAAAGAGAAGTTGGAAGAAGACAGAAAAGGAAACGAATTGAAGTCAGTTGCATGATCTTCCATGGAGTTGCATCACCAAAGCATGCAAGATGCATCTGTACCTGAGAGGCCGCAATGAATAGGATGAGCATCGGAACGCCAATCTCCACACATCTCCCAACCTGATGCATTCATTATCCAGCTTAGGCTTCAGGATCGAATGCAATCTGAATTCTTGTCTTTTATTTTCAGAGTAATTATGTGGAGAAACATGCAAGACATGTACCAGAATGCACAGTTAGGATCTAAACGATTGACCTATCGAAGCTACAACAGCATCATGTCATGCAAAGCTCACTAATCTCTTCACGTCACAGATCTTACTGATGATATCCAAGAAAAAGAGAAGCAAAAGGAGGAGTACCACGGGGAATCCTCTGTCGAATAAACCGAATCCTACCAGCGAGACCACCGGAACCATACCCAGAGGACTGAAAAATCTGAAACAAAAGCTTATGGTTAGCTCATGTTTCTGTGCATGTTTACAGATTCCACAAGATCCATTTGATGGAGAGTTCGATGCTGCTAAACTGCCAACTTGTTCTTCGTCGAGTGGCAACTGAGTTGGCTGATCCAAGCGATGATTACTTGAGAATTCATGGCTCACATATGCTGGATCACGCTGCCGGGCAATCTACCAAGAGACAAAGATACATCTAATGATCAAAGAGAAGCAGATGTACCTGGAGAAGATACTCCACAACTGGCTATAACCCAGAACAATCTGAATGCAGGAAGACACGATTAAAGCTCCTTGTATTGCTCTCATGGTTTGGAGAAACCTCTGCAACACAATCAAACCAATCCACAGAAGAATCTGACTGCAGATTTTTCTGCAACTAAAAGAGAGGGCTATATTGACCAAACAACTTGTCGACTTACTTCGTGGTCATCAGTTATCCTTGTCAGGGATGAGTCGTGAATTATGGATATGATCGGAACCACAAATGCGTATGAACCACCGACGATAGTTGGAAGGCGAGTCCCGAACAGGGTTTGAAGCAATGTGTTTATGCCGGTCACGAACAGCAATGTCTGGACCACCCTGACCTTATCATCCTGCAGCAAGGACTTCACCATTAACCTCAACAACAAGAACAAATCTTTTGTGTCTCTCTCATAAGGTTCGTCATCAAGGTGCTCCCATGTCCATTCTCTCGCATTCTCCTATTTCACTTCTTAAAGATTCTTTCTTTCTTTTATGTGAATGAAATTTTCAATAATTAGAAGGAAAGGGATTGTTCAATCATCAGAATCCAACGAAGTAGATGACTTGGAGGAGAAAACCAAAAAGGGGATACGGAGGAAACGAAATGGATGGGTTTTGATACACGAGTATGCAAGTCTTACGTCACTTCCTCCCATCAATGGTACCAGCAAAGTTGGGATCATCACCGCTGCGCCCAACGCCAATATGTAATTCTGAAAGCCCAAAGAAATGGCCTCTCCTGCAATCCAGTATGCGATCAGAATGCAAACATGTCAATACATACCATTCAAACCGGAAAAGGAAGTCGAGAAGCTCAGTAGCAATCGGACGCACCCCAAGATGGATTGGAGTCGATGCAGTACTCGAATCCCTGAAGCTGATCCATGGGCGGATGCGTGACGATCTCCTCCGGCTTGACTTCCGCCATCTCCAAGACCTACAGAGCTCCCGAACACCCAAACAGGCTTCCAAGAAAAATCCGACCTTTCTGAGATCTTCCAACTAGCACACCAAGAAGGAATTTTTCCGACTGCGCAGCGGATGAGGAATCCAGCAACAAAAGAAAAGGTTCGTCTTGAGAGGCAAAAAAAGCCGAAGAATTATTTGGTGAAAGCTGCGAGGAGAAAAGGAGTAGGCGTTGGAAAAGGACGCGCAGAGGATGAGGACGAACGAAAAGGAAGAGAGAGTGTGTCGTCGCTGGCAAGAGAAAAAGGGTAGAGGAGGCTGCGTCCGGGACAAAAACCACTATGCCACCCACTCACTCTGTTCCCCTTTTTATGCTTTCTCTCTCTCCTTGCTTTATAGCTATCGCCATGGGAATTCTCCCGTTGGCCTTGCTGTGTCGTGCGCAGTAGTTTCCAGCCATGAGAGCAGCTCTTCAGCATTTATGGCGACTGCTGACGATTCAAAAGAGGCAGGGAGAAAGGGACGAAAGTTTCATCATCGTCGATGAGAACAACTTTTGCGTGGTTGCAATTGTGGCCTGACACAATCTATTGAAAAGCCGGAACGATTACGTCCAACAATTACAAATTGGAGTTAATCTGGTGATCGCAGCTAAGAGAGATTAGGGAGTTCCATGGACAGGGGAGGTGGGTGTGAGAGCAGCTTTTGGGCTGAGGATTAAGTAGTCGAAAAGAAAAGGATGTCGAAGGACAGAGATGAGTCAGATGTGAAGAGACGGTCGGAGTGAGGGTGTGGTTCTGAGTCAGCCTCGACGCGATCATCGGTGGCGAATCTCCTGACGCCTTCATTTCTCCTGTAAAATATTTGCTCAGCTCGCCAAAGCTGCCGGTAGATTCGCCTCCGGCAGCCATCCCAGTAAATGCATCCTAAAACCAAGAGTCCGAGACATGCAAAATCCGGTGATCTTATTCTTTAATGTGAAAAGAGGATCTCGATCTACCGTGGTAGACTTGATCGGGTCCCACTCATCTTATTTGTTTGTTTGTTTCATGTTCCAACTCATGACACGAAGTGAATATTTTAAAATAATAAAAAAATTTAATTTTAATTTAATTTAAAAAGATTTGATGTCTGTGTTATTCTTTGAATTCTTAAGTCAATAAATATCTCAAACAAATTTAAAATATTTAGTAAAAAATTTAGAAGATTTTAGAGAAAGAAAAAAATTAAAATCCTTATATATCAAATAATTAGTGAAGTTGAGAGGATTCGAAAGGCATAATTAGTATAATTATTAGGATTCAATCGGATATAATTGGTATTAAAATTGGGAGCATATAACAGTTCTCAAATAAAAGTGGGATAGATTTGAAACACAAAAAAGAAAAAACATAAGGTAGGAATTACAAAATAATAATATTTAATTTCATAAAAATATTTACTGACTCTCAAGTCTTCTATGCTTTGATCTACTAGGATAATTACATGTAACGTAGAATAATAACTTAAACTAATATCATATTATCTTATCTCTTATTTGAATTAACTAAGACTCTCTATAATCAATTTATCTAAACCTCTTATCTTATATTAAATTAATAAAATCTTACCTAACAAAAAAAAAGACTTACAACTATATATATATATATATATATATGTCTAGTACATGCATCTAATATTATCCCTCAATTATGGATATTGTATTTCAAAGAATGCATTTTAGAATTAAAAAAAATCAAGATTATTAAAATATTTAGAGTTTGGTGTCAAAGTACTATTGTAATTTTTTTAAATTATAAATATTTTTTTTATTTTATTCATTATTATTCTTACTACTTAGATGAAAGATTTCAATATATATTATGTTTATCAAAGGAGCCCGACATAAAAACAAGAAATCTTAATAGAAACATACTCATCTTTATACTTAATGTACCTTGGAACAATCAAAATGTACAAAAATATGAAATAACATTATTGGTCGTAAAAAATGAAGAATCATAATTCAATTTATTGAGAAGTGTCTCACATGTCAATAAATCAAAATAGACCAACAAGTACCTCGAGAACATTGTAAATACTCGAATGAAAATAGAAAGAAGTTAGCATAAATTTTGTTATGTGTTTGGCTAAAACTAATAAAAGACAATGGAATTTGAGTAGATTGATTAAGATAGCCTACTTCTTACCTATTCGTATTCCATAGATCAATATGCTCAATTATATACCTATAAAATAATTAGATTCCACATTGTGTCAATGTTCATTGTGCCAGATAAAGACTCCTAATTCAAATCAGAATTTTGGATAAGTCTACATAAGACACTATAAATAAAGTTAACTTATAATACTACTTTTCATCATCAAACAGATAGATAATCAATAAAAAAAAAAATTCATTCAGATATTAGATGATATGCAATGAGCTTGTAATAGACTTTAAGGGATTATGATATAAATATTTACTCTTGATAGAGTTTGCCTATAATAACAATTACCGGGTAACTATTGGGATGACATCATTTGAAGTATGATAGAAATTATCGATCACATTTTCATTGGGATGAGATAGGTGAAAAAAAAAATTTGGATTAGATTTGGTGAGATAAATAATAGAGATAGACAAAAAAAAATTTACCAGAAGGCATCAAAACATACATAAATATTATTATGCCGATAATAAGGAAGACCTTTCAAATTTAAAATAAGCAATAAGATATCATTAAAAGCGATACGGACAAAAGGAGTTATGGGGTTTAAGAAGATAAGCTAAGTTCTCGATATATAGAACCATATGAAATTCTTGATAAAATTGATGATGTTACCCATAGATTAGCCTTACCTTCTACATTAATATATGTACATAATAATTTAAATATTGATATTTTTTTAAATATTAATATAATTTATATTTTTAACTAATAATTAACTTACATAAACTAATATGAATAACTATAATAACATATTATAATTTTAAAACTTTTAAGGTATATATATACACTCATATGCCAAACTCAATTTTAACTAAAAAATTTGTTAATCATTGACTCTTTTTGTATATACAACAAAATCAATAATAATAAATCATAATATCTCATTTATTTGGTATATATATACCTTAAAAATTGCAGTTATTTTTTTGGGATACTATAAGTTAATATATACGTATTTATGTATGTATATATATATATATATACATAAATACCTGTATATATACATTTCTCCATAGATTCTCCATCATAATGATTTCCCATGTAACATGTTTCTTGCATGCTTTAAGAGTCTAGAGTATGCTAAGCGTGGTCGCTCTAGCACGAAGTCAATCGAAGCAAGTCTTCAACAATAACTAATATGGTTTTATTTATAGTCGAGAGAAATATTTCTAAAATAGAAAAATATTTTAAACAATAATATCTTCCTACTCTTGCCAACTTAGTATGTCTCGGAAATTGAGTTGATCTTATTTATAGTTGAGGGTAATATTTCTAAAATATAAAATATTTTAAACAATAATATCTTCGGCCAACTTAGTTTGTCTCGGAAATTGAGTTGCTCTTATTTATAGTTGAGAAGAATATTCTTAAAATATTTTAAAGAATAGTCTCCTCTTACTCATCCAACTTAGTATGTCTCGGGAGCTAAGTTACTCTTATTTATATTTAAGGAAAATATTTTTAAGATATAATATATTAAAGAATAGTCGTATATATATATATACCATCGCGGGCAGAAGAGCAATACCTTGCCTACCCGTGTGACATGGCTTACTCGACTATCCGCAATGTGATTGGAGGAGATAGTGGAGCCCAGACGACCGTAGATGTCGACGGGTTACAAGAGTCGGTCGGTTTGGTAGGCGAACGAAAGAGTGCTGATACCAAAATCATGGGGTAAAGTTGGTATGCGTTTCGTGAGGTCCCACATGTGTCTCCCAGTCATCAAAAAGGTTAACGAGTGGGTGGAATAGAGTGTGTTCTGCTGCGTGAATGACGCGAATCTAAAAGTAACAGCTGGATGCGTCCCCAATTTAATAGCTCTCTCGTTGGAAACTCGGGACCCACCTACCGTTCGAAGTTTGCCTCACGACTCGGGGTACGACCAGGTGATCGCTCTGCTTATCACGCGTTTCGTGTCGCTTGAATCGCGAGTTGAGTCGTGGGAACGACTGATTTGGGAACAACATATCGTCTCCAATTTTGGTTGGGAAGGGAAACAGAATAAGGCAACTCTTCGTTATCTCCAACGGAAGACCCGACGACTTGTCCCCCGTTTCCGTCCCATCACCGTCACGCTTTCTCCGTTTCCCATTAATAATCCCACTTCGTTCGGAAAAACCTATCGTTGTTGTAGCGAAGGGAGAGCGCGCTCTCCCAATCTGAATGCGTTTGAGGAGCAAGCAGAAGGTTGAAGGATTAGGATCCGATCTCTGATGTCAGAGGCGGCAAAGAAGACGACGAGCGACCAGGAGAGGAGAGGGAAGAACGGCAAGGACCTCCTCCTTGGCCGCTTCGAGGTCGGGAAGCTCCTTGGCGCCGGAAGCTTCGCCAAGGTCTACGTCGCCCGCAACGTGCTCACCGATAAGCTCGTCGCCATCAAGGTCCTCGACAAGGATAAGATCGTCAAGGGCGGATACATGGGGCACATCAAGCGTGAGATCGCCGTCCTCCGCCGAGTTCGCCACCCCTACATCGTGCAACTCTTTGAGGTAATGGCCACCAAGACCAAGATCTACCTCGTGATGGAGTACGTCCGCGGCGGCGAGCTCTTCTCTCGAGTCAACAAAGGCCGCCTCCCCGAGGACAACGGCCGCCCCTACTTCCAGCAACTGATCTCCGCCGTCGCTTTCTGCCACGCTCGCGGGGTCTTCCACCGCGACCTCAAGCCCGAGAACCTCCTCGTCGACGAGCGCGGCGACCTGAAGGTCTCCGACTTCGGGCTCTCCGCCGTGGCCGAGCAGAAGCGAGCCGACGGTCTCTTCCACACCTTCTGCGGCACCCCGGCCTACCTCGCGCCCGAGGTGCTCTCCCGGAGGGGCTACGACGGTGCAAAGGTAGACGTCTGGTCCTGCGGCATCATCCTCTTTGTACTCATGGCGGGTTACCTCCCGTTCACCGACCGCAGCCTCCTGACCATGTACCGGAAGATCTACATGGGCGTGTTTCGGTGCCCCCGGTGGTTCTCCGATGACCTCGTCCACTTCCTCCACCGCCTCCTCGACGTCAATCCCCAGACCCGAATCACCATCCCCGAGATCATGGCGAATCCCTGGTTCACGAAAGGGTTCCGGCGCGTCGAATTCTACATCGAAGACAACCAACTGCACAGCCTGGGTGATCCAGAAGATGAACAGACGCAGAGCAACGATGAACCCTACGAATCGGGGTCTGAATCGGACTGCTCCGTTGCCTCCTGTCCAGCGTCGTTCTCCTACGAGCAGCGTGAGCCGCGAGGGCCGCAGAGCCTTACAGCGTTCGACATCATATCCTTCTCCAAGAGCTTCAACCTGTCGGGGCTGTTCGAGGAAACAGGGGAGACTAGGTTTCTGTCCAAGGAGCCGGTGTCGGAGATCGTGGCGAAACTGGAGGATATTGCGAAGGCCATGAGTTTCAAGGTGAGAAGGAAGGCCTGTCGGATCAGCTTGGAAGGAACGAGGGAGGGAGAGAAGGGCCCGCTGACCATCGGCGTGGAGATATACGAGCTAACGCCGTCAATTGTGGTGGTGGAGGTGAAGAAGAGGGCCGGGGACGGACAGGAGTACGAAGAATTCTGCAGCAAGGAGCTGAAGCCCGGGATGCAACACCTCATCTGCGAGTCGCCTCCCGTCGCCAAAACCACTTCGAGCTCATAGTAAGGCGAGAAGAAACATAACCGATTAGGACATATCTTATTAGATACAGTATTTGTGCAGCAGTTGCTTGCATCGTTTTCTTTCATATTTGATGATTTGGATGTATTCATTGAAAGATTCCAATCTGTAAATATACCTTCTGCAAGAAGTTGGCTACACTTTGCAGGCACCAAAACAGCAGTCATACGCATTCCACCTTCTTGCAATAAGTTTTGAGTAAACCGAGCAGGCAAACAAAACAGCAGTCATCATCACCTCCGCTTCCTCACTGGACTTCAGTTAGCCACGAGAGAGCAAAGCTCAAGTACAACAGAGAAATATTAAGGAATTTACACTCTGGTCATATAATCTTGGTCCCCAATGCACCAAGTTGCGGTAATCGAACATACAATGATTATACATATTCAAGTTCGTAGTAGATCTGTATCGACACACCCTGGTCTCTCGCAAAGCCTATAGACTGCGGAAGACCCCTGGTTCACAATTGAACACTATGGCTAAAGAAAGAGGATGATGGATCTCCGATGGTTCAACCGTACAACAAAGAGCAGGAAGATGAGCACATTGAGGTTCACATGACGATGGACGACCAATATACAAGAAAGTTGCCGCGTAGTTCTACAAAGAGGTCCGGGTTTGGATGGAGCAACACGAAATTTCAGGGGGATCAGCTCGCTTCGACCGACAGGATCTCGAGTTCTGCCCACCAAAGTGGAGAGAGTCTTGGTGTGGCTGCTTCGGGTGAAATCGCAATCACTGCCCTCAACTTAGAAGTAACTTCCTTCATGGTCGGCCTCTTGCTCGGCTCGGGATTGATGCAAGCTTGGATGATCTCGCAAATGATCACTAGTTCCTCTTCTTTATGGGTCTTCAAACTGGGATCAACCAAGGAGCCAACACCACCATTACCATTGAGGTACTCCACAACCTGTTGTTTCAGCGGAGCAGGTATCTTAGAGCCACTACCACATCATCTAGTCCTCTTAAGAAACAAAAGATTTATGCTAGCACTTTTTGGACAATTCAAGAGGAAAAGAAGGAAATAAGAAACTAAAAGGCTCTCGCTACTAGTAACCACGACTGTGATATGTGTCAGCTTACCGAGTTCAGAAGGGAGTCTTGTTCTTCAGAATATGGAACCTTTCCAGAAACTATTTCTAACAACAGGATTCCAAAACTATAAACATTGCCTGCAGGATCTGCAGAAAGGGATTCAGAGGGATCAAGGTCATCGTCTCCATTTGTCTTTCCCTCGCTGACAATTTCTTTCCAAACACTGACATCCGCAATCTGCATGGGATTAATCAGCTTATAATCATATATAACAAGAAGAATAAGTCATAGATCCATCTATTCCTAGCATCTAATAGAGCCACCATATTGTAGACACTGTTGGTTCACCTTGGCAGCAAAATCCTCTGATACGAGGATCGAGCTCGACTGCAGGTTGGGATGGGGCACGGATGGGTTCAGCTCATGCATGTGCTGGATACAGTAGGCCATCCCCATAATTATCCTCATTCTAGCACTCCAATCAAGTTGCTCAAATTCTTCTACTGCACAACAGTTAGATTTGTTATTAGTTTGGTCTGTCATTAACTGCTTCAATGCCAAGCTTTCATCAAATGCATTATTCTTTTCTCACCATGAAGATGCTCATAGAGTGTGCCATTAGGTGCATATTCAAGGACCATCATTCTCATAAATGGCTCATCCTCCTCACAGTAACCGAGGAGGTTGACAAAGTTCTTGTGATTCATACGAGACAGCGTGTCTATCTGTATGTCCAAGAGGACGAAAATATGTCAATGCACTGGCCATGCATCAATTTAACATGTGGAGTATAGGCAGAGAAGATAAACTGCAACAAAAATACCAAGAATGAAAAACCTTTTTCCTGAAAAGAAATTCTGAATGCCTTGACCAATCATCGGTAGATGTGATGGTGGTCGATACTACTGCTATCTCGACCCCACTTGATAATGTTCCCTTGTAGATTGTGAAATCTGGATAGCTGACAACAATATTGCTGAAATCCTCACAAGCAGCTTCAAGCTCTGGGCGCTTTAATTTTGGTACCCCTTTAAGTATGAGAGAGAAGATATTAAGTTGGGTGTATTGGCATGCATGAGAACAAACATTTAGTTCAATGAAAACATTTCCCTGTGTAAACTAATTAGAAGCACAGTCTCCCTTGCTACCAGTGCATCAGGAAAGATGAAGCATTCAATAACCCAGTGAATAGAACATATTGCTGGTAGTAGATCAGGTGGCATTTAAGTAGCACCAAAACTAAGTAGCAAAAAATAAGCCTTCTTCAATAAGCTATTTTTTGTGCTTAAATCTGCCTTGAAGCATGCCCATTACCTACAACCTAAATAATTTTCCTGATGGGAGAAGGCTTCTCTGTAAAGATTCTGATAACGAACTTAAAGATCACTTCATACAAATTCTGTTTTCATACATCCATTTTACTCTAGGTGAACAGATCACATGAAATGTAGCACCAGTAAACTAAGTCAACTTCACTGCACATCCCCATGTTTTGAGCTGGAATCAATTAATTATAAATGATAATATAAACATGAGAAGAGCCTAACTAGACAAAATGTTGAAACTAAATAGCTCACCCTGATCAAATAGTTATTATATCCTGACATGTCAAAACAAGTATCATATTATTAACGACCAAACATAGTAAGTAGAAAGGGATTCACCTGTTACAAATGCCTTCTGTAACTGACCACTTAGGCCAGTTTTCCAAGGACCTATAGTAGATGAATTCTTGCTGCGGCAAACCAAAAACATGCATGTCACCAGGGTAAGAAGCAAAGCAGCTGCCGGAAGAACAAGAACGTATAACCATGTTGCTGATTTTTTGTTCAACGGAATATCATTCCCAGCAGAATCCGTAGGCTTTGTCGGTGTTGATTCAGGAGGAGTTTTCGAAGGAGAAACAGGTGCTGGAGTTTGAGGAGGTATAGGAGCTGGGGCTGGCTTTAGTTTAGATTTATCTCTTATTGCAGGAAATGAACCACTTGCAATAGGTGGAACAGTGACAGCTTGAAGTACAGGACCATTGCTTCCAGGAGCAGCAGGGAGGTTTCTGGTTTCTTCAACCAGCCTACGGCGTGCAGTTGGTACATGTACATTTGATGCTATATATGGCTCACCAAAACCAGCTGCAGTCAGTAAATATTATAATTGCTGTTGAGTAAAACTCTTCTAGTGGTCAACGATATTGAATCAACAGTATATATATTTTTCACTTACTGGCTAAATAATTGTTTCTTTCCTTTTGTCCATCCGCAAGACTTCCTTCAGATCTAAGGCTTGGAAGCAAAACTCTTCTGCATTTGAGAGACATTTATAAAAAATTGTCATCAGCTATCAGAAAAGTTATTGCCGAGATAAAAACATACAAAAAGGTAGAAAAGAAAAATTCTTACAGGGGTGAAATATCAAGGATCTGTATAATTCTTCCTTCAAATGGGATCAGAAAGGAGTTAAATTTCTTCAGCGTTTGCCAACCAGTCTCCCAGAAGCTGATATTTAATAATAATAGCAATAATGTGAATATCAAAATCCATTCCTTCAACTTATACAGATTACTTGTAGAGTATGAAAAAAAAAAAAAGAACTAGTCAAAAATGCAAATACAAGTATCTGGACAATAGAAGCTAATGATGAATCTTAATAGAGAAATTAGTTTGAGTCCCTTGGCCTGCCCAATTTCTAGTGAGAAGCTATTGTCGACAACAGCTTTGCTTCCCAATAATTTAATTCGGATTTACTTAATTTCTAGTCATATCCATAATACATTTTAAAACTCTTCTAGCCAGATTAAAGAAAAAAATTAAAATTGCACATAACTCCTGTGGGTGACTAGTTCATTATTTGATCTTTTACATGTATTTGCAGAATACTATCATGCTTTCATGATAATGATAGAACAGTCATGATTAAGTATACAAAGCTACATATGCATTTTTGCCCTCTTTGACGTCAGACTATTTCCATTTCTTAAGAACATTAGTTTGCAGTATTTCAGAATGTCAAGAACATAGGTTTATACATACCCCAATTCCACATTTTGGCTGATATGACCAGAACAATCTGACAATTTCACCATTTAAATAAACAGTAATGCAAGTAGAAATGTCGAAGGATATGAAAGGTCAAAATAAATACAGAAATTACACAAAAGAAGCATAAATCATTGGCTTGGCAGCATGGATCTTTCTCACTATTGAACCAAACATACATACAGAAAAGGTCCTTTAGAATTTAATCAGGGATAAGCTTTTCCCAGTATCTACTATATTATTGTTTATTAATTGTTGACTATTTTAATTCTTTTATTCCTTACTTTGACATCATCAACAGAACAAGCAAGTTCATTTGGGAAAAGATAATCATTGCTTCATTGGTTCAGCCTATATGAGATATAAACTTGCGTGAAAACAGCCTGGCTACATTGAAGCATGAATCTTACATGAAATACTTCACACTGCCTATTACACATTGAATCTCATGGCTTCTTTTCATAATTTAAATTCTTAGTATAAAGTTAACAGAAAGAGGATCACCTATGGTGCAATTCAATTATAGTGCAATTCACCTTTAACCTTAAAGTTATTTACTCGAAGAAAGAGAATCAGAATTACCTACATGCTTATCAACATGAATAGGTTCCAGAAACATGTAGAAAAAGGAAATGTGACTTACCAATTCTTAACTTTCCTGTTAACATGACCCAGATTATTAGCCATATCACAAGAAAGGTTCTGATCATGCATCAGATCAAAGTGCATGTTAGGATTTTGGATCAGAAGTGTGTTGCCTTGCAACTTGTTATGGCAAAGCAGACTGCAAAAGGAAAACAGCAACATTTCCTCATAAGTTACTTTCCTCAGCTGATGAAGCAAAATTGTAAATCTGTAACAAGAGACTCACAGATGCTTGAGAGAGAGAATTTCTCCAATCTCCTTGGGAATTGTACCATTTAGCATGTTGTTCCTCAAGTCTAAGAGCTCCAACATGGTTAGTCCTCCAATCTCCTTAGGGATGACACCATAAAAATTGTTTCTGTAAAGTACACTGTTGACAGAAAACTAGTTATTATGACAATGGAAATAATGATAACATTAGAGATCCTAGTGCATCAAACTAATTTTAACCAAGCTATTGATGACCTGAACATATTAAAATTGACAGCCAACAATTAGCCTAGTGGACTGTGCCCTTCTAATATTAGGAAGAAGTTCCATTTGCTAAGATTGTGAAGGTGCAAGGAGTTGCCTAGTTGTAATGTGTTAGCAGCTTGTGTGATTTTTTTTTCATGTCTTTCTTTTCTTTTTCACTTATTCTCCTGCTGCCATACTTGTGCCGATACAACAGTGTGCTAGGCCATCTTGACACAGACGTCAAACATTTGTAATGGATATGGCAATCCTTGCTTGAGAACGTGCTACCCTCAAAATAATAGGAAAACATGTAAGATGCTTAATAGGTGTTTACGAGGAAGAATTTTCTGCAAGAAGCATCAGAAAGATGGAGCACTGGCAAGTTGATATGGATGGGAATAAAAACAGATGGCACAGACATTTTACTGGAACAGAAATAGGTAGAGAGAAATAGTTTCTTATGAATATTTCCTTCATTCCCTGTATGTTCATAAGAAAAATATCTGTTAATGTAAAGCTCTACAAAAAAGATATTTGATCAACTCAAGCTGATGCTAACAGGTTTTTATTTTACACATCTTATCAAATCATGGTTCCTTCTATTCAACATTGGCTATATTCAGACGAAAGGAAAGATTCCCCACCCACATATTATGCAAATATTATTTTAAATATGAAATTAATAAAACTTACAGAGCTCTCAGGTGACTGAGATTCCCAAGCTCAGGTGCCAAAATTCCTCGCAGAGAAAATTCTTTAAGGTTCCTACAAATGTGCAACATTGTTAGACCTTGAACCCATCATAAGATACCATCACATGAATGTGCAACACTTTTACAGAATGTAAGATGTGAGTTTAAAGCAAAAGACACTAATCAAGGTTGAATATTTTAGAAGCCAACAATACTTCATATTAAGACAATTCTTGTGCGCTATTGGTTCATGTCGATCGTCGATAATCATTTAAGCATCCATTCTAACGCTACGTCCTACTTCAATACTTCCACGAAGAACAAAATGCACAAGACCACCACATCGAGAGAAACACAGCATAAAGAGGGAGATGATCTTACAACGTGACTACTTTACCATCGGCGCAATGAACACCGGTCCAATTGCAGGGGTCGTCGTCGCTGGGATTCCAATTCTGCAATGCCCCGTAAGGATCAGACTCCACTCTCGAACGGAATTCCAACAGCGATAACCCTTCATAAAAAAAACCAACCTTTTTTGAGATACCACCATCATCTTCGACACCACGGTGACAAATGCATCAACAAATTAACATGCACGAATACCTTCGAGGTTGATCGACAAGCACTCATCGCCGAGGAGGTGGATCATCAGGACCACGCATAACACCTTGTGTAAATGGAAACGGAACAGATTCCATCGACCCCCCATTCTTCTCAAACTCGTTCGGCGAATTCTCTTCCACGAAAACCTATCTACAACAGCTCCCCCTCTTCGACTTCTTGAGATCGAAATCGACGAGGGAATGTCCTCATACACAAAAAGACAAAAAAGGAGCAAACTTTACCCCAATCACCACCTACCAGCGGCGCCTTCAAGCAAGCCAAGAGCTTGAATCTTCAAATGGGGCCCCTCATCTTTCAACACCTGCATCAGCAATCCAACCCAACTGAGAACGAGCACCCGGAAGACCAAAAAGAATTCTCCCACTTTTGGGAGGTATCCAGGGATGCTTCGATCTCAAGAAATCCGAGGAGCAAAAGATGGTGCACAAGGAAAAGAAAGAAAAAGGGGGCAAAAAAGGAGGTGCTCACATGGTGCGACGACGATCAAAAGGAGAGGAAGAGGAGGAGGGGAGGTTGCATTGTAGGCTGGGGGAGGGAGGACGACGCATGTCGAGCTCCGAATCCGGTGGATGTGGAGTTTGTTATTATTTTCGTCGGAAATTAATTGTTAACCATAATAATAATAATAATAATAACAAGAAAAGTATCGTAGCATGAGAAACGACGATGGAGAATACCAAACAGTCACCACATTTCACGAACCCGTCTTCGCCACCTCTACTTGGATTATTCCCCGGTGGGTCCCGCATGTTCGTCTGATACGAGAAGGGGAGGACAAACGGGTAGAAAGTGTGTCGCTTTCATCGGTGACAGCTGAGTCTTCCCATTTGGGTTCCGGGTCGAACACGTTCGCTTCTCTGACCACAACTGCTGCAATTTCTTTCTACCCGAATCTTTATTTCATCCAAAAATAATAAATTATTTCTTTTTCCTTTTTTGGATTAAAAAAATGGGGAATATATTTATTTATTATTTTTATTCCGCGAGAGCGTGTGGGTGGAGGGGGACGAGAGGGCGGAATGCGGGCCCGCCGCGGGCGTCGGGAGCGGACGCGCAAAACTCCCACGGCCCCCACCGCCACCACTCCTCGTCGTGCCTCCGCCTCTCCCTCTCTGTCTCCCTCGCACGATTTCCTCCGCACGCCCACTAATAATCCACAGCTGTCCGGTGACATGGCAGCTACAGTTGGCTTAGTGGCTCGCCTGTCACCACGTCATCTCTCTCTCTCTCTCTCTCTCTCTCTCTCTCTTCTTACTCTATGCGATCGATATTGTGAACGCAAATTGTGACTTTGATATATGGTTTGACTTCGACTAATCCGATATGAAGGATGAGTTGTCACACGATTGGGACAGTCACAGTTATCAATACGTGGACTGCATGTCAGCTTGACTCGTTCTCGATCTGCCGCCTTACCACTGCAGCGCTCGTTGGAAGGAAATTTACGTGCCAGTCTTCTTCTTCTCCACATGTCGTTGTTGTGGATGCCCCTTGGTGGATTCTGAACCATTACGTTGGGTGATGCTCTCGAGTGGTCGACTCCCTTGAGAGTTGACGAGGCCACATCGTTGGCATGTGCATGTCCATGTCCATTTTAATGCTCCAGCAGTGGATGAATTCCTATCGTGATCATTCGCTTTAGCAGACATGATAGATGTACTATCAGGTTTGCTAATTATCTATCAAGTCTATCCTTTTTATTTATTTCGGATGTCTATTATTTTTTAATTAATATCTTTTATTAATTTTATATCATAAGTAAGTAAAATTAAGATTGACTTATAAGAATCTGATGACTTTTGCAGCATGTGGAAGTTTCCCATCGTCGTGTCGGTGTGGTGGTTCTGCGACTGTGTCTCACAGGATCAAGGAGAATACATGTCCAGTGTCAACAGAAATAGAAAGCTACCGGTGCACCCAACAGCGGCAGACCACGGAGAGGGACTACTCGAGAGGCAAAACATGCAAGCGTGCGTCCATGTCTGCCTCCATGTTCCTCTGGAGATGAGGGTGTGGGTGTCATCATGTCCATCTTTATAGCATATGCATCTGACCATGACCAGTCGTAAGGAAGGGCACGAGAGGATCGATCATGTCGACATTTGACTCGGTTCGGTTCCATCCCGGTTCACATCCAGGCTTGGACGTCGAGCCAAACATTGGAGGCACAAATCTGTCATTTGGAGTTTGATCGGGGGCGGAAATGTAATGTAGCCGATCAGTTTCGGATGTAACAGTCCGACAGCGAAACCCAACCCGCTCGGGGAAATGGCACACCGTACCAGTCAAAGCTTGGCTGGTCCATCAACGTTTGTCAGGGTGGCAGCATCACAAGGATGGTAAGTCGAAGGGGAAGTTTCAATGCGTGGATTAAGTGTTCGGAGGCCAACTCAAAGGACAGTGGGGACAACGGCCATGGCCGGTGGGCCCAGTTGGGGGGTCTTCAAGTCCAATGGAGGTCCGGTACAGGAGCGACGAAGGCGCCCCACGGCCACTGCTCCAGTCTCATCCGCGTACCCATGCCTCATCCTGCTTTCCCGATTCTCGATCCATCCTATTATGGAAACCAAATCAAATCGTAAACAATATTAGGACGAAGCCCCTCCCTCTGCTTGGGCGGAAGGGCGAAGAAGGTCACCCCATCGCCCTTCTCGCGCTCGCGCTCGCGCTCGCGCTCGCCCTCCTTGGACATCTCGAAGGAAGGAAGGAGGAGAGATGTCGCAGCAAAGGGCCTTCTTATCAAGGGTCTCGTCATCGTCCCTTGGTCTCTTCAGGGAGTCCAGAAACTGGGCGCGGCGGGAGCGGGGCGAGGTGGAAGAGGAGGAGGAGATAGATGGGGGAGGTAGGGATGGGGCGTTGGAGGTTCCAGGGGAGGAGGAGGAGGAGGGCGGGAGGTGGGAGCGGATGCCGCCGGAGCTGATCGGGGAGATCGTGCAGCGGGTGGAGGCCGGGGGGGAGCGGTGGCCGCTGCGGAAGGACGTCGTGTCCTGTGCCTGTCTCTGCCGAAGGTGGAGGGAAGTGACCAGAGGGATCGTCCGCCCCCCGCTCGAGACCGGCAAGATCACCTTCCCCTCTTCCCTCAAGGAGGTAACTCGGTGCCCCTCTTCCCAATTGAGAATGGATCTCGTAGAAAAAAAAATCTCTGATTTTTTCTTTGTTTGTCGTATTACTGAGGCACCAAGAATTTGGGATTTTGATAACTGTTTGGTGACCTTGAATTTATTTTCTTGATTTCTCTTTAATCTTTGCCCTTTTTTGGCTGCTTGTTCTCGATTGTTCTGTTCTAACAATTGTTTATAGAATGTGACAGTTGATTGATTGTGAATATCGTGGTAATTGCAGCCAGGGCCAGCGGATATTCCGATCCAGTGCTTTATTAAAAGGAACAAGAAGAACTCGACCTTCTATTTGTATCTCGGCTTGACACAAAGTAAGTAAATGATAAGTATGATGCTTTTGTTGGTATTATATTTTTGTGTAAGAATTTTTGCTTGCTTTGGTGTAGGATTCTTGGGTATTTGATTTTATAATATACCCTAACTATTAGGGAATATGAACTCCAACTGAATCAAGATAAAAAGATGCAAAAGAACACAGGAAATGGTTAGTGATTTATTTGTTGGACATAATGTACCATTTTTCTGACTGAAAATGACTAAATTAGCTGAAAGAGTTGGTCAATCAAGTCCTTTTGGTTACCTAGTGTTGTGTGGATATTATGGTCCAGGACAAACTCTCTTGCAGTGTAAGCCTTCACTTGGTTTTTTAATTCCTACAGGTGCAATAGAAATTACATCTAGTTCTTTTCAAAATTTCTGATCTTGACCTTGAGTTCATTTTCATGTTGATTTATCTTATGCAGCCTAGAAAATGTTCGTAGTTGGAAACTTTAAATGGCCTGAAAAAAAATTTACAACCTGAAAGATAAAATTATGGCATTGATGTACTAAAAGTATAAATAAATGCCAAATAAACATTGCTACCTCAAAGAACAGTATAGGAAAAAAAATCAAAATTCTAGAAACTTCTTTTTTTGCATATTTTCCATGAATTGAACATATTGACTTTGACAACATCCAAGAGAAGAGAACTTCAATCAATAGACAAGAATCATAATTGGTAGAACTCCTTAGAGTGACAAGTTATCTTTCCACTGTGGACTTTTAAGTTCTTTGGATATCCAAATTGTGAACACAAATTTTCATATACAGAACATAGAATAGAAGGAGTTCATTACAGAACAAGTTAGCTCCTCCTTTACTTATTATTGTAAAATAAAAAGACTTTCTTTCTCTCCGTTTTCTTCTGTTCTTTTGGCGCTCCTATATTTTAGTGTTTGATGTCTTAACCATTGCACATAATTGGTGGGTGGTGTGTGATGAATTGTATATCATAAGAAATTTTTTTAAGTTTAAGTCTTGTTATATAGTAGTTGTATGGTTTTTTTTTTCTGTGTCTGCTTATTTCATATAATGGATCACTAAGTCGAGTTATTGATAGGCAAAATGGGTTTTCCACCTTGCCAGAAATCGCTTTAGTTTGTTATATTATTTCTGCCTAAGCCTTACCATTGCTTTCATTTTCCAGCTTCTTTCCCTCTATTAGAGGACACATGGAATATCATTTGTATTTGGAGAAATCAATATAACTGAAGATCTATTTAAATATCTTCCATGTAACACTCAACAAAATAGTTCATGTTGCTTACCTCTTGGTCATACCATTTGTGTTAATGGCAGTTGCCCTGTAGCTACGATGCTTAAGATATGCTTAAGGACTCGGATTCTGATGTCCAAAACCCATAGGCATTGGCATGAGGATAGAAATTTATATTTCAGCCTCCAGGATCATTTGATGAACAACAATTGATGAACAATCAGACATTGTCTGGTTGCTTATGTGTTTTAATCCTCAAAGACATGTATGTAATGAGCTGCATGAGAGTTGTAACTAAAACATTATAGGTTGTTGTTGTTGTTGTTGTAATGATAATAAAGGATGGTCATGAAGGGAAACATGATGCGGTCTTGTGACAGAGCGTAACACTAACAAAATCCGGTATTTACTCAAGTAGGAGTCCACCTATATTGAACTCTCAGTTCTTTTGGCTTGATGTTTCATGTTGTAACTATACTGAACACTAACGAGTGATTGTTCTTTGTCAAATTTGTGATGGTCATTGCAACTACTGTACCTGCTCGTATATTGCTTTCTTGGAGATAATATAGTAATCACTATGTGGAATGATGTATATATTTGATATTTATACCAAGCAAGCTTTCATACGATATGCAAAAGATTATTTTGTTAGCATGTTGAATTTGATGATATTTTTGTTCCTGTAACTGACAAATTTTAATGTGCAGGGGAGCAGTATGTAAAGCCATATGTTTTGATGCTTAATTGTACACATCTATTTGTTTTAGAATGTTCTCTATTTTGGTATCTACAGTGCTGGCACATTTTGGTTTTGTTGTTGTAGCATTTATGGATAAGGGAAAGTTCCTTCTGGCAGCTCGTCGGTTTAGGCATGGTGCTCGCACTGAGTACATCATCTCTCTTGATGTTGATGGCCTGTCTCAAGGAAGTAATGCATATGTGGGAAAGTTGAGGTTAGTCTTTCTTTTCTGCTGCATTTAGTTTACTTGCATGGTCTTGCATAGTCCACAGTCTAACTTCTGCAGTTCTCTGTTCTGTTTTGAGTACATTTACTTTTGCATGTTCCTGAAATTTCAGATGGAGTTGCCCTTCTGACGTTCTATTCTATACTGAATTAAAAGCATTTTATATGGCTCGCATGCATTTGTGCACTTCATAGTGTCATATGCCTAATGAACTTGAATAATCAGATTTCACAAGTAGGTTCTTAAATTTATTAGCACAGGTAGATCGACAGTAATCTTATAATTATTCTGTGTTATGTTTCTAAAACTTATATTACCTTGCTGCTCTATTATGAACTGTGTAGTTTTCTCCTCAGCGCCCAGTGTTCTATTGTGTTACCCTTGAATGCTTTGTCAATCTAAATTGAAGAGAAATTATCGCATGTGGGGATGGAAAAGGAGTATGCATCTTTACTTTGATGATAGGATAGGACCTAGGACCATTCTTACATGGATGATACTTATCCCATAGGATCTAGGACCATTCTTACATGGATATTCCATATTCCACAGCTTTCCTGCTTTACTAAAGTGAAGAAGTGCACTAGTTTTTAAACCAAGTTTTGCAGCAAGTATATTTGTTCCTTCAAAACAAGTGCATGCATATGCAGACTTGCCCCATCATTTCGAGTTCATAGCAGCAAAGCATGAATTTCGTGAATCTGAACACATTGCCCAAAAATTCTTTGCAGATCCAACTTCTTGGGTACAAATTTTAGAATCTATGACAGCCAGCCACCACACAGTGGTGCAAAAGCATCAAGCAGTCGAGCAAGCCGGCGATTCGCAAGCAAGCAAATTAGCCCACAGGTTCCTGCTGGTAATTTTGAGGTCGGACAGGTGTCGTATAAGTTTAACCTTCTTAAATCAAGAGGGCCAAGAAGGATGCATTGCACTCTAGAATGTCCCGTGGGCAACTCGGAGGAAGACTCACCAAAGCCGAAGGCACATAGTGGTGGGGTACCCCTAGTTCTCAGGAACAAAGCTCCTCGGTGGCACGAGCACCTGCAGTGCTGGTGCTTGAACTTTCATGGTCGGGTCACAGTGGCCTCAGTGAAGAACTTTCAGCTGGTGGCAACTGCAGATGCCAGCCAACCGCCAGGTGTCGGGGATGAAGAGACGGTGCTGCTGCAGTTTGGTAAGTTCGGGGACGACCTGTTTACCATGGATTACCGGCAGCCACTCTCGGCCTTCCAGGCATTTGCAATCTGCCTCACCAGCTTTGGTACAAAATTTGCCTGTGAATAACAACCTTCCCGGATGCTCTTTCCCTGCCATATGCTGTCCTGCAGTTGTAGTAACACCATATCCTTTGCTTCTTCCTTGTCTCGCTGGGGCCGAGGAGATGTTGTTTGTATCGTCAGCTGCCCAGCTGCCTCTCTTCAGTGACTTCTGAACAAGATGACTGTGTTGTTGTGACTTTTTAGCAACTGTATTAACGATCAAATCTTCAAGTATATATATTTTGCAATCTGAAGTTTATTATTATTGGTCAATGTGCTTACTACCGCATAAGCAATGCGAAAACCTTCCAACAAACGTGCATTAAGATTCGCGTGGCACAGCCAAAGACACCATGTCTTGATTTTGGGACGCGAGCCGGTTGATTGTAGGTTGAACCGGGGTTAGACGCCCGGTTCAAGAAACTGATTTGAATCTGAACCGGGAACCACCCAAGAGACACCCTCCCTCTACTCGAAGGGGGAAGAGAGCAGAATGGCGAGGCGATCACATCTGACGGAGATCGGGTGCATCGCCTGCAACGAGCTGGCGGAGCTCGGAGCCGGCGAGAGGGAGGGAGGGATGACTCAACGATCCCTCCGTCCTGGCGGCCCTTCACCCACTCTCCCTCGCCCTCGCGTCCGCAGCCCGTCCCTTCGTCGTCTGCTCCCCCCAAGATATGCCTCTCCCTCTCTCTGCCGGATAACTGCCCTCGATTTCTTCCCCTTCGGCGGCCTCCTCGCTCTCGCCCTCGGTACCTCCACGGGTCTCATCGTCGTCTACTCCCTATGCCGCGAACTGATCAGGTGAGTCACCCTTCCTCTGTTCGTCATTCTCACGTCGCCTTGTGTTGATTTCTTTCTTGCTATGAATGTTGACATCGATCTAATTTTGCTAGGAAACCGCAAGCAAACGCGGCCTCGTACAAGATTACATTTCTGAGGAGCTCTGTGTGGTCTTGCCTGGGGTCGTTGCCCTTTTTGATGGCTCGGATTTCTTTCTTAGTCCTAAAGAGTAAAACAAGATGCTTTTACATTTTGATTGATTTCCTAATGCAAACTACCAGCTTGCCGTTCTTCTTCCTCCTCATTTCTCACTGCTCTAGCATTGTATTGGTAGAAGAGAAAAAAGATCAAGGATTTGACTTGAGACTTCCTCTGAAAATATTGTTTTTATTATTTTATATGGCCAAAAAGATAAGGATCTTGACATGTTTGTGATCCAACTTTCAATGCGAAGGGTTTGCTTCGGAGATGGTTTCAAGAGGCTGAATCATGAATGTGGGAGAATAGGTTTCACAAATCGGAGTCAGAGGATGAAACTTCCTACCGGAGGATACCCTTTGAGCTCTGGAACGTTGGCAAGTTTGCAACTCGTGCTGATGCAGCTATCGCAGGGATAATGCCACCGCCACTCTTGGAGCTCCAGGTGATTTAATCTTTGAGCCTTTTATGCTTCCATGAAGTACTCATACTATGTGCTTCGACCGTGATGGATGTGCTCTGAGTTGATTCTGGTATTGAATTCAGCTCCTTTTATTACTGGGCGGTCAAGTCAGCTCTACTATGGTGTGATTACAATCGGAAATGCTTCCGTGACATCTGCTTACAGGTATGTTCAGCTTAGCCTTGCCTTTTACCTGTATTATTCCTGCAATGCAGTTTGCTTTACTTTGATCAATTACTAGCAGTCTCCTGTCCGTAGAATAGTTTGGACTATGATCCAACTGGAGACTGAGTTGGTTCACAAGTAGGATGAGGTGCTCATCCTTTTCTGTCCAAAGAACTTGACACCATGTTGAACTACTTCACGTTCCCCTACGTGAGGCTCGTTCGGAAGTACAACAAACACATATAGATCAATCTTTTGTAGCTTGATTGGAAGTAGAACAAACATACAGACCAGACGATGATGGAAGCAATAGATGTTTCTTTCATGTTTTCCATGAACAAACAAACAAGGACTTCTCCTCTCTTCTTGGTCTCGTTTCCTCTGACTTCTCATTCCCCTGTTCTCCGTTTCTATAACCTCAACTCCATCTTGCATCAAAAGCTTGTACTGATGATGATGTGTTGGAAGCCAAAGTCCATGGCTTCATGATCTATTATATCTTACGTGACATGCATAGCTACAAGTAATCAACAACAAGGAGATTCCGGAAGCTTTTGCAGTGGGCCAGTTTTTTAGCCTATTACTCTTCAGAATTATTTGTCTTCTTTGTCTCTTCTTCTTCAATTAACTATGTCCCAAATCATACTCATTCTTGGTGTCCTAAAGCACAGTTTAGAAACATATAAACTAACACACAGGAGAGGAGGAAGGGAAGACTTTAAACCTGGAGTTGTTTGTTGCAGGTCGCTTTTCTCCTTCTACATGGGCATGGGTTGAAGTGATCAATCAATAGCCACCAGTGGGTGTCTACAAACATCATCAGAAGCCACAAGTCTCCCTTTTTCTCTGTCCCAACGTTCATGATCAAGATTTCTACCGAGTTGTCATGAAGATTAGAGCAATGATATTTCCATGAAAGGACAGACGTACACAGGAAGGTTAGTGGAATTTGTTGCGTAAAGAGAATGGAGACCAGTGGATAAGCCTCGTTTCAGTGAGCACAGAAAGAATAAACATACTTTTGCTTTTAGATATGCTAATTTACATGAGAAATCGAATCTGGTGGTTTATGAGAATAATGTGTCCTTCGTTTCTTGTTCCTGTTTCCTCCTAATCTCTACTAGGATTGATGGTTATGGGTGACACAAAAGAATCAAAATTCTCCAAGTTAAAATGACTTGTGATGGGAATCGAAACAGTTCCATAAAGTTGTAATGTCATCCATGTCGAGGATCAATTTTCTTCTACTTGTTAGATTGATTATGACAGGATTTGGAAGAGTCGTGTTTTAGCTTTTGTCTAAGAAAGCTCAAAAGAACTTATTCATCTATATCATATCATGAAGACAAAGAGGCTTAACTCACAATCTTTCAACAAAAAATTCCTTGGTAATTCTCCATCTTACATGGTTGTATATAATATAGCATTGAATAGTACATCCATTACGGTTTGCCAAGAGATATAGTCTTAATGGATGGATAATTAAGCTATTATTGGCTTAATCGAATCACTTAATAACACTAAAGTTAATTCCACTATGGTTCAACATAATATATATATAGTCTAATACAAGTATTCATGAAGGAAGAAAACACCAGGAAATAATACTTTGATTCTTCTATAAATATGTCATATATGTAGTGATTTTAATTAATAATAATAATATATAAATAATACTTAGAGTGCTCATGGATTTCTCATTAGGTTATCTAGAGATGATACTCCCTTAAGGTTTCTAAGATAGGTGAGATGATATATAAGATAATTCCAGAGTCTTTTAATTAATCTTAAGAAGAATTTGATTCTCGCGAATGATGTTAAATATTACATCAACTTTCTAATAAAATTTTAATTATTAATCTTTGAATATTCTTTTGGTTTCAATTTTTCTTCCCTCCCCATTACTAATTTCAATATCATCTTTTAAAACATAAATTTAAGAAATTATCAGTCAAATAAATGGTAAATTAGTGCTAACAAAAGTTTTAATAAAATAGTTAGGATAACTCAAGAGTCTTATAATTGATCTCGAATAATTTTATTTTTTTATGATTAAATCTTACGTTGAGTTTTCAAAATATTTTTTAATAAATAATCTCTAAATATTCCTTTGGTTCCATTTTTTTCTTCCCTCTCCATCATATCCTTATAAAATTGCTAATTTCAATATGATCCCTTAAAATATAAGTCAAATAATCAAGGAACTAATGCTAACGAAAGCTTTAATATATGAAGAAATATATACTATATGTCAAACCCCTCCATTAGAAAAAGAAAAAGGTTTTAAATTAGTTAATCTATAAGCTCAAAACATCATCACCAAGAAAAGTCAACAAAAAAATCATCCGGAACATATCCCCTCAAGCAAAAAATTCAACCATGAAGAAGTGTGCCCAACAAGATGTTTTAATCGAAGGAATAATAGTTCGTACCTTATACATATGCCATCATTCCCCGGAAAGAAGACATACAAATTGCAGTACACTAATCGTTCGTCCATTGCCCACTAGCGTTTGTCTCGTAATCCCTACCTCTAACTTGTCCGCTCTCGGAAAGATGTCCTACGCTTTGTTTATTGGTGAGCGATGAGGGGAAACGTGCCATTAAATGGTACCAAAGAAGGTTCTATAGCTTTCTTACATAAGACATTTTCTTCATATAGAACTAAATTCTCACTCCTTGTAACTTTCTCACCATCAATTTTACCTATTTATAGGGTTCAAGATGTATCTCATAAATGTTTTTCCTTATACTATGTGTATTACTATTTGAATTAAAGATATTTTTTTAGACTCTTTTTCTCCTCTCTCTCGGTTAGGTTTTCTATTAAAATCTTATGAAAATTAAAAGAGAGACGCAAAGTAAAATGATAATAAGTTAATATTTCAATTCGATATAAGCGAATAAGGATACAAATGTTAATTTTGTTAGATTTCAATCTTTGGCATGAATATTTTTTTGTATTATAGAGATTTTCTAATTGATGCATCTTTTCCTATCTAATACAATTTTTTTTAAATGAAAAATTATTATATTAAATAAATAAATATAATTATATATAATAATATACCAACCAATCAAAAGTCTCAATACATACTATCCAATATAGTCATTCATTGCACATTTTCACCATATTTATTTTTCCAGCAATATATAAAACAAATAAATCAACCTCTTCTTCTTCTTCTTCTTCTTCTTCTTCTTCTTCTTCTTCTTGGTGGCATGATTGCCGTTGGTGAAGGAGTTTACAGCTTCGATTCTCATGCTTCAATTGACATCTGTTGTGATAATATACCACCAATCTTCGGACTGTCACATTCTCTAAAGAATATATGCTATCTTGTGGAGATTGAGGTGCGGACGGAGTGTGATGGAGGCACAACTGAACTGAAGAAAGCTGAAAGGCTGGATGCAATAATTGAAGCCATGGGTTCCAGCCATGGGAAGGAGCAACTTTTATCCCGGTCATCTGGCAGTCACACTCACTCCATTCCTCACCAAAAGCCATTGAGGAAAGGTATCATCATGCCATCATGTCTCACCCCCTCCATTTCTAATACCTGCAAAAGTAGCAAGCGGTAGATATGGAGGGCGTGCGTGCGTGCGTGATTCATCTCCCTTCCCCCCCCTCCGTGCTTTACTTATACCCTTCCCACATCCTTTTTATAAAGCCCATCGATAGATTTGGAGGTAGAAGAAAGCTGTAAGGAAGAGAGAGAGAGAGAGAGAGATGAGCGTCATGAAGGCTCCCATCAGGTGTTGCATCTCCTGCATCTCCTGCATCCTGCCATGCGGGGCGCTCGACTTGATCCGCATCGTGCACGCGAGCGGGCATGTCGAGGAGATCAGCGGCACCGTCACCGCAGGGGACATCATGAGAGCCTACCCTAAGCATGTCCTGCGAAGGCCACTCTCACCGTCGTCGACGAACGGAGTCGTCGTGCCGGAGGCCGTGATACTGCCACCCAGCGCTGAATTGCGGAAAGGGAAGATATACTTTCTGATCCCGGTGGCGCCCCCGGCGCCGGGCAAGGCCCGATCGGGGATGAAGGGAACGACGAGGAGGAGTTGGAAGAAAGAAGCGGACAGCCAAGGTCAGGCCACCGAAAAGACGCGGCTGCTTCACAGTGAGCCGTACTCATCGGACACCCTATCGAAGAAGGCGTCGACGCAGACGTGTAGGCGGCGAGGGAGGATCGCGGTGTGGCGGCCGCGTTTGGAGAGCATCTCCGAGATCTCCGACGACCTCTGTGTGAACTTCTGATTCCTCTCTCATTTGTCCTTTGTAGATTTCCCTGTTGAAGCCATTTCCTCGGCAACCGTCTTCACGAGACGGTGACGTGATCTCTGTAAAGATACATATAGCATATCTTTATTGGATTTCTCCTCTCTCAAGTTTCAACTCGGTATTGGATTTTTGGCGTCGAAAGGAGTGATGAGAGAGAAGTCGCCAACAGTAAATGACCAAACGAATGGATCATCGGCGAAAGCGGGGATGGCGAAAGGTGTCCCAGTGCAAAGGATACAGGGAAGACCATCACTCGTCGATCCATACAAAGCATTGCGAAGAACGTAGGAGTTCGTTTTGATTTGATTTGATGCGTCGTCTGGGCTTCGACCTCCCAGGAAGTCCCTGTGAGTAGCTTTCTGGTGACCATTAACGTCTGCGTAGGGAAGATGAGGCGAGCGAACAGAGGGGAACTGACGCTGTGGGAGATGATAAGAACCTTACACGCCATGAGCGGAGGGCGCAGGGGAGTTGAGCCCCCTTCCTTGCCATGAAATGACCCCCCTCGGCAGCCGCCGTCGAACGAGCTCTCGCCCTCGGCCCGGCCCACATCACGAAAACACGAAAATTAAAGAGAAAAATGAGAAGAAATGCCTCTTCTCAATCGCTTGCTTTTAGCATACATCATCGTGTCACAAATGCTGTAGAAGATTTCCGATCATGAGGAAGAGGTGAGCTTTCCCTTCCCCGACGTGCGAATTGTTCTCTCTCTCTTCTTTTATCATGGAAACCACCAAAAGCGGACGTTCATCGAGCTTTCAGAACTCGGTCTTCCAATGAATCCTAACTTTAGGCTACGAATCATTTCATTTTCTTCATAGATGGGAAGGTGGAGGAAGGCAAAAGGTTATGCTGTAAAGACCTGTTAATTGACGAATTACGAGGTTACCTTTCCGACCAAAACAGTTCCATCTTTCAGCAATGGAGGGACCTTTTTCTGACAAAGAAAGATTCAGCGATGCTTCAGGGATTGACTCGGTCATCACTGTTGTTAGACTATTATTGCTTGGCATCGATGTGATGTTTGCCTCTAAAACAAGTATGTGTGAATCGGTCAAAGGAACACTAGCGGATTTCATGCGTATATTTACAAACTAACCTATTCATTATAATTGGCAATATTAATAATTCAATTTAATGTATTTGACTTCATTATATTTCTTTATATATGACTATATATGAGTTCAAGCATCACTCCGTTGTAGTCTAGTTGGTTAGGATACTCGGCTCTCACCCGAGAGACCCGGGTTCGAGTCCCGGCAACGGAAGTGTTTTTTATTCTTTTTTTGGTTAATTAAACATGGTCACTTTATACGTATACGTATATGTATATGTATATGTATATGTATATGTATATGTATATGTATATGTATATGTATATGTACGTGTACGTGTACGTGTACGTGTATGTGTATGTGTATGTGTATGTGTGTCTGTGTGGTTTTGGGTGGTTCTGGAACCTTCTGGTCTTTGCCGCAGTCACAGCCAAAACCCTCGGTCGCCGACCTTTTGTGGTTGCGTCCTCTGCGCGACTTATTGCTTTGTCGTTCAGGAAGAGAGAGAGAGAGAGAGAGGCGGTGGAAATGGCGGATGAGGAGCAACTCCGGCTGGATTTGGAAGAGCTGCAGCACCTGGAGAGCGTTTCCAAGAGGCCTCGCGTCGCCTCCCTCCTCGCTTCCGAGATCCGTAACATCGAAGCCAAGGTAATCTGATTCGGCTTTCGTCCCTTCGTCATCGGATGGCGCCCTAGCGTTAGGGTTTCGATCTATTTCCTTGTTTTTTCGTTGATTCTCGTTGTTCTTGGCGTTCTTGCTGAATAATTCTTACCTTTGCTTTTCTTTCCCCGTTCTTTCGTCATTGGATAACCAACATCCTTACGGTTTCAGTCTATTCCCTTGTCGATCGTTGTTATTCCTAGCGTTCCGCGGAGCGTCTAATCACGTTGTTCTTGGCGTTCTTGCTGAATAATTTTTACCTTTGCATTTCTTGTTAGGGTTTCGATCTATTTCCCTGTTTTTTCGTTGATTCTCGTTGTTCTTGGCTTTCTTGCTGAATAATTCTTACCTTTGCTTTTCTTTCCCCGTTCTTTCGTCATTGGATAACCCCCTTACGGTTTCACTCTATTCCCCTGTCGATCGTTGTTATTCCTAGCGTCCCGTGGAGCGTCTATTCACGTTGTTATTGGCGTTCTTGCCGAATAATCTTTACCTTTGCTTTTCTTTCCCCACTTTCCCCCGTCCTTTCGTCGTTGAATAACCTGTTACCGTTACGGTTTCGATCTATTTGCCTGTCGATCGTTGTTGTTCCTGGCGTTCCGCGGAAGAATTCGTAGCACGCCGATTCGGTCGTTTTACATTCTTTATTTTCTGACCCCCCCATTCATTTCTTTCCGACATTTCTTACGGTGCTGTTTTGTTGTTTCCCGTCGATCTTTTCCGGCTAATAATAAGATGAGTTGATCACATTGGTGACCCTTGTGCAAGGTTTATTTCCTAATCCATTTGATTTATTACTGATTGATTTTTGTCCAACTTTTTTGTTTAATAATTGATTCATATGCAGTTGTCTGTGGCAACTGCGGCGGTAGCACAGGCTGGGGTTTCTGCTGAAAAGCCGTCGGTGGCAGTGACTGCCTCTAGGAGTTATGTCACGCTTGGATCATTCAGCTGGGATCAGGACAACGACAAGATCAAGGTATGGTGTTTTGTTCTGTCTTCTAGGGCTTCCTTCTTGAAATCGAGTAGACAAAGATATAATGTCTTGGACAATACTAAACTATATGAAGAGTCCCTGAAAACTAAGGCATCGAATCGATACATTTCGAACCTAACCTAAGGCATGTATTAAAGCCTAGTTGCCCCATGGACCATGTCAATTATCAGGCGCTCGTCCATGATAAATTCTAGTTTAATACTATTTAAGATCTATACGAACTACTGCACGACCATCTTTTTTAAAGTGTAGCTATTTCCTACGATCATATGTAAAGAGAGGAATCGATTTTGTCTTTTTTATGAGGAAGTTCCTTAATGATCAACTAGAGCTTTGTCTTCTTCAACCACGTGCCAACTTGATCCTTGAACCAGTTCACTGGTGCTTAGCCCAAAAGCAAACCGAATTTTCCTTGCGTAGCTTTATCCGGAACTACATGTGTTACAGGATTGTCTACTGTTAAAATAAAACAATTTCCTAAAAATTGTCTCTGACTTCTTATAAAACATAATAAACAACAAATACTCTGTACACACCTCCTGCTAATGACTGAATAATGATATTGTGATCTTAACTAATAGAATATAACCTGTTCATATCTGAAGTCTTACATTACATATTCAGTACATCCAAAACGATCTTGATCAACAAACACAATCCTATGTGTCTATCCTCTTATGCTTGCAGAACCCATGGTGAATAAGACGATTCCAAAAGAGTTGCTAGAACCCATACAGCCTTTTTCCTGATGAAAAACCGCAACAGTTTTGTTATTTCAATGGAAAGATTGAATACATTCTTTACTGATACAGCAACAGGGAAAGATAGAGGGTTTAGACTCGAGAAATAGAAGAGGAAGAGAATGAAAAAACTAATGACCGTAAATTGCAACCCTATTTTGCACTTGGCCAACATATTTTCTTTCTGGACTTAAATCCTAGTTGGTTAATAACGTATGATGGCCTATGGATATGATATTTTCTTTTTTCAAGTGACCTACCATCATTTTTGTGTGTTAAACCGAATTTATGTCAAGTATATTATCATGACGATTAGAAATAAACACAGCAGTAGAATACCAAATGACCACTACTATATAGCAAGTCTTATTCTTTATCTAAGGCAGAAAATTTAACTAATTAAATTGATTTGGATCTGAACTATACTGCACTAAAATGATGGACTCTAGCTAATATTATTATTCTTGAATTACAGTAAGATTTAAATATTAGTAGCCTTCTTTAGCAGCATACAGATCTATGCCTGTGACGTATTTGACCTAATAAGACCTTCAGAGATGCATCAAAATAGACATATCGTTCGAATTCACCCTCTTACGAATTTTTAGATTTTTGTATTTTCCTCTATTCGTCGAGATACTTATCTATGCTTTACAAAATGTCAGCCTCAAACACTTTGTGAACATTCTCACTGCATCTTGTTTATTATTTTCTCATGCGTTCTTATTGATTTTGCTTCAGCCACCAAATAATTGGAATGATCAGTGACTTTGACTTCTATTTGTGTCATCATGTGTTTTAGTCAAGAAGCCATGTCTGACTTCATTTGTCATTACTTTTCCTTCTTTAGAATGCTGCTTTGGTTCCATATCATGTATACTTGAGAGTATGGTGATTCTGCATGGATGTCTTTCTTTCAGATCTATGTGTTCCTCGAAGGTGTGGATGAGGAGAAGATGGAGACCTTTTTCAAGCCAATGTCCGTGGACATCAAATTTCATGATATTCAGGGAAAGAATTATCGATGTGCCATATCAAAGTTAAACAAGGAAATAGTCCCTGAGAAATGTAAAGTGGCAATTAAGCCCACTAAAGTCATTATTACACTCTTCAAAGCTTCAAAAGGAAACTGGCTGGATCTTTACTTCAAGGAAGACAAGGTAATATCAGTTATGTTTGTTTTTACGTTTACTATCAGCTTTACTTGTTTAACTCCAAATGGGCCTCGGTTTTGAACTATTTTGATGTTGGAAAGCCAAAAGGATGCCAGGACTCGAAGGATTAGGATTAGGGTTGGTGGAGTAACGAAAAGAAGGGATAAAACCAAATTGAAATAATGAAAGCAAAAGCAATGCAATTTCAAGAGTATACCTACCTCTCTTTAGGAGAGAGAGAGAGAGAGAGGACATTGATGTGCCTTTCTTGACTATCTTTATATTTGATCATGTGGTTGTTCCATTAGTTTCCGTTGTTGGGTCGCTCCAATTTATATCAGGTACTTGGTAGTTTGGGGTTTGATGGATCAGGGTTTTGGGGGGCTTTTATATATAATGGAGAAATTGAAATGATAGGATAATTAGGTAAAAGACCAAAGGAAAATAGGAGATATATAAATTGATGCCGTTTCGCTATTGTGCTACCAAGCCATCATTTTTTGTTTTGCAGCTGAAGCCAAGTCTCGACAAAGACAGAGACCCCATGGCAGGGATCATGGATCTGATGAAGGTGTGAGGTCTTTCTTCCCCGAAATGGATTTATATTTGTTTTGTGCTCTTTGGGTGCTGAGGATGAGAGATTAACGTGGTACACATGTTGTTGCAGAATATGTACGAAGACGGCGATGACGACATGAAAAGAACAATTGCAAAGGCGTGGACTGATGCAAGATCTGGTAAAACTGTTGATCCATTGAGTCGAAGTCTTTGATCTTTCGATCATTTTCAGCTCCCATTTGGGGGTGCCAAAATTTCTGGTCGTCTTTGTTTCATGCTCCGTTAGGCACGATTTCGGGGTGTTGTGTGATTTCCGTTAATTTCTGGGACGATTTGTGTTATTTGGTCCTTCGAATGCATATCCATGTAGCAACGTTTGATGCGAATTTTTGTAGTCCATTGACTGGAAAGTGCCACGCAAACAGGAAGATAATAAGATACTAATTTTGTTGCTTTTCAGATAATAATAATTTTTATATAGTAAATAAATTTATGCATATATTATAAAAATAATAATAATTTTTATATAGTAAATAAATTTATGCATATATCATATGTATATATTTAAAAAATAATATGATAAAATATGATGAAAGATCATGCTTGATACAAGTTTCGTATATTAGATTATATTCATTGGTGGTTTCGTATTATGATTGCAGTGGATTGATTGGTCGATGCATCAGATACAAGTTTGGATAGAAAAATAACGATAGCTTCATACGAAAATTTATTTATACCTTCATGTGAAAATTATTAACATAAATAAAATAATAAAAATTATTTATAATAATTAATTATGTTAATGAAAAATTAACATATGACACGTACAGAATCACAAACGCAAGTTTGAAACAAACTTCGTAAGATAATGGAAGACAGCCGATGTTCATCGTCGCGTGATTTAGCCAGCCGTGTTTTCTGCAATTGCACGCTGGTTTTACGTGGCCATACAGGGAAACTGAATTTGAGTAAAGAATACGTTTGGATGTCAATAAACAGAATAAAGAAAAAAAAAACTTAATGAAGAATTTGGCTGCCATAATCCTGATTGAACTTTTCATAACGGTGGGCATGGAGATGGGCGGACGGTCTTGTGTTTTTTAAAGCCAGCTCGATGTCTCCAGGTGTCACCGGACCAACCTCCGGCAACTCTGCTACCAACAACAATCATCAAAATCAGCAAATCTATATTACACTATAGATTCATAGTAACAACCACAATGGAAATCCTGCAAATTAAAATACCTTGTAGCAAGCCGAACACGTTCTTTATGGTATGTTTTTCTTACGATAAGATGAAAAATGGCACAAAGATGCTCACCAAAAGAGTAGGTTTTATATTGTTATCTTACCTTGGGGAGTTTGGTAATCGACATTATGCTTAAGTTGGATTTCAACTCAAGCACAAGTTGACAGTGTGGCGTCTAAGCTCCAAGACATGGTTAAATGGGCATGCAAATGACAAACAGAACAGCTAAGAATACTAACCTTCCTCGGGCACATTATCTTGTCTGCCTTCGAGGACCATCATTAAACGCCTCAATGGCTGCATTGCTGCCTCTTTGCATACCAAACGGATATCTGAGCCTGAATAACCTTCTGTTCTCTCAACCAGGAAATCATATGGAATGCCTGCTTCACCAGGCGCTGATGGCAACAGCTCCTCAAACATGGCACACCTTGCTTCTGGTTCTGGAAGAGGTACCAGAATCTGATCAATCAGTCATGGAAACCTGTCTGCAGAAATTCTGTTTAAAAAAAATGATTAACACCAGCCGCTGTATTCTTTTGTTATCAAATGAATTAAATGGCTGTACATTTTTGGTTATTATTCCATTGCTTGGTTACAATCCAGTGTATCCGAAACTAGATGAGATTCTTATGGCTAAAATCTAGCAATCTTGGCTAATCATAACGGATCATATCAATACATGCATGCATGTTTCTTTAGATATACTGAAAGGATACTCTCTTCTCGAGACGCCGCAGCATAGCTGCATCCAGTTCCCAAGGTAAATTTGTTGCTGCTAGAACAAATACGAGAACATCTGTCTTTGTCAAACCATCCATCTGCAATGAAGTCACAAAAGAATTGTGATCACGTTATGCACTCCATCAATAAAACTTTCTCAGCAAAGCTACAAAATGTAATTTTATCATGACAAGTAAAAGAAACTCTGCTCACAAACTATATTCAATCAGCAACCACAGCTCAAAAATGTTGACATGGAAATAGCCTCAAAATATATGGTTTATAGATACTTACAGAAACCATATCTGTACCTGTATAAGTAATTCGGTCTTCAAACGTCTACTTGCTTCATGCTCGCTTCGTGCCTCACCACGTTGACTAATAATTGCATCAAGCTCATCCAGAAAAATGGTAGATGGTGCATGGTGCCTTGCAAGCTCAAACAAGACTCTCACGAGTTTCTCTGAATCACCTGCATTCTTAGGCAGACATGTAACACTGTAGCACTTTTACAACACTAAATTGAATGACCACAAGAAAAGTAAAATTTATTTTTACATCGTTGCCTAATGTGTATTCTAATTTGTACTTCACAAGGTTCAAAAGTGGCAATTAACAGAAAATATTTCAATTATGAAAAATGAAATAACTCAAAGGCCAAAGTTAAGAGCATAACATCAAATGAAGCAATCAACAAAACAATGTCAATTTCGTAATAAATTAGTTGAACAAAATGATTGAAATTTAAATCATAGTAGTTGATACAGACCGGTTTTTACTTACAAGTCTAATGACTGATATTCCAATGTGAATCTCTTTTGCTCTCTGCTTCTAGTAGTACAACTACCAACCCGTATAGACATTCAATATAATGTATGGTACCATTACCAACCCGTAGTACAACTACCAACCCATATGCTGACTAGTATCTGTGCCGCATTGAGATTTCAAACCTTGGTTTTGCAGCCAGAAGGAACACAAGGTTCACAAGAATACAAACCAAAATTGAGATGATGTTCAAATAGCACACAATTCTTTCACTAACAAAACACAAAGGTATGTGAAATCCAGCATTAAAATGGCAGTCATCAGAACAAAATGAATTAAAAAGACAAAACGTGACGAGCAATCTCAATGACTTTACTCATTCAACTGAGAAAATCAAGTAATGTCCCAGAAAACAAGCGCTGAACAGAAAACAGAACTAGAGCGATCATGGAAATTATAGAGGGAAACGGTACATGTCTTTCCGCATGAACATACCACGCCATTTGCTGACAATTGATGATGCTGAAATATTGAAAAAAGTAGTTTTGCACTCAGTAGCAACAGCTTTAGCAAGCATCGTCTGGAAAAAAAAGGAGTTCAAAATTTGGTTACATTTAAATGAATATAGCATAAATTTGAATGGACAATATCCTACAGGTAATCTTAAGTATAATAAGAAGGCTGAAAACATTATCATACTTCATATATACGTATCACGTTAAGACCATATGCAGTAGATGCTAACAACAGGATCAAAGTGCCAGGAAAATGTAAGCATAGTCAAGAGATCAGGACTTTGAAGTTTGCATGGTTTTAGACGTAATAAATATACAAGGAGTAAAAAAAAAAAAAATCACACGTGAGGGTCAACATATGATGCTCATCTTAAATGGTAAATTGAAAACAAAATACTATGAGGCTGATAAATGAACTTCTATATAACAAACATTGTGCAATTAGAAACATGAAAAAATTCACTGCAAACAAAGAAATTATGATCCTTTCTATCTCATATAAAGTTAATATGGGTTTGCAATACGATAAAAGAAATGTTAATCAAATTTCCAGGTAAAATAAATGACAAGAAATGAACAACTTTCAAGTTCAGAATGAAAGGTAGTCATGGAAAATTTATGGTTGTTTACTGAATGAATAATCAGTTGATAAACTGTGGTGAATTTTGAATAGTTGATCTTTGTATACAGAATTATGCTTGTGCCACATATTTTGCAACATAGGGAAGCAAGTAGCACACTAATAAATACAAAAAAAGGAAAGATAAATGATGGCGAAAGAGAGATTGTCATGATAATATTAAGCATACTATACCAGAACTAACATGGTGAAGCAGGCATTTGCTGTCAAAAAAATGGACAAAAGGACTAGAGACGGTGCAGGTGAAAACTGGAAAAATGGGGCACTCACGTGCTGTGTAACGATACATGCGTTGAAGGTGCAGGAGACTCATCATGGAAATTCTATCTTAAAGTGGGATTCACATATTACCAGGGTTCTATTGTAGTAGTTGTACATTTGACAAGGGTAATGAAAATTGAAATGGAATCTGGGGAAAAAAATTTCTCTAGAATCACAATGTAAAAGGATGTTAGAAAGAATGAAATATATATGGATTCTTTTGAATGAATAATGGACTTGGATTTGGTTTCAATTAAGCATTTTTAATTTTATTCTAGCTGTTTTTTCTTTTTCTATGGAATCATTTTAGCACTTGATAGGGGGTATTACAAGAAAATACAAGTTGCCATATGGCAACATCTCCTATGTTTCCATTCTATTTTTCTAGATTGCTCAAGGAAATGGAGAAGAAAAGCAAATAAAGAACAAAATTTAAAGAAAGCAAACTTTGAGTTTGATTGAAGATTACAGATCTTAATTAAAGAATCTGACTCTTGAAAATCTACAAATGAGAAAAGTCTATCAATCAAATATCTTATCAACAAAGAAGATTATCTTGCCAATATAAACCTGAAAATTAACTCTGTAAAGGAAATTATAAATGACTAATTTTGCCTTGATGTAATTTTCTTAATTTTATGATGTTCTTATATTTATATTTTCTTCTGCATCTTATACTTGGGAGTCTATAGAAAGAAGGAAGAGATGATAATTGAGGAACTAATGACTGATAACATTTTACTTTATGATGTGTGGATGTTGTGAGGCTATAATCATCCCCTGAAGTGAATTAGAAGGACTTATAATGAATCTAAGAAATTCATTTATTTCTTATATTCCTAACCCCTCTCCCTGTATATTTTCACTTTTAACTCCAGCATTACATAATCCTAAAATCCCTGCTGTCTTAAACATTTGACTATTCATGATCTATCAAATACCAAATTGTTGAGAGCTTGATATTATTGAAGCTTCCCAGCATTGAAAATTAGTGCTACACTCTCATGATCAAGTAAAGCTAGACAAGAAAGTGACATCAATGCCTTTCTCCACAAGACTGGCATGCATTTAAATTTCACTACTTGTAATTTCATTCTCTTGAATTGGTTTTTCAGTGAATTGAGTGTGTTCAATCAAATCCTTCCCTGACAGTTGTTTTTTCTTTTTTTCTTTTTCACCAAGTCTATTCCCAATCCCTTGAATTTTTGTATCCTTTTGTTTGCCCTATATCAATATGTACTGCAGAAATTATCTTAAGGAAGATGGTGATCAAAATAAAAGCCAACAGATTTATTACTAAGTGAATATAAGGGAAAAACAAATTTCTGCCAAATATTCCATAGAGAATAATATCTGGAAAAACCAATTACTTCCATTCCAAACTTTTTAGCAAAAGCAATCAAATGATATAAAATTCATAACTTAGGTGCTGGAAAACTGTATCCACTTGAATTATTGTCAATAGTATAAAGAGGAGAATACAACTGTATATATGGCTTGACGAACCTTTCCTGTTCCTGGAGGGCCAAAAAGCAAAATACCTTTCCAAGGTGACAGAAGACCAGTAAAGTACCTGAAAGTAGCAGAGTATCATTGTTTTGTAAACTGTAATCGTTAAATTTCAGCTATGACCTGAACTTTTGTGGATATCAATGGAGGATTAGCATTTTGTAATACAGGATGACAATACCTTTTTGTCACAATACATTCTGTGTTGTGAAGTTCAACACAACCACTTCTTGGTCAACAAAGATTAAAATTTTTGACAGACAATGCATTAACCAACCAATTCGGCATGGCATGTCAAAGTAGATTAACTTGTAGCTGAACTGAACTTGGAAGTAGTTCAACATAAAAGTTAGTAAGATGAGAAAGTGTCTAGTTATTAAGGATGTCTTAACATGGTTAGCTCTATATGATCCTAGCAGATTTGGGTAACCTTGTCTGAGTAATTTTATGCAAGTATTCTGTAGAACTGCATGTGTTTGAACAGGGTATGCTTCCCTGTGCACTTGGAATTGGATGGACAACACATTGTTGTACACCTGCTTGAACAGAGTGAAGATTTTCATATTAGGATAATCTCATATGGTACCAAATTAAGCTCATTTGTCTTTCATTATTCTTGCATGTTTTACTTCAACAGTTCCACTTTTTCTCACTGCACCTAATACCTTCAGCTTTAATCTACTAGTATATAGCAACGCTACAATTACACGTCTCTCTAAAGTTGAACTGTGATTCCGTTTTCTTCATGGACAAGTTTATCCTTGGTCCATCAAATATTCTTATGCCTCATATAATTGACATTGTGCTGTTGTTTTCCCTAATCAACTGGAGTTGCTCCTATTTACACAATTCTTATTTTCTTAACTTCATGAAATTGTGCAAACTAAACAACATAAACCATAATGTTGAAGATCTAATAATATTGTCACTAGAAAAATATGAAAGAAACTACTTCAGTTATAGAACGAAACACTATTTACAGAAATGACTGTGAATGCACATCAAACCTCATAGAAAATGGGAAAAGGTGATCATGATCTTACGGAACTAGAAGCAAGATAAAATAATCTCTAAAATATAAAAGCAATGAAATGTTGTTCCGATTCAGCTTAGCACCAAGATCTACTTTAAATGCTATATTATAATTTGACAATATTATGGCTTTCTTTTACAAATTGAATAGTAAATTTAATGCCCTTTGCAAAACTAATACCAAACTTGAACCTACTTAGGATATTTTATGGGCATGACAACTGCTTCTTTCAGAAGTCGTTTTGCATTCTCTAATCCTTTGATACTTTCCCATTTCACATCTGGACTCCCACGAACAATGTCTCTGTAGACAACAACATCTGATTATACAAGTATCAACTGAAGTATTCCTTCGAAATTTAATAATAGGCCTACAAAGGTGTCAGCTCTACGGTGCTTTACAAGTTGCTATGCAGAATCTAGATTTACCTGCATAGTGTCTCTGCTAGGGTGCGCATTTCTGCAGATTCAAAAGGTGGAAGCAAGGACCTCTGCCTGCAAAAATAAAAATCAAGAATATCGAAGGTCCAGTTACAGCGTTTAGCATATCATCTTATGTATGGGCATGAATAGACACCCAGTTACTAGGTTTCAAGCTACAAGCACTACAAATATGAAAAGAAGTACGGAACATAAACATTTTGATCTTCATAAAATTATATTAATTTAAACATCCCATAGAAGGTAATACCTAATTGGTTAGGAAGAAACGAGTTTCCTAATAATAAGTCTCCAAGATTTAAGATGATAGTGCTCCAATATATGAGTTCTCTAGATTAATTCCACATCAGGTATGCAGTTTAAATCAAGAATAATTATACATTCAACTTGAACCCGCTAATTGATGTCTGTTACAAATATGGTCTTCTAGTTTAATCAAGAACGCTCACCCTTACTAGTCTGTTACCTCTTAGAACTCAAAAAATGAAGTGGCTATCAAAAGGTGGTGATTTTTTTTTCCTGCCTTGCAAAATGAAATCAGATTAGGAAGATCCAATCTGCAACTGAATATGTAACTATTTAGTCATCTAGAAGAAATTATGTATTTCAGAGAAAAAAATATAAAACTATTATAATTGTCGCCATCCAAAATTGCTAAATGGTTATTTGCAAGTCATAAAGAACATTAACAATAATAAGTGAAGATCAGTTTTGTTATTTTTAAGTCGTTCATTAAGCAATTCCTAGTATTACCTTAGTCAGAGATTCAGCAAATTATAGATTACCCCCTATAGTTAGACCACTTTAGCATCCCGGTCCCTAGACTTCAAAAATTTACATTGGAATTCCTATAATTATAAAAGTGAAACATTTAACTCCAGCCATCGATTTTACCGACAGAATATACAACACGTGCAGAAATAACACGAAAATGATGGACAAAAAAGTAATTTCAATGTCCCAATTATGTTTCGGTGGTGGTGGACAGCGACGCCACTAGAGGCCGCGGGTGGTTGTGGTCGGTGAGAATGTTAGGGACTTCTACGACTTCTTGCGGGGGGAGGAGAATAAAGAAGGAGAGCGACGACGAAAGATAAGGCAAAAGGAGAGGAGAAAGAGGACAACGCAGATGCCGACGCTCTACATCTACGTCGGTGCCACTCGGCAACTGCGTTGGTGCTAACGTAGACGTAGAGCGGTGCTGCTCTGCATCTGCGTTGGCGCCGCTTTGCATCTACGTCGACGTCGACAACGATGCCCTCCTTCCTCGATCCCTCATCCTTCTTCTCCCTTTCGCTGCTCGGCATGTGCAAGTGGGGAAGAAGGAATGAGCGATGCAGAACGTTATCGGTGCCGACGCAAATACAGAGCAATTGCGTCAGCACCGATGCAGATGCCGAGTGGCTCTATGCATATGTATCTGCACCAACGCCGATGTAAATGTCGAACGGCCCTTTCGCCGTTCTATATATGCGTCTGCATCGACACAATTGCCAAGCAACGCCGACGCATTTGCTGAGCAACGCCGACGCAGATGCAGAGTGTCGACATCTACGTCGTCCTCTCCCTTTGCCTCATCTCTCATTGTTGCTCTCCCTCCTCATCCTCTTCCTCCCCCCGCAATAAGCCGCAGAAGTCCTTAACATTCTTGTTGACCACTTCGTCGTTCTCGTCGACCACAACCACGCACAACCGCCAACATCGCTGCTATCCACCACCATCGTCGCTATCCACCACCATCGAAAACGTAATTGGGACGTTAAAATTATCTTTTTACCTATCGTTTTTGTGTCATTTTTACAAGTTAAAATTATCATTTTGCCTATTGCTTTTGTCGGTTTTTGGTAAAACCAATTATGTTAGGGTAAATAGAGTTAAATGTTTCACTTTCATAACTATAGAGATTTCTATTGGTGAACTGATGCGCCGTGGTTGATGAGTCAGCGCGGCCTGGTCCACAGGTCGATGTCGGGAGTCTTCGGTCGGCTGAGCTGGTCGCCAAGGTCGGTCAAGCCCTCGGAATCAGGGTGTTGGCGCCGGAATGTTGATCGACGTCTCCCGGCCCGGACGTCGATTGGCGGCTCGCCAGAGGGATGCTGGTTGACGACTCCCAGGTCGGGATGCTCGTGGCTCGAGGGTGGTCGCTTTCCTGCAAGGATGGCCCTCGTCGGGTGATTGCCGAATTTTATCCCTCCGACGAGCAAGTCAGTGGTGGGTTGATTTGTTTTTGCCTCCCCCTGGGTCGGATGCCGGTCAGGGGCTTTTATACTACCGTACGAGGGCCGATCGTACGTGGGTTTAGCGTGGCGATCGATCCTCGAGAGGTGAGATGGTACCTTTGTGTGGCCGCCGTCCCGGGACGCGCGGAACGACGCCATGCGGCGCCGTCCCGAGCTTTCTAGGATGAGACGTACCGAGCACGCCTTGGTACGGATTTTGGCTCGGGGCGTGGGGGTGCTCCTCTTGCTGACTTGGCTATAGCGTGGCATGGCATTGATCGTGATGTGGCCAATATACCTTATCAATTTCAATAGAATTTTTTTAAGTCTATGTACCGGGATGCTAAAGAGTTCTAACTATAACATGTAATTAGCCATTAGAGATTACACGATGAATCATATAACACAAAGTTCTAGAACATGCCAGAATTTTACACTGACCAACCCTTCTAGAAAGTGAAGAAGGTCATAATAGTGACCTCAAGATCGGAAAAAACACGTGAAGATCTATTCAAAGAAGCTGCTTAAACTAACGCATTGCGCCACTTTTTGATTCTACACGGATGCAATATCCAAAATCAAAATAAAGAAAAACTCGAAATAAGCTAGTGAACCTAGTGCTTAGTGATCGGTGTGTTCCTTACGGTGTTGTTTCTTGACCCCTGTCTGAAATAGCTCCTGCCCGTGGCTCAATCTTCCGCTCCTTCAGACATCAACAGAAGAAGGAAAGAGAAGGTAAGATCAAATGCGGAGACCGCCGGTCCACTAAACGCATCAGAGAACGACAACAAATCAAAACGCACACAAGACGAGAAGCGCGGGGTGAGACCCACCGACCTGCCGCTCGAACTGCTCATAAACAGCCAAGTCGGATGAGGGCTTGACGCTCCCGTTGGCGGTGACCGTGCCGTTCGCGCGAATCCCACCATATCTCGATCCAGAACTCGCTTCCTCCTCGGCCTCCCCCTTCGACAGCCTCTTTCTCCCGAGCCGCACATCGTAGAACAACTTGAAATCCTAGAACAATCAAGATTGTTCCAAGAAAGAATCAAGAAGCCGTCACGGAAACCGAGAGGGTTTACGGTATCCAAGAAACATAAGGGAGATCAAGATACCAAACAAGAGCTAAATAAACGATCGACAAAAACCCTACAGATCAAGAGAAGGCGATCGGGACCAAAGCTTGGAAACAAGACAACAAGTCAAAACCGAGTCAAGATCGCAGCAGGGGGTGGGGGAGGGTCAAGATGGGGAACGGGCTTCCTCACCTCGAATGACCATCGAGTGAGCGAGGGCCGGTCTTCCATCCTTTCGCTTTCGGGACAACCCTCCCCGTAGCGAGAGCGGAGGGGATCGAGTCGCTCGCCTCACCGAGGGAGAGTCCAGAATGCGAGTCAAGACTTCGTGGTCGAACATTATTTATCGATCATCTGTTGGCCAAATTGCGCAGAGATATTAAAGAAATGGCGGCACTTTCTTCACCTGCGATCGCAGTAGGAGTGCATGCCAGCCAGCTGTCAAGTTTCTTGGATGGACCCACCAGAACAGAAAAACGACAACCGAGATCGAATTATCGGTTAAACAGACAAACCAAACAAACAAATTACGATAGGATTAGAAAAGAATAATAATATGGAAAGAGAATAATAAATTATGATGTAGAATAATGAGAGAATAGTCGTCACCAACAGACATGAGTTGGTGGCAATAATGTCGTGGATTGAATTATGATTTGCCAGCAAGTGGGTCCGTGCCATGTGGGATCCAATCCGAATCGAATTTATTAGTTGCGCACACTTCGGACGGCATTTGAATATGTGACATGTCACACATGTTGATGCGGACGATTAGATAATGGAACCGTGCGAGCGAGCACATGCGCCAGCGGTTGCAGTCGATCTAACAAATCTCACGTGATCGAGCTGGATGATAAAGAAACATCATGAAATCTGATTCTTTGGAAGCTATTCGAGACTACGTGTAAGCAATTACCTCTAACACGCTGCTGCTTACGCAGCTCAAGGCCACATTCTGACGAACAACCTCCGCACTTGAAGGCGCCGCAACCATGGCGGCGGCCACGACCAGACTTAGAAGAGACGTAGCCCAGCTGGACTTCACCGCGACCGACGTCCCTGAGACCTCCCACTCCTTCGCTTCCTCCACCACCGGCCCGCAGAGCGAGCTCCGGTCGTCGCTCCTCGTGTTGTGGTGCACGCTGTAGTCTCAGGGGTGGGTTCCGCCATCCGGGGGATGACGCCTTCCTTGCTCGGGAGCAGCTCGACGGCGCGCTTCCCTTGGGAGATGGCGAAGTGGTAAGAGTCGAGATAGCGTACTGCGCTATTGGTTCTCGACTTACCAGCCAAGGAGGGCGGAAGTCTCCTCGGGCGGACTCCAATACGGAGGTCAACCAAGGCTCAATAGTCCACTCAAGTGGCCGCTTGGACGATGAACTGTTCTTCTACTTGGACTGTGAAACAGAGCTGCAGCCAAAAGATCAATATATTACCCTCTACTTTGGGTGTGTGTCAGAGTATATGCCTGAAGCTAAGCATAACTTAGGATGTCAATTAATCACAATAAGCTTCTTATATTGGTTGAGTTCTTTAGGCCTTTGCAGTAAATTACTGCACGGGGATGACAGTGGGGGTGAGGTGCATGTGGGTGGTGAGTTCATGCCTAGGGCCAGCCGGTGTCAAGGACACTGGAAGGGAACACAGATCTACCCACCCACCTAACATCACCATGTGCTCGACCAAATGTCTTTGGTCGGAGACAGGCAACTAGAACACATCCATCCAACCAAAAGGAAACTTTCTTTATCGTCTCAGTGGTTGGATCATCCCACCTTTGGTAAATAGTAGTCTCGGAATTAATGGTATCTTGTTTTCTCCTTTATTCTGGTGAATCTTCAATCAAAGCTTCAGCAAGACAAAGTTTTCCTCGCTAAGAGCTTGTAGTTTGTCACCGAGTTGTTGTACCTTCCCGTTAAATCTCTGTTGTCTGTTTCCCTTCCTGCAAATTGGATTAGATCGAGCCTCACCGTCTTGATGACGCCACCTCCTTGTTTCTGTCCCCGCTCTCCGCATTGGCTCCAAACCTCCCTTTGTAGGTTAGCTGGTCGATTTGATCGATGAGGCTCTGCCCGTGGTCCGAGCTATCGAAGATATGTATATCTCTCTCTCTCTCTGTCTCTCTATCCGTCACTCACATGCGAGCAGTTGGTCCAGTGTGGCATCGAAACCAATTCATAACCCGCTTGTATATAATCCAAGGAGAGTCTCTTCTCAGCGATCACCGAGCACAATCTCTTCTTTTTCTTCTTTTGGATTTTGCTCAAAGATGGCCGCGGATGGCTGGGAGAAGTCCTTCGAAGATGAGAACCTTGACGACACGTACGGTCCTGCGATCGACGACGCCATTCTCATGAAGTTGTTGGACGAGTCCGCGTCCGAGGAGGCCGACGGCGACCGGCTCGAATCAGTAATCCGGTCGCTGGAAGACGACATCGGCGCGGCCGGTATGGCGCCGGAGGCGGTCCACCGCGGCGAGGACTGCGAAGACTGTGGCTTGGATGACATCCTCTCGGACCTCGATGGCCATGACTGCTCGAGATCGTCCACCTCGGTGGTCGAGGACTCGCTCGGCTGGACGGAGATCGGGGGTAGCGACTCCGGTGAGTGGTACGTCGACGAGTGCATGCATGAGGCAGGTGGGGACGCCAAATGTTGCTACCATTAGGGGTCCTAATGGTACATCGCCTTAGGCACAAGACATATATCAAAGAGAAGCCTTGTCGTGGTCCTCTGCAGCCATCTCGTGCGCATGTGGTATCCTTCCTTCTTTTGAGTGCACTTGCATCGAGTGCCGGAGGGGAAGAGCATGTTAGGAATGAATCGGGATGTATCGGAAAGACGCATTCCACATGCAGTTCGAAGAAAAAGAAGGTGTTGGGGCGGGCATAAACAATGCATTTATTCCCACCATAATTAGTGTTCGTCAATGAACCAAAGAGATGCGCACATCACCGCAACGCTTGCTTTGTGTTTGGCCATCCTAACAGAGCAGGCGCAGGCGCCGACGTACTGCAAGCAACTCTTGTTGTTTTTGGGATCCCTTTTGGTCATATCGGATAAAGTTATGACAGGTTGATAATTCGATCTTGTGGTCACGTTGAGGTAAAATTATGACTGTAGTCTTCTCCTCCCCCAAAACGGTGTGTGGAGGTGACATGTAGACCATATCATTTCCCTTTGGAATGAGGAGGACATGTTCTCTGGTCCAAAATAGTTTGTTCATTTCTATTCATCCTCTTCCTGACAATAATAATATACACGAATTCGCTTTCTTGGAGACTAAATTAGGACAATTTACATCATCATCATTACTCTTTTATCAGAGAATAAGCACCCGAAAAGGTAGAATAATACATAAAAAGGCATTTGCAATACCAACGAAGCAAACGACGGCGATCTCGAATTAATGGATCGACAAATACCCCGCGCCAAACCCTGTGATAGACCTCGACACCTTACAAATACACCGCCACCCGAAGTCTTGTTTTCTTTTCTTTTTCTTTCTTCTCCTCCTCCTCTCTAAATGATGAAACTCTCTTTTTGTTTTTGAAGATTTCAGAAAGAAAGAAAGAAAAAGAAGCAAAAAAGAAAACGAAGATGAAAAGAATGAGCAACATAACATGCATGAACAATAATACATCGACCTGGAACACCGAAAGCCACAGATCCTTCTCTTCAGATTCATGTGGCGTGGTCTCTGCTGTCAGCTGCGCAATTCCTTCTCCGTACGCGCAGCAGGTTCGGCGTTGGACGCCGCCATCTTGTCAAGATTCAGCTGATGGTAGACTTGCCTGAGTCTCTCGATCTCCTTCTTCAACGCTTCTTGATGTGCTGCAGTTCCACAGAAACCAGTCTATGAATTACCTCCGCGTGGTTCTTCTTCGTGCTATAACATGGCTCGATCAAGTTGAATTATACACGATTGCTTAATTACTATCGAAGAAGAGGAGGGAGGAGAAGAAGCTCCACATCAGAAATAGCGTCACCGATGCTGAGAACTCACCATCCTTGAAGATCTTGTCCTGCGCGAGTGCCGCAATCCGCTGCTTGAGATGGCTATTGCCCATCGTGAGAATGGAGCGCTGATGATCCAGGAATGCGACCCGAGGAGACAAAGCTGATACTTCGGTCTTCATTTCAACAGTCAATCGTCAGTAAAAGAAAGGCTTCAGCACGTTAATTTCTACTGCAAAGATTTAAACGTCAGGAGACATCGACGTGCCTGCAACGATGTCACGCTGCGCTCCAGCTCCGAAATGTACTGAAGCTTGCGCACTCGGGACCTCTGCGCCGACTGCCTGTTCGCTAAGATCCTGATTTTTCCATGCATGCAGGCATCGATACCACTTGGTTATGGCCGGATGGAACGGACATGAGCTACTGCAACTCAATTGTTTGACCTCACCTCTTCACCCTCTTGGGGTCAACGAATGTCTCCGACTCCGCGGCCGGTTTGGTCGTCATCGCCGCGGTGACTGCCTCCGGCTCTGTCTTGCATACGCTTTGCGCCTCTTCCGGCCCACCCGCGGCCACCTGATCCGCAGCACCAGCCTTGTCCTCGTTGACGTCGGTGTGGTCCGACGGGGACGACGACGACGCGGGGACGCCGGACGAGGACGACGGCGGCGCCGGCACCTCGTCCGAGAACATGGACATGAGCTGGTCGTCATCGAGGCGGTCGAAGCCGCCGCCCTCGTCGACGAGCGGGGCCTCGAGGAAGGCGACGGAGTCGCTGGCGATGCGGCGGTGTTGGCTGCGCCGGGCGGCAGAGAAGTCGAGGAACTCGTCCACCCAGGAGGGCTGGGAGCCGGGGGCGGGCGGCGCGGCAGCCGGGAGGAAATGGTGGGGGCCCAATGCAGCGGAGGGGGCGGCGTGGTGGCCGAAGTAAGACCAGTTACCGGACATGGTGTTGGGCACCTTGGGAGGTAGCTGCGCGGTTGCTCCCACTGATCTCTGCATATGTACAGATCGAGTTGAGATGATCAGATTGGACAGCCAATGCTAGCTGATGGTACGGGAGGTGCGCTGCTGCTTCCTCATGGCCTGCATTCAAATTGAAGGATGAAGGGAGGCACTTGTCTCTGCTACAATTGGCCACTCTCTTTGCCTTCGTTTTTAGGATGGTGGTGGCACGGAAGCTTAAGTTGGGTCTGAGCCTCTGAGGTGGGAGGGGTGGGGGGAGGAGGAGGAGGAGGAGCAGGGTCACATGACAAGGGATGAGGGAGACAGCTAGCAACAGCTGGGGGTGAGGGTAGAGAGAGAGAGAGAGAGAGAGAGAGAGAGAGAGGAGCTGGAGGGAGTTGGGGATCAACGGTATTACAGGAAAGCCGCAGTAGCAGTTAAATTTAAGTGCAGGAAGGCAGCAACCACGTGCTGATGTGACCCAACGTGTTCACCTCTCCCATTGGAAAATTGGCGTATACGCATTTGAGCATGTCTACCCACCCAATTCATCATCAAACCCTTTCATTCACCCAATTAAGGTATCATCTTCAAGTATAATTGGTCTGTCTACTTACTTCAACTGTAACTTCAACCCTCCCTCGTGTAGGCACTGCGTGATTGACGATGGTGAATCGAACATGACAAAGACATATAGAAATGCCATCCACACCGTTCCATTGCATTTGGGCTTCGCAAGCTTCGGTTGTTTTCATAAAAATGCAATGAAAGACAAGCCTATGAAGGCGAACCAAAACCAAGATAGACGGTGCAGGAAACAAGCGCGAGAAGAAGACCGGTCGGGTACGTGGTAATACTGTGGTTTACCGGCGTCGCAATGGCCGGTTGGGTTGGGTGGTGGGATTAGGGATGGGGCAGCGGATGAGCTGTTCACAAGAAACGGAGAGAGAGAGAGAGAGAGAGAGAGAAGGGATATATGCATGCTAGTTGTGGATATGAATGATGCCAGCCCCATGTGCACAGTTCGCGTGCCCACCCGCCTTAGCTTTGTCGCCAAACCAATGTGCCTCTCACATGTAGGTGTTGTGTCTCCTCTCTCTCTCTCTCTCTCTCTCTCTCTCTCGCTCTCTTTATACCATATTCCTTCCCCCTTTTCTTCTCGGAAATCCTTCTCGCTCTTTCTCTTTACCTCAGTCTCTTGCCAGCTTCACCTCATTTTGCTGGCCATCAGCTGCTCTGATGCTTGTGGGACTGCTGCAACTTGCTAGATGAACAGTGGTGGTGGGAACTGAAGATCGTACCTCATGTTGCTAAGCCTCGTATATGGGCAGTAGTGTTCAACCCTCATGGGCCTAAAGCTCCGCTCGAGCATCATCATCCTTCAGACATCGGCAGGCCATTAAGAACAGAATCCATGTTGATCCACTCAAACCCAAACATCACCTTCCTCTGGTTTAGATCGATCGCCAACGCCGTTCTGTGGCCTTTAGATCCGTGCACGAGAAATCCTCAACCCCACGTCACAGACAAAAAGAATTTAATGGCAGAAAGTGGAGGGGCAACGTGATGGAAAGCAGCTGGTCTCGCGAGGATGGCCATGGCAAAAGGATGCTGCTCATGGAGGACCAGACGAGCCCAAGGGGAAACATGTTTACCAGGGTGCATGCCCACCCCCACCACACTTGGTTCACGGTCTCTCCACACTTGTTCGACTGCATCCATCTCCAATCCATCAGCTCAGCAGACTGTGAGCCTTCCTCATTGGTGGCAAGGCAGGGTCGATAGAAGATGTTAGGTTGACGCACGAACTTGACCGAAAGGTAGGGATGAAACTGAACAGAAACCTAATTCTGGTGTTGTATCCACCGCTACTCATCATGTCTATATGGTAAAACCCAAACCTGGTCACGGCAGGGAGGAGAGCAGCATGAACATGGAGATGCCGGAGGACACCGCCGTGGTCCCTGTGATGGTGATGTCCATCATTTTTCTCTTTCCTTTTTCTTTCGCTCATCTCGGTTGTGCTCTTCAGAATGCCATCAGCTTTTTATCGGCCTGTGGCTTTCATGTGGCTAGAGATGGATTTGGCAGAATCTTTTTACTACATCACATTACTACGATGGTGTTCTTATGACATCAAACCGGGAATTGAAGATACTTTATGGCACTGGAATTCTTCCACCGGTTGGTCCATACATCTGCTTCATCTGACAGCCACAGGAAGCTACTCCCACCAGTATATTATTCTTGTACCTCTTCAGTCCAAATACAGGTTCAAGTCCAGCTGTTGAAGAAACATCTAAATGTCACATAATAGAGAGTGTTGGAATTTGAGACAGATTGGTCCACAGATGGACTTCAGATCTACCTTTTAACCAAATAAGACTTCAGATTATCCATCAATATTATATATATATATATATATATATATATATATATTTTTTTTCAAATCACTTAGATTTTTTATTATATTTATCTTATTTTTTTTCTACTTAATTTTAAGTAGGGTCCTCCTTTTAGGGACCATTTCGTTGGTTGATCATTGGTGTGGCCCGTAGGCTCGCGAGGAAATTATCCGTTGAATATATGAACTCTAAAAACCCTGTCAGACTTATGAGTTCTTGATTCTCTTACTCCTCAATCAATATGAGACTAAATGACCTTATCACAAATATTACTTAGTTAGCCTCGTATAGTATTTGAAATACTAAGTAAAATACTATTAATGATGTTATTTCTTTAGGTGTGAGATCCAGCGGTTTCCACTCGTTGTGTATAGGTATCAGTGTCTCCACATATTGTATGGTAGGGAAGTGTCGGTGCATTAAGCTTGTGTATTAGTAATTAAGCTTCGATCCTATCATTGGTGGAAGCTTAATTTTGGGACCGGACCGGGTTTAATGCGTCTCTTATTGAACCCAAAGGTGGAATTCTCTGGCTGGATCGGGCTGAGTTGATTCCTAGATTTTTCCTTTTTTTTTAGTTATTTGAAATTACGTATTTGTCCCAATAAATCTTAATGTATACATGTACTATCATTTTTATCGATTTAGTTTAATTTAGAAAATAAAAATAAGTAAAAAAATTTAAATGATGTTATTGTGAATTAGAGAAGAGATATAAATGGGAGGGGTTCGGAAGTGCTTCTCTATCGGCGTCCCCATCTCATATTTCATCTTCTATTTTCATTTCATTTTCGGGGAAAATCCATAGATTTTCTATATTCTCTTAGTTAATTTATTTAATTTTTTTAAAAATAATATATAAATTTAATTTTAAATATAAAAAAAATAAATTTAGTCTTTTTAATATTTTATAATAAATAAAAAGTATATTATTATGGATCGGAGTAGAGATGTCAACCGGGTAGGATTGGGAATGCTTCCCTATCTATGTTCTCGTCTTATATCCTATTCTCTATCTTTTACTGTATTACAAGATAAGGGTGGAACCTATGAGTTTCTTATATTCTTCTAATAAATCCATTCAATTAAAAAATATTTTTATAACTAATTAATAATATTAAATTTATAAAAATAATAATAAGAATATTGAATCTATTCCTCCGACATATAAGTCGTAAGGGAGGGGATGTTATTTTATTAAATTCAATCCAACTAAATAGTTTGTAATTGACTCAATCCAGTTTGATTTGAATTAAATGACTCAAGCATCTAGGCAAAACGTCTAAGCCTACATATTGATGACGGGTATAAGAATGAGGTGAGGAGTACTCTATCGATCCCTACATATTTTTACCGAGAATAGAAAACACCTCAATCTCGGTCCCCATCCCCATTTGTTCCCATTTTATGAGAGATGGGTCCTCGTAGGTATTTGTACTCATAGATACAATTGACACATTTAAATCAGAGTTTTAACGATTATATTCTAATTATCGATTATTAATCATATATATAATAATATTTTTTAAAGATTTTTCTTGATCAAACCTTTGGCATCTTGTCATATAATATAACATAAATATATAACAAATTTAAGAGAGAGAGAGAGAGAGAGAGAGGAAAATAGAAATGTTTCGGGATTTAAAAAACGTTTTCTGTGTGATTATTTTGATTTCGTTTGTGTGAATGCATAAGTGCACACGCATACTTACTTTATCATTTAGATTCTAGATGATAATTTTTATATAGTAGTGATTCAATTCACGCTTGATAATAAATAATAAAACAGTGAATTTACTACTTTAATTCTATTAAGTGTCCATATTTATCTCAAACTCCATTATTAATCATTATATAAGATTCCACTCGAAGGAACCTCTTGCAAAGGAGGGACATTCCACGATGTGACAGACTCCCATCTATTCTGAGAAGGAAGAAGCGAGGGTGATGGAACGAAGGATCCGTCCATTCTTGAACCCTAATCTCCGGTGGACCGAGATCGGAACCAGCATATCTTTCTTCATCAACACGCTTTTGTGTGCGTGGCTTGCGAGGTTGACAACATCATTCGGAAGCAGAGCAGAAACAGGTGCAGCGGTCCTCCTACGGTGGTGGAGTCATCACGGCATGCATAGTGGAAGCCCTATCTTCAAGTGTCAACATGGCGATCTTTCCTCGCTGCAGCCACAAGTCTCGAATGGGGGCCACAAAGAAATAGACGTCGCATCCAATCGATCTGACTGACTTTTTCTACCAATCACCGCTTGAGGTTTGTGAGCATGTTTTAGTATAGAGAACAGCTGGTTTCTTGGGGTTAGGTCAAAGATCTCAAGTCCATATCTCACTGCCGTAAGGTTTAGGATGTCACAGGATCAATGTTTGGAACAATGAATGGTGCATGTTGACCGAGTTATCAGGTTGGATCGTAGTGCAGAGTGCAGGGTTTACAGGGGAAAACGAGCTGGAGTTATGGATACAGCAAAGAACATGCAAAGTGATGTGCTTCCATTACATGCCGTAAGCAATGCAACAATGTGCTGCTGCTGCTGCTTGTTCTCGTGTTCTCGTGATGTTTGCTTACTGTCTCTCCAAATCTTCCGCTGCAACTCCCTGTGATCGCCTGCTCGTTGACGTCTCCCTGCTCAGCATCCTCCTCAGCGACGCGCTCAACCGCGACGACACCGAGCTGCCCTCCTTCGACCCCGACGTCTCTTCTGCCGACGTTCCCTCGGCTCTCGACGGCTGCGGCGCCGACGTCTCGCCGACGTCGATCGCCGCAGCCTCCGGTGGCTCCACCATGGCACGGCACACCGGGCACGTGACGTGGGAAGCCAGCCACATGTCGATGCAGCCCGCGTGGAACAGGTGCTTGCAGGTGGGTAGCAGCCTCACCATCTCCCCTTCCTCCACCGTGCTCAAGCAGACGGCGCACTCGGCAACGCTTCCCTCATCCTCGCCGCCGGTGGCCATCTGGTACGCGAAGGCTGGGAGGGCGGCGATCGCGGAGGGGTCGAGCCCCACGGCCTGCGGAACCGCGTCGGCGGCCATATGGAAGCGGAGGAAATCGATGGCGGCGAGACGGCGGCGGCGGCGGTCGTCACCGGGAAACCGGTTGGTGAAGACGTAGCGAACGTAAAGGCGGACGAAGACGATGACCGCCATGACCAATGCTAGCAAGACGAGAACTGTCGAGAGGATGCTGGTTCTGATGCTGTGGCCATCTTCCGATGGGTAGTCCGGTGGGCCGATGCCGTTGCCATTGCCGCCGGCCGGTGGGGCGTAGGACATGGTGTTCTTGGGTTGAGGGTGGTCGATGGTTGCCTTTGTGTGTGTGCGGGAGTCCAACTCCTCCCTTTGTACTGTTAATATTCTACTGTCAGGGAAGTCGCTGTACACCGATCCAACCGGAGTTGCATTGACTAAACTGTGAATGAAACTTGAGACGCAGACGTTGATGTCATCGTCATTGACCGAAGATTTAGGGAGACAGAGAGGAAACCAACATCGTTCTTCGATTCCGGAGCGTCTGATAACCTCTGGACGGCAGATAAGTCGTCGCCCATTTGGTAACGCAACCTGTGAAAGGTCGGAGAGCGACAATGCGTCGGTATGGTGGCAATGTTTGAGTGTTTGAACGAAGATTAAATGATCTTATCGGTACTCTCGACCGAGGTGCAGACATCAAGCTCTCCTAGGGGCTTTGGGCATACTCGATTTTATCGAAGCACGTAAGCTTCAATAAAATATTTGAGGGTAAGGGAGAGTCGACGGACTTATGAGTCCTTGGTTCTCATACTCCTCAATCAATGTGAGACTAAATGACCTTGTCACCTACTAACTTGTAGGAAGTCAATTCCTTGAATTTGGTTCTTGCATCCAAAAAGAACATAAGCTTAATCATACTAATATACAAAAAAAAATTAATATTAAAATTTAAAATTAATTATATATGTATGTGGATATCTTTATTTGATCCAAGAATAATACACTTTGTAGTTCGATCCGTAGAACACAATAACACTGATATATATAAAAAAAAATATTTATTTTTGATGAGAAAATTATAAATGTTAGAATAGAGATCAAGAGAATCTTTTAAGAAATCTTAATATAACTATACAATATAAAGCCATAATCTAACATGAAAAGCATCAATCAGAAAGAATAGACACAACAGCAGTGATGGATTGGCGATAAGGACATATCGATCTCTTTGTCAAAGGCTCGGCGCTGCTCTATTATTACACCCAATATATTCATCGAGGAAGGGAAAAAGATGCCGTGGTTGGGTCCTCACCCCGTCCGCGCAACACAGAAAGGATAGGAGGCAATACTCTCGCATGATAAGAATGATCGGCCTCTTGGCGTCAAGATTCCTCGACACGAGGCCACATGCCGAAGAGCAGTAGTACCATGCTATCTCTCTTCCTTTTCCCTTTCGCTGGAAGAGAGACTCGTACTCGATCGGGATCTCGACATGGGACAGGACCTGCAATCATGGAAGACATTACTGTAATCCTTTGTGGTGGTCTGAGGAAGTTAAAGAGAGGTCCTCCGGCTACTTTTCTTTTTTGACGCATCACGAGGCATGATATAGCGTCGGACGCAGGACGGAGACCACTCGGTTCTAATCATAAACTACAAGACATTTCATGGCCTGCCGTCATCAGTAGGTGCTACAGTGCCTTGCTGAATCTTTGCCTCCTCCTCCTCCGCCGAGTTTAGAGAAAGAAACCAAACAACAGTAGTAACGGGAAGATGAAAGAAACTGTGCTCGAAACTTCAATCAAGAGAACAAGGAAAAACAAACAAACAAACAAAAATTGAGTTGGTTTGATCAACAATTGGGGATGGATGCATGAAAAGTCCAGTGTTGCATGTGTTTACTTTTGTTGGGATGCAGCTACTTCGTGCGGATGATTGGACTCATTGATTGTTCTCTTTCCATTTCTGCCATTGGCGAGAAGCAGAGGAAGCAGCCTGTAGGTCGTTGGCAATGGCATTATGCGGCTCTTCGCCCTGAACTCGTTCTGGAATGTGGAATCCGGAGAAACCGGCGTAGCTTTCGGACGTGAACACATCGGCCGCGGCTGATGCCAGTGACGGATGGAACGCTGTAGGGCTTGTCCAAGCACGAAGGGAAGGCAGATTACCGGACCCAAGGGGTTCCCTCCGAGTGCAATGCTGGACTTGGGCGTTGACCAGACGCGGCGCCGCTGACTCCGGTGGCAGTGCGCCATTGTACGAGAACTCTCCGGCGCCGCTGCCATCGGCCGCATTCCACCATCCCAGTCTCTCCTTATTCGCGGGACACGTCGCCCAAGTGGTGGCGTGAGCCAAGTTGGTTGTGCCAGAGCAAAAGAAGTGCTGGGTTGATTCAGGACTCTGGTGGTGGTGATCTCGAAAGGTTGGGTCGTGGAAGGACTGGAGAGAGAGACGAAGGTCTTGAGGTCGGCCGCAGGCGTGCAAGAGTAGGTCGGGTGTGTAATCGTGGTACGTCATCCCGTGGCTTGAAGGCGACGATGCAGTGGCTGTGACGGTCGGGAAAGGCTTGACGAGATCGTCGATGGCATCACCATCTAGCGAAGGAGGGATTAAGCTACCACTGCTGCCGCCGAAACCATAGCCCACGGACGCAACTGCTCCTGCGTCGGACATGGGCAGCTCGATTGAATCGTGACCGACGGAGGTGTCTTGCAGGGGAAGCTCATGGACGACGCATCGGTCGACGGGTTGGTGGCGGCGGGAAAGGTCCGCGAGCTGGTCTATGGCGGTCTTGGCATTCTGCATGAGCCAGTCGACGGCCTTACTGGGGCGGTCGTAGCCGAGGCGATCCTGGACGTCGTAGAACTGGATGGCGGTGTGGGCGGCGAGGCGGACGCGCCGGTCCCTCACGCCTTTGGCGGTGTACACCTTGCTGTGCCGGTCCTTCCGCCCTGTGGACCGAACAATATGGCCCCCGGGGACCTCTATCAGCTCTCCGGTGCACCGTCGCTGACAATGCTGCTTGTAGCAGTCGCGGTTGCCCTCCTCCATCAAAGACGGACGAAGGGGAAGTAGTAGCGTCGCTTTGGGGTCTGCTAACGAATCTGTCGTGGCTTATACATTCGAAGCAGTCGGTACTTTAATTTCTTCCTTCTCGGGTTCTTGAGATTGAGTCGTGCTGCTTCTGCGCCGGAGCGTCTCCTTCAATTCCATGAATTTGTTTCCTTGGCTTCACACACGCGCGCGCGCGCACAGAGGTAAGTGTTAAGAGGCCGGAAGAGGAAGAGGAGGATTGCAGTAGGTGAGCGGCTGGCGGTGGCAGACAAGAGACAGAGATGATGAAGGACGGTAGCAGCTCAGCGGCCAACTCCAAAACCTCAAGTAAATGCACAGCGCTCCATCAGACGCAGGCCATCCACCAGTTAGGGCGATAAAAAAAGAAGAGAAATTACAAACGCCTGCATCCATTCCTCCTCCTCCTCCTCATCATCTTTCGCTTTCTGTCTCTGAATCTGGACAACGACTCCGTCCAGCTTTTTGGTTCTTTCATTCCTTTATTGCGGCTGGCTCTGCCAAAAGGAGCCATCCCATTGCAATTCCTGCTCCCCATCCCTTTCAATCTATTCACCACACACGCACCTCAACTAACCCCAAAAAGAAAATATCTTGCCAATTGAGCTTCCTCTCTTCTCTATCTTCTGGTTTTACTTCATGGGGAAAAAACTCTTGATGCCTTCACCTCTCATCAAATTCATCATCCTCCTCCTCCTCCTCCTCTAGTTGTAGGTGTCACGTAGGTGCACCACACCATCCACTTCATCCAGATCGTTCAACCTACAGATCTGACCAACTATAGCTGTGAGCTTTTGGGGAGTGGGAGAGAGATGCATGTGAAACAGGCTTTAGCTGTGTGATTAACCTACGGCAAAAGTAGGAGCTGGCATTGGGGAGTGCGGGGGACAATTATTGAGGAGAAAGGAGGGGGAAACAAGAGGGGAAATCTCCGAGAGGAGTCGTTATCTTCCCCGAAATCGACGTGCATGAGGTCAAGTGGGGCAACTGGACGGCTTTGGAGCGACGCCATGCCCGCCTCCATCTGACAGAGCACACACGCCACGCCACGCCCGCTACATGTCGAAGAGAAGCACTCGGGGAAGACGAGGGATCAAAGTCGATCCGCCGTTACTTAGTAACATCATCGTGTTCCTCCCGGCGATCCCCCTGAGGTACATCCGATACTCGATACAAGTCCGAACCTGCAACTTAGCTCAGCAAGCATAAATATTGATTGATAGCTTTGAATCCGCTGACACAGTCTCAATCAAATTTGGGAACAACATTACGAGATTGCCTTTAAGTGAAAGGGATCGAAAGAGAGGAAGATCTTCATCTTTGTGAGAGAGATGCTTTTTCCAATATTAATCAACAATGCTACGAGGTTGCCTATAAGTGAAAGGGATCGAAAGAGAAAAATGTCTTCGTCTCGGAGAGAGGTAGGTTTTCCAACTTAGCTCAGCAACCCAAAGCCTAGAAGCTTAATGCAACATCACTCGGCTCGACATAGCCGGGATTCTCTTTTCGTGGTTACAATTGATATTTTTATTTTGTTTTTATGTTTTCATATTTATTTTAGGTTCATAATATGGTGATTCAAATTTTCTTTTATGTTTTACTAAATTAGATGTCAGTTTCCTATAGCCAATAAATTATTAAAAGGATTTCTCATATATCTTATATTTTTAAGTAATTCTACTACTTTGATCTCGAATGGATTAATAGTGATGAATAATTTAACATAGAAAAGATCCTAAAATATTTATGTGATCTGTAGATTTGCTCCACTACAAGCATTAACATTCTGTTGATAAGCACATGTAATTATTATTTAATATGCTTTAATTAATATGAATTTAAGGTTAATTATTATTATTTTTATAATATTTTAATTTATTTTTAAAAAAATATTAAAATTTAATTTAATAACAAGCATCAAATTATGGGTATGACTTTAATTAAATTGATTAACTAGACTAGTCCATGTGGCCAACTTATTACATATGGTCAGGTATAGCACAACCTATGTGACATGATATAGTCCAATGTATGACTCAATCCATATGGTTAAGTATAACCCAACTCATGTGGTTAGACATGATCTAATCCATATAATCAGGTACAACCTAACCTATATAATGAAGTATTATTTGACCCATGTAATTAGGCATGACCCATCTCATGTGATTAGGTACAATGCAACCCATGTAGCAAGGTACAATGTAACCCATATGGCCAAGCACAACTTCATCTCATGTGGCTAGGCTACGGTCATAGCCTAAACCATATGACAAAGCACAACCCAACTCACAAGTAGTGTAGCCTAAGTTAACGGTAGAGTTCAACCCAACTAGTGAATGAGGCTCAATCTAATCCATGAAGGTAGGCTTGTATAGTCATATAATTAGCATTAAACATATCATCGCCTTTTTATCTAACCTAATATACTTCAACCTAACATGTTACTTAGGATAGGATAGATATGTGCGACACATATGACCCATCCAAGACGTAAGTGAGTCGATTCAATTTAAATTAACACTATGTGATATAATCTAATTTCTTTTATCTTTATTAGTTTGAGCTCGTTCGATTGATTCTAAACCAACTTGGCTAGTCTAAATCTATTTGACCTAATTAAAATTAATCAAATATAAGATGATTTCAAACCAATTGTATAAGGATTTGTGATTAGTTCAAACCAACTTAGAATAATCTTTCTGCCTACAATCACATTTGCAGTACTACTCACCGCGCTATTAAGTGACCTTGAAAAGCACTATTCATTGATTGATTTATAGGGAAAAGTCAGTGGACACGCAAAGCTGTGCTGGTTTTGCTGGATGAATCATCCCTCACTCACCATTAATTAGCTACTTATGTCTCATGCCAATTCACCTACCACCTTTACTAGCGGGGCATATATCAAGCGGTTCACCTAATCTTATCTCGGGCCAGTCAATAAGAATGCTCAAGAATCAAGTATAAAAAGGAATCCATCAGACCAGGGACTCTCCACACACTAACTTAGTCATACAACTTACGCAATTATTTTCTCCCCTTCACTGACTTAAGCATCGGAGGGCAACCCCCAGCACCAGCCTATCATGTAAGATCGTCGATGGTCAGGAGGCGACCCCGCTATCAGGATGCTGCCACACAGCTACGAGACGAAAAATCATCTCGAGGACACCCGGATGACCTAGTCCTAGAGAGGAACCTTCCAACTAGGAAGATCCCAGATCGTCTACTTGGTCATCTCAAATCGGGTCCTCACCAACATAACAGCTTCTGATCGGACCACTTACGTAGTCTTACCTCACAAAGTCTCCCACATTAGTCAGGAAGAGGCACTTGGGTGAGCTTGTACTTTTGGCAATGGATCAATCGTGCCAACTCATCAATCGACGGTACTCATGATACCATCATTTTACCCCATGCTAGCTCACCTACCACCAAGGTCGACACTTAAGTAGGGCTCCAGGTCACCAACCCCAAAATGGCATTGCAGTGCATCTCGATGTGCCCCGCTGATAATAACTGTCCTACCTTATCAATGTTAGAGAATGATCAAGTGATTCACCTAGTCATATCCCAGGCCATCCAGTAAGAAGGCTTAGGAATCAAGTATAAAAAGGAACACATCGGCTCATGCTGAGGGGGGGACTCTCTACACACTTAGTTATACAACTTACACTGTTGTCTTCTCTCTTTTGCTGACTTAAGTATCGGAGAGGTTGTAATGGGTAACCCCCGATGTTGGTCTATCATGTAGGATCATCGACGATCAAGAGGTGATCCCGCTGTCAGAATGCAGCCACATAGCTACGAGACAAAAAATCACCTCGAGGACACCCAGACGACCTAGCCCTAAGGAAGAACAATGCAACAAGGAAGATCTCAAACTGTCTACCCGATCATCTTGAACCGGGTCCTCCCCAACAAAATGGCTTTTGATCGGACCGCCTACGTGGTCTCAGCTCACCAATTCTCTTATGCCAACTAGGAAGATGTACTTAGATGAGTCTGCACCTTCGACAGTGGATCAGTCACATCGACTCTTGAGTCAATGGTACTCGTAACACCGTCACCCAATTCACCTGTAAGTCACCAATGTCAACATGCCAGAGTCAACGGGTTATCAACGCCCAAGTCTCGTACCCATGGGGACGAGTAGTGAGTGTCCTGGTCCTGTTAGTCTTGTAAGCGGCGTTTGGCCTTCCCTCATCTTCGAAAGCCGCAACGAACGATACGTGAGCTGCTTGGCTATCCTTCATTCTTTGCTCGTTTCGACAATGATAAATGGCTTTCAGAAACTAATGGCGCACAACGTGACAGTTATTGGTTTTTGCGTAACTGTTGTCGCTGATAGTTACTAAGATTTCCCATCTCGCTTTTCTGTCGAGAAAAAGTCTTCCTCCTAACCTATATAAACAGGGAGCGTCATGAACGTTATCTTCCTCGTTTCATTCTTTCATTTCGAGGTCTGCGGACAAGGAGGGTACTCATGGCGAGCAACATCGTAAGGTTTTGTTTCTGTCTCGTATTGTTGATATCCACGTGTTGGAGATCGGAGTCACGGGTGCTTCTGCATCGAACGCTGCCGACGAGCTGTGGAAGCTTGAGAGTAGGATCAGCGAGAGGGGAGACGGCGGCTGGAACAGGGAGTCCTGATGTTTACGAGCTACATAGGCTTAGCCCCGGCGGACCAGACCCTAAGCATCATTAATCGAAATCTCGCTGTTCTGTTCCTGTCGATGGAAATCCTCTCTCCACTTTTATATCACAATCTACTTTTATCAGTTTCACTCCCTAAACATTATCAACATCTGTCGACTTATTACTATCGCAGTACAAATATAGTGTGAGAACTGAGACATTAATCCAACTGCGATCATAATTTGTGACATTGAGTGCTGCTGGTTTTGAGCTTCAAGGCGTTGACTTTTGTGGTACCGTTTGAGACGACAGCAGGTGACGGCATGAATCCGGACTCTCCAAACAAAACTCAGTTGCTCCCGACGTTGTTGACATGCGTTCTACGCAGGTGATCGACACTACTCACAGCAAATACAGCATTTGGATTAGAAACCGAGTCCGAACCATATAGATATTTGGATCTAATTTCCTATCTTTACACGCTCTACGTTAGGAATGATACGATATCCGAATTAGAACGTCTATGTTCTTAAAAGAGTTCGTCATTTTCTTTCCTCGCCGAATTATTGCACATACGGTCTGGATATTCTTATTTCTCAACAAAGATAGGCAGCTTTGTGGCCGATAACACATGCAGGAAGAACTCCAATGAGGTCCAAATTGCAGAGACATTAAATGGCCAATCCTTGAACGGTAGAAAAAAATTGTTTCATCCTTGCATGATTGCATCCAAAATGGCGGCTACGAAAGGCCTCACTCTGCGCCTAAAGTACAGTCTCTTAAACAGTAGACAATGCCCTTTTTTTGTGTTTGCATAATTAGTCAATCAATCAGCTGCTGGATTTACTTTTCTTGTGCGCATACATTGGGATGTATCAGACATGTATTCGTTTACTGTCTTTGAAGCAAAATGGTAGTGTTTTCATTACACTGCTGACGAGTCCTTGCGAAAGGTAGCAGTACACGAATCAGATCCTGTATCACTATGAACTGGAAGAGTGGTGATCTTGAAACTTGATGCCACTGTGATTGGAGAAGCAGCTCGATCCATGGAACATTAAACGATATTGATCTATATATTTCGTGTGGATTTGATAGCAATATTTCTGCTGCAACTTGATCTCGCGAAGTTCGCATGTGTTCGTGCCACTAACATGCTTGTGACGATAGGAGAGGAAGAAAGAAGAGCATGTAAGATTGCTGTGATTTGACGTGCGGAGAATGGATATCTTGTGACTCCCACCTCAAATGTTTTCCTGCGTAGAGATAATAACTAGATTCTCATGTTGGCCATTCCATATAGGAGCAAATTGAAGTAGAAAACAGCTCCACCTCATTCCCACAGCCGCCATGAGATATCGTCTGCCCTCACTGCTCAATTCTCTTCAGCTTTGATGTTAAATTAACATCGTCAGGTGATAGGTCTCGTCATGCCTCACCGAGGACAACCCATACTTTAGGTCTTCAGAAGCCTATCTCGAAAGTTTGGTGGACGCCAACAATTCATACAAATAAATATGATAGAAGAAAATAGAGAACCATAAACTAAAAACTATTATTAAACATCATCACTATCGATTTCTAACATAAATGGTATTCACTTAAATTCCTCGGATCTAAAAGGAAAGCGTCGAGGTTAGAAAAACCAATGATTTTGATTCGACTGTAGACATTACGTTCATCGATAAAGACAACATGCAAAGAGTCATTATCAACATCTTAAAACATCATTGCTTGCTTGATAGTCCTCACCTGACTATTAATCGGCCACATTCCACAACACATCTCCATGATCATCACAATGAATCTGCAAAACCTTTCCATATGTAGGAAGAGTAAACGGATGTTAAGATAAGGTATAAATTCTTCTCATCTACCGTTCTCAATCTGTTCTATTTCTACATTCTATGCTGCCTATTATCTCGGTTACTAACATAAGAATCACAGGAAAGTCTCATCACACAGCCGTTTTGGCACGTAAAGAGTTTGAAAATGTTGTCCAATTCCTATGATGTTAGATGTTTAGATCCTGATACAGCTATGTTGTTAGATGTTTAGATCAAGTATCTTTTTCTTTCTATCATTTCTACTCATCCCATACCCCAGATTGTGGTGAACATGCTAAGATGATCGAAGCATGTCCACTTCCAGTCTCATCCCAGTCCTCGACATTCCAAAGCAGTAGAAGAGGTTGAGGTGGATGGTCGATTTGATATACGGTCCTTGTTCTTTCATTATGGTCATTGATCAAGTTTACCTTGATGATATAAATCACGTTTGGATAAACACTTATCACCATGACATATGCTTGCAGAGGAAGTGAACCATTACTTTGAGGTTTGCGCCCACAGATACAGGAGGTGACGGCGGATTTGAGCTTGTAGGCACTATCATCGATCGAGCGAGCGGGCTTCTTAGCATGGCCATGGCGGTGGCGGTGATGGTGCTCGTGCTCCTCCCGGTCGTGGCTTCCGAGCTCACGGCCATGATTGAAGCAAGGCTGATGAGTGACGTCCAGAAGCATGGGATGCAGCAAAGTGGAGGGGGCGAACCAAGTGCTGCCGTTCACTTCTCGGTGCATCAACGGAGGGGTAACGTGAAAAGAGTAGTCCCCAGCGGACCAGACTCTCAACACCAGCGCTAGCCTCCTCCTCTTCCTCCATCGCCCCATGCGACGTCGTCGAGTGTGCCGGGAAAAGATAAAGAGTGGCAGCCAGCGAGTGGGACTGTGTGTGAGAGCTCACCCTCTAAGATGAAGAGGAAGGAGGCCTCTTCTGCATCACCCTCAATTCCTCATGTTTGTTATCCCAACCCTCAAATCAATTTCGAATAAGAAAATATAAATCATAAAATTGATTCCATCAGTGGGATGGATGGACTGTTTGGATGTGTCTTTTACCAAATGTAGTGGGCAGAATCAAAAGGAAGAATCTTCATCACAAGAAAGTTAGTATTATTATTATTATAGCAAATGACTCACTTTAAAGATCAATGGAAAGTTGCAGGAAACAATGAATTCTGTCTCAGCTGTAGCTTCTCGGTGTGTATAATAGCACCATGCATGAGGTTAGCTCAAAGTGTAGCACTTCTGAGCCTACCATCCCCAATACTATGCCTTCCACCATGACTCCTTGTCTCACAGATATCAAATTAAAAGGGTGATACTGTACTCTACGTGGAAGCTAGCAAAAGATATGAAATATTATACTCATGTTATATCTTATTACAAGGATTAATATTATATTTATCTATGCGTGAGAATTATGGAAAGAAAATCTAAATAAGTTAGCCATATTTATTTCAAATAGATAGGTCAACGAAAAAATATATAATATACTCGTTGTTGCCTCTATCCTACTGTCCTACTCTTGTTACGAGGCTTCATCGTGATATCTCATCGCCTACGATCCATCACAAGGCTCCGTAGGGTGATAGCCTCGTCTCAATAAATCCTTCATATTTAAAACTAAATGCTCATTTTATCATCGTTTATCACGTATCATAGGTATCGACAATGAAAAATTATCGATATTTATGATGCTTACATTGATGAAAACCTCGACAACAATGGGAGACGGTGTTAGTGATCGATAAGGAAAGGTTGATGGTGAAGCCATCATCATTTTCATCGAAGTAGATTGATAAGAGTCGATAAAATTCAATAATAGAGGCATCAAGGGCAAGAGCCAAAGGCTTTACTTTGGAGCTTTAGTAATCCATCTTAAAAAGATCGATGCTGATAAAAGGTATTTCGGGTATTAAAAAAATAAATGATATCAAAAGAAAAAGGCTGAAAACTATAATACCTTAAAAGAAAAATAAGAAAAATCGTCATATATATATATATATATGTATATATATATAATAATAATAATAAAGATGTGACACATGCACGGCCAGTTCATACTCAATCGTCATACCGCGGCCCAAAGGGTCCCTTACAAACATGCGTGTGTCTGTCGCACGGTAAAAGACACTGCTCCTCTCGCTGCTCTGCTCGACGCCCGCCCCTCTCGCAACAGTGTTTACCCCCCTCCCGTCACGAGCCTCGCCGCCATTGCCGTCGCCATCATGCCCCGATTCACCATCCCTGTGCTCCCATTCCCTCCCTAAGCCTTGTCTGAACCCGGATCCTGCAGCTATTCACCCTTTCCCCTTTCGGTTGTTGAGCTGCTTATTCTCTTTGGTCTCGGAGAGAATGGGCATCGATTTGAACACGATAGAGGAGGAGGCGGAGGAGGAGGAGGACGAGGAGTCGGAGCAGCAGCCCGCCCACCACGTCGCTTCCGCTGTGGCGGCCGAGGAGGAAGCTTGTCGGGCCGCGTCGGTGTGCCTCGAATTGTGGCACGCGTGTGCCGGGCCCCGGATTTGGCTGCCGAAGAAGGGGAGCTTGGTCGTGTACTTGCCGCAGGGGCATCTTGAGCACCTGAGGGACGGCGGCGGCGGCAGGGGGAGAGGGGGGATCGGCGGCTACGATGTGCCGCCTCATGTCTTGTGCCGTGTGGTTGACGTCAAGCTCCATGTTCGTTCATCGTCCCGTTCTGCTCTGTCCCATCTTTTGCTAGGGTTTCGAAGGTGGGGGTTTTCGCCTTATCTTTTGTTCTTTTGGGATCTGTTGGACACAGGCTGATGCGGCTACGGACGACGTCTATGCTCAGCTCTCTCTTGTCGCTGAAAACGAGGTTAGGCTCCTGCTTGTTCCCGATTTTTCGTTTTGTGTTGTATTGAGCTCTTTAGTGTTAGTGTTCATTAAAGGCTGGGGTTCCATTTATCTCTTCTAAATATAGGATCTTGATCACGTGTAGCTGTTCTTGAATCAAGAAGTAGGACCCTGGATTACACGAGTATTTAAGCAAATTTTATATATATTCAAGTTCTCAAACCTGTCATGACTGTCATCAATTCTGGGTTCTGTCTTTTGTTGCCGTCGATATGGTGACACATTTTTTGGTACAGGAATACGAAGCAAGATTGAAGAAGGGTGAGGTTGAACAAAATGCGGAAGAAGAAAATGATGAATCTATAAGCAAGTCGCTGATTCCCCATATGTTCTGCAAGACCCTCACTGCCTCTGACACGAGCACACATGGAGGGTTCTCTGTGCCACGCCGAGCTGCTGAGGACTGTTTCCCTCCCCTGGTGACTAGACATTCTTGAACTTATGCTATTCCAGATTGGAGCTTTTGATGACATTTAACTAGAGTCTCTACTTTGTAATAGATTCTCTGCAACATGTCCAATTTGCGATGCAAATAATTTTTTTTTCGACATATTATTTGTGATGCTGCTTCTCTTTGAATCAGGATTATAAACAGCAGAGGCCTTCGCAGGAGCTCATCACAAAAGATTTGCATGGCACTGAATGGAGGTTTCGACATATCTACAGAGGTATTGGCCAAAGCCGACTTTGTTTGACGAATCTCACTGTATTTTGGGCTATAAAACTTGTAATGTCATTTGTTCCTTTCTTATAGTTTCATTTGTGCAGAAATTCTTATCATGTATTCATAGACATCTTAGCTTTGTTTTTTTATCTTAGATGGATGGAAAATTGATCATTTAAAAGCATTTTCTTGGGGTTGTTTAGTTAATTAGTTCTGTTATTAATCCAGGTTATTTAGTTCCAAAAGTTGTTTGCACTATTCCACCATATACTACTTGCTGAAGGAGCTCATTTGAAGATCGCATTTGGAGATATACCTTTGGGTCAATTCATATGATAAATAATATCACTTACACATTAAGCATTTTCTCTCCTGGAGATTCTAATAAACCATTGGGTTGATACTTAAGTCATTTATCAGCTTATCTTTTGGAACCGTAGTTGGAATGACATTATTGACGAATCATATAGCTAGTTAAATTACCATAGGCTTTAAAAAGATACTAGTTGACAGTGGCTGCTGATGGATGTTTACTTCTTTTTGATTTTCAGGTCAACCGCGTAGGCATCTTCTTACAACTGGATGGAGTGCATTTGTAAATAGGAAGAAGCTCATCTCAGGGGATGCGGTGCTCTTTCTTCGGTAGGCATTATCAATGTTGCACAGTCACAAACATAGATATCAAGATCCTTTGCATAAATGAGATTCTTTATTGATATTTTAGGGGAAATGATGGGATGCTCAGATTGGGTGTCAGGAGAGCAGCTCAATTTAAAAACATCTGTCCAGTTTCGGAACATCAAAGTGGGAATATGAACTTAGCCGCGTTTGCTGTTGTTGCAAATGCTGTGTCCGACAAAAATGTCTTTGACATCTATTATAACCCAAGGTATGCTTGTTTGTGGAGTTGTGTTTTCTGTATGATAGTAGGTGATGTAACTTTTGTCTTCTGTAAATATAATAGTAGATTCTGCAAAATAAAACCTATTTAATCTTATTTGACACTGGTCTATGTGTTCAAAGTGAAAAACTTTCTAAGAAATTTCCCATAAATTTTTAAGTGTCTCCTACTCTACTCTCCCTCACTCTATATACACAGAATTCAAAATTATGGTTTAAACTCTTGTATTTCTATAATTGCTGGTAATGCTGGAATATCAATTACTTGATGTTTAAACAAGTTGGTATTGCTTGTGCTTATGATATAAGATTTGTTATGTTGAACTACTAGTGAGCACACTACATGAGGTGATGATCACTATCCCCTTGATTGCTTGTATACTTGTACTAATACATTTAGTAACTTTGTATTATTAGATAAATGATATCAATTATCATGGAATCCAACTGAAGGCCATCACTATGGAAAACTGAAGTGTTTATGTGTTTGTTGAACTTTTATTCTGAAACATTCACAGTTCTGAATACAGAATTGCTTCATTTTTGTTGAGCATATGTTCTTTTTCTTCTGCTGATCCCATCACAAGGTTTTCATCCTAGAATTGCATTATGAAGTAGTTAAGGTCTGAGTATATTTTGTTAGCCTAAGTCCAAATTGTGCTTTTATAGATTATTTTCTTCTTGGAAAAAATTATCCTGTCTTTCCTCGAGGTCTGAGTATATTTTGTTTATGTGCCAACAACTGGCAATATATTATGGAAATGCCAATCCTTGGATCTTTACTCTGCGTGCTCAATGAATATAAATTTTGTAATTGCAACCGAGTGCAGCATCACATGGTCTCTCACATCTGCTCCCACAAGTCTTGTACACATATCCATTTGTCCTCTAGTCAAACAATTACCAGACCCTTCTTTTATACTATTCCAATATCAAAGTATATAAAGATATAAAAAGACACAAGTGAATCTTTTTATAATTGTAAAACTTCTGATGAACTTTGAATATGTCCCTTCTATCAACAATACAATACACATCTATTAACTGTCCTTGTATCTCTATTCATTTTTTTTTGTCAAACCAGACCCTTGGATTCATGTTTTTGTCATATTATTGTGACCATTTTTATCTCCTATATCATTGATTGAGAATATATGTTATGATCCAAAGATCACAGCATGATATGTAGAAATAGTCTTAATTAATATTGCCCCAAAAGCTTAACTTAAGTAATTAGTAGTAGTTTAATATTATAACTTGAATATCCTGCTGGCTTGATTACCTATAAGGACTTTAAATAATATGGTGTAATTTTCTCAAGCCGAAGTTGTTGTAGTAAAATCTTGGTCAGATACTGGTTTTAACATTTTGTTGGATAGGTGCAATACTGGTGTACGATGCAATATAATAATATTGTCTAGTATTGTTCGCCAAGATAATAAAATAACGAATATTGACATGTATCAAGTTATATGGTGCAATATTGGTCCTTGGTTGGATTGAGATGTGAAACTTTCGTATTTACAATTGACCTATGAAAAAACTTGTCTATTAACTTGATAAGTTTAATTTTCCTGATTCAGAATAGGCTCATCTAATTAATGGTAGGCTCATCTAGCTTCATAAACCAACTCAATACTCCTCCCACTTCTAAGCCATAGCTCCATGATGTGCTTGTAGACCTAGTACTGGATCCTTTTTTATACTAGCTTTGCTTTATAAACCTAAATGTTCAAGCCCAAGTTAATGTTAGTCTACACATCTAGCCTTATAAAACAACTCAAAAATTCTTCTAATTCCATTATGTGACCAAATTGGGTGTCACATTTGTAGCCTATAGTAATTGTTATCTAATACTTTACATGTCTAAGCTTATTGTTAGGTCATTTTGATTGCCAATCCTAAGCCCCAAAACAGGAGAATGGTGTTGACAACTGATGACTTGCATAATATTATGCTAGGTATTGTGTGAATGTGGAACTCTACCAGTTGTAGGGTCATGATCTGAACTTCCTTTACTTATTAAAGAGTTTCTAGATCATCTCTTAAAATGACGGGAAGCTCGTGTACAATTGTAAACTTAACTTAATCAACTAAGTTAGAACCCGTTAATGTACTCCTTTCGTCTGTTTGAAATGAACAATACCTTCAACACACAAGCTTCTTCATTGTCTTCCTCGCATAACATCCATAGTTAATGTGATTTTTTTTCTAGAGGAATGATAAAATAAGGTATGATTTTAATAGATGCCATTATTGTTCAAATTTTACTCAGTTCATTTATTATTAAGTTTATTCTAGATAATTTTAGTTGAAGACAGTATTGAACATACAAGTTCATCTTCTAGAGAAAATACTCCTTTGTAGATAGGCACTTGTTCTGTTGATTGTTGATACAAGGCAGAAATGCTGAACTAGTTTTCTTTGTAAATCTAATAAATTTAGTTAGTGAATTAGTTGTTTCATGGTTAATTGTCCAAGTATGCCATGCCTCAATCCTGTATCTTGTGGTAGCTTTGCAGTTTTTTTTTAATGATTTCTCTAAATGTACGAGGGCGGACCTTGGTATAACGGTAAGGTTGCTTCTTCACAACCTGGGAGACCAGGTTCAAGTCATTGAAATAGTATTTTGAAATATTCAAAGGTAAGGCAGTGTACATTGACCCTCCTCAGACCCCGCATTGGCGGGAGCCTCGTGCATTGGTATGTTCTTTTTTTTAATGATTTATCTAATGTATTAGTGATATCATGATCTGGCTCGTAGTCTCTAATTATCAGATCACTAGTCTTTATACACTCTTTGATGTTATAAAGCACTGGTGTTGAACGTATCATGGTGCTGTTGTTAAAATGGTTCCTAACCAAGTTCGTAACTCAGGGTGAGCTCGTCAGAGTTCATAATTCCATATCGGAAATTTGTGAAAAGTTTATCTAATTCCATTTCTGTGGGAATGAGGTTTAAACTGCTATATGAAGGTGACGATGCCACAGACAGAAGGTTTGGTGCATCAACTCTTACATTTACATCTGGAATCTAAATTTAGATGTCCTAAAGTTTAGTTTTTTCATTTTCTTTTATAGGTCCACAGGACTGATAACTGGGATCAGTGACATGGACCCTGTAAGATGGCCTGGTTCAAAGTGGAGATGCCTTTTGGTATACTTATATTCTCAAACCCAATTTTGTTCTTATGTTAAAAGCCAAAACTATTTCATATAAAATAATCTGGATAGATTCTTTGGGGAAGCAGTCTTCTGTTTAAAGGTCATATAATTCAGCACCATCTTGGATTACGCTATCCTTTCATTTTGAGGCCTTACTGCAGTGGTATTTTTAGTCTGTTTGAGTTATTTGTGTTTTTTCAGCTTAAAAATTACAATAGTTATATGCAACAGAATAGAGTATAATCTGCTTCTCTGATCCATCTATATATATAATGCTCATGTCAGAGAGTCAAGAGGCTTCACGTGAGTAGCTTTGTCATGATCAGATTCAATCTAGGTCATCTATCCAAAACAAGCTTGCATTTTTTGTTCTTTGTGAAACCTTAAAAAGTACAGTATTTGTCCATCTATATATGTAATGCTCATGTCAGAGAGTTAAGAGGCTTCATGTGAGTAGTTTTGTCGTCATCAGATTCAATCTTGGTCATCTATCCAAAACAAGATTGCATTTTTCTTTCCTTGAGAAACCTTAAAAGATTACAGTACTTGTCTATTAACTGTTTGACTCCTTACTAGTCATACTTCTTTCAAAAGATTGACCTTCGTTCATGTTATTTCTTACAATATGACATCTAATGTGCAAAGCATGTGCTAAGATCTATTATGTTCTAATGCTGCCGTCATTTTGGCTTGAGGTGCTATACTGTTAAAATATAATATTGAAGTCAAATTTCTTTTCTCTACAGTTAAATTTATCATTGTTAAACTAGCTTAAATATTTACATTGTTTCCAAGTTTAATATGACAGCATTTGGAAAGAAGTCCATATGTTTCATTTGCATGATATGTTGCCATTTAAGTTGCATGAACCTCACTAACATGATGGTGTTCTTCTGTAAGAGGCAAAGGAGTTTGTTGGTTAACTGGGCCTATACAGCAATTCTCTGCTTGAGTAACCGTACATTCTGCATCAATTTGGGATAGCATTTATGAGACATCAACTTTGTTGTTTATTCATTAGTATTTATGTTGCTGATATCATATATATTTGCTCATTCTTGCAGGTAAACTGGGATGATGTTGTAAATGCTAATCAACAAACTAGGTTATCACCATGGGAAATCAAACCAACCTGTTCAGTTTTAAGCTCTGGAAGCTTGTCGACAACAGGTTGCAAGAGGGCCAAAGTTACTCTTCCCTCAGTCAATATGGATTTCCCTATTCCAAGTAGGTTTTTGATATGTTGCGGAAACTTGCATTTACCAAAGGACAACCATACATTTCTTGCATTATTTCTAATGCTCGTGTCCAATTGTTTGCAGATGGAAATCAATGTCTGGACTTGAGGGAATCTGCAAGTTTCCATAAGGTCTTGCAAGGTCAAGAATTTTCGAGGTTTAGAATTCCAAGTAGTGTTGGTGTACTAGCCTCTCATGTTTCTGAGGTTGAAAAATGTCAGCACTCAGAGGGTAAGGGATATTCCACTGATGCAAACAGCAGGCTTATTCATAAATCTGTTCCTGGAGGAATAGTCAGAATGCCATATGAAAAATCTGACTTCTTGTTCAATTCCACAGGCTTTAGCAAATCTCTCGGACTCCACAAGGTCTTTCAAGGTCAAGAAGTTTTCTCAAACCATCCACCAATCCTTGGAGCTCATTCTGATGCTGATGCAAGGAATGGTGTGTATGGCCTTTTTGATGGTCTTCATACATTTCATGCTGTAAGCAGATTGTCTACAGCATCTTTGGGATATGGCACTATTGTTCAACCATCATCTCCATCAATTCAAGCATCATCCCCATCCTCGGTGTTGATGTTTCAAGAAGCAAGTTCCAAGACATCAATGGTCCAGCCTGTGCCATGCAGGAATGGTCAAGATGGTGGTGACGGTGGCAGCTGTTTTGCCAACTTAACTGGCATGGAAGCCTTGCATAGAAAAGAAGCAACCTTGCCAATCTGGCCTCCGATTATGGGTTTTCATTTTGCCAATCAGCAACACAAAATGATTGAAGTCCATGCTCCCATCTTGGATAATAAGTTGGACACACAAAATGACCAGAATGTCAGCCGAAATGGTTGCAGACTTTTTGGCTTTTCCTTGACTGAGAAGATTCCTGTAGCAGATTCAGTTGGCAAACCTCTTCCTGTCTCTTCAACCTCAACTCAGGTCAAGCTTGATGCTGCCTTCTCGACTTCAGTGGCTCAAACACCTGCTAAGCCTGTCGGTTGCAGTTGCAATGGAATAAGTGCAGCTTACACCATGTGTACTGCTCCATTTTAGGACTTCGTTGGTGTTTCACATGCATCAAATTATTGTAAGAAGGTATATCTGGAAGCTTGATGGTAATTAGGACCTGTCTTAAATTTGCCATGGTAACGGTTGCAGTTGAAAAGAATGGCATGTTCTCTATACCTCTAGAAATGTTGCTCCAAGGTCATGACAGACAACCATGATGCTGAGGAAAGCATAAGTTCTCAGTGATGCCAAGTTTAGTGAACATAACATGGTTCCCTCTTGCATTTGTGCTAGCTGGTATGAATTGAATTCTAGAGATCTGGACTCTGTTGCCATTCAATTTCTTTGACCTTTTAATGGTGTGTGTGATGTTCTGCTACTTGAAATGCCATATTTTTCAGTGTCATAAAACCATTCCTACTAATGCAAAATCTGCCTTGCGTATGTTTTAATATTTCTGATATCTCATATTTAGGGTTTTTGTTTCTCCCTTAAAATGCTTATGAGGCTGGTATTCTGACAATGGTTGAGTCAAATCGATGAGTGGTACTATGAATCTGGACTCGATGAAGAATACTAATACAGACTTCATCCTCAAACCAGGAAGTTTTGTGGCAGGAATCGTTGTATGGCATTGGAAGGAATGGGAAGTCCTCTGAGGAATGCGGGCTCTCACAGGGCCCAACAACAGACACAGGTCGAACCCCCACAGATTCTTCGGCCTCCTCTCGAGCTCGATGCGGTTCACCGACTCGCCGGTGGTGGAACTCCCCGTGGGCGGCGCCGTCCTCACCTTGGAACACGACAACGGCTCCATGCACGTCGGCATCTCCGTCTGGCCCTGCTCCCTCATATCGACCTCGGCCTCGACGTTGTGTTAACCGACATCGCCCCCGTGATGCTCGCCCTCCGCCCCAATTTGCATGGATATCAAAGGGCTTGTCATACTATGGCAATTTGAGCATAGGTTTTTCAAACACAACAATAAAATCTCCTGTCGGCAGCTGTCTCACCAAAATCAAAATTTATTGCCTACAACTCCTCGTCGAAGTTTTTAAGCCACCCAAGAAAACTCTAGACTCCACCAAATAGTACAAGGCCCGCCTCGGTGACGTCGCAACTCGGTCAGTCCAATGCCCAAGTTATGCATATCGACCAGTTCAATACCCGAGTTACACACCTCGGTCAACCAGTGGCCAAGTCACACATCTCGGCCAGTCCGATGCTTGAGTTATGCATCTCGACTAGTCTAATGCCCAAGTTATGCATCTTGGCTGGTCTAGTGCTCAGAGTCGTGCATCTCGACCAACTAGTGCCCGAGTCACACATCTTGGCTACTCAGATACCCGAGTTATGCATCTCGGCTAGTTTAGTACTCGAGTTATGCATCTTGGCCAGTTCAGTGCCTGAGTTATGCATCTCGACCAAGCTAGTGCTGAATCTCGACCGATCTAGTGCCCGAGTTATGCATCTTGGCCAATCCAGTGCCCAAGTTATGCATCTTGGCAAATCCAATGCTCGAGTTACGCATCTTGGCCAATCTAGTACTCGGGTTATGTATCCGGTCAGTCCAGTACCCAAGTTACGCATCTTGGCCAATTAGCGCCCGAGTCATGCACCTCAGCCAATCCGGTGCCCGAGTCATGTATCTCGACTAGTCCATTGCCCAAGTCATGCATCTCGACCATTCTAGTGCTCAAGTTATACATCATGGCTAGTCAATGCCCGAGTTATGCATCTCGACCAATCTAATGCCCGAGTTACGCATCTTGACTAGTCTAGTGCTTGAGTTATGCATCTCAGTTAGTTTAGTACTCGAGTTATGCATCTCGGCCAACAAACTCTCGAGTCTTGCACCTTGGCCAATATAGTGCTCGAGTCATGTATATCAGTCAATCCAATGCTGAGACATACATCTCGACCAGTCCAATGCTCGAGTTATGCATCTCGACCAGTCCAGTGCCCGAGTTATATACCTCAGTCAATTAATATCAAAGTTATGCATCTCGACTAGTTCAATTAATGTCAAAGTTATGCATCTCGACTAGTCCAACGCTCAGAGTTATCCATCTCAATTAACTTGTGTTCGTACTATGAATCTCAGACATACCAGAGGCTCACAGTAACGAGTAAAGGAAATTGAGGCAGACCACTTAGCTCAAAGGGGGACCATGATAGGAGAACTCAAGCTCCCAACAAAACTGTGGACCCAGCCAAAGAAAGCACCAAGTGATGCCTCGAGCCCCTCTACAGGGAATCCGATGCATGCCTCTTGTGGGGTTTGTGGGGTGGGGGGGAAGAGAATGATAGGGCATATTTTCACATCACCCCCACGACTGCATTCAGCTACCATTTCAACAGCTGATGTGGCACCCCGAGGCTGATGTGACACCCACATGCACATCGACATGGCACCTTGGAATTGTACGAGATAACAGACTGCACTTACGTCATCAGCGAAGACTCGTACAATACAAGCGACTACGCCTGTGTCGCCCGAGGCTGTATAGGGCGATGCTGCACAGTGCAGAGTCGCTCGGGAAGGCGTGAAACGACATGGCATGGTGCAAAGCCATGCAGGTCGGTTAGCGTCTACGTGAAATACACGAGCCCATCGCTTGGAGCGTCGATGACCATTAACGAACCAAGTACGATCAACCCTAGAACGCAAGTATAAAAATCGGCCTATCGGCTAGCCCAAGGGTTCGGATCTTAGACACTTAAATCTACCCCATCACTACTATACTAACATAAACTTCGGAAGGGTCGAGTCGGGATTCCCTCTCCCGACTTTGGCTTGTGTGCAGGAGCCCAACAAGAAAGGAAAAGCAAACCCTAACTCTACTTTGAATTGGCTCGACAGACGACGTCCCAACCTGACATCACATCGACTCTCTCCAACCAAGAAACCATGTTGATGACCTTATGCACTGAGATCGGATCGAATCGTACTGACAACTCGGCCACGGTGTGAGGATGATCGGTATCACGTTTTCTGATGCACCTTTGGTTTCTTCCCGTGCAATGAAATCGAATGCGATCGAAATCTTACGACATAAAGACTAAGTAAGAACAGGTTGAATCAATCCAACCGCTTCCTCGATCCAATTGAATCGATCAGTTTGCTTAGAAACTTTAGAACAAGTGTTCTAACATGCCAAAATTATCAAAATGAGGATTTATAATTTATAAAATTCCTAGAATTTCATGATTAAATAATCAAAACATATTTCTAAAATATAATATCATAATTCTAAATTTAAAATGAGATGGATCTTGAAAATTCTAAAATAAATAACCTAATTTTAATTTTAATTTAATTTATTGGGGTTTCTACGGTGGGACCTGGATCGACCCGCCACGTTAGCCCTCGTACCCGACCTGCTGAGCGCAAACCCAAATCGACCATTCTCGTCGATCCCCCGCAGACTCTTCGCCCTCCTCTCCAGCTCGATGCGTTTCACCGACTCGCCGGTGGTGGAACTCCCCGTGGGCGGCGCCGTCCTCACCTTCGAGCAGGACAACGGCTCCATGCACGTCGGGACCTCCGTCTGGCCCTGCTCCCTCGTCCTCGTCAAGTTCGTCGAGCGGTGGCTCCCCCGCCCCGACGCCGCCGTTAACCCCTACGCTGACCTCCTCCGCTTCCCCGGCAAGCGGGCCGTTGAGCTCGGCTCTGGATGCGGCCCCGCAGGCCTCGGTCTCTTCCTCCTCGGCCTCGACGTCATCCTCACCGACATCGCCCCCGTGATGCCCGCCCTACGCCGCAACCTCAAGCGCAACCGCCCTGCCTTGCCCCGGGCCCCCAAGCACGCCCAGCTCTACTGGAACAACCCCGGTCAGATCAGGGCCCTCCGACCGCCCTTCGATCTCGTGGTCGCCGCTGACGTGGTGTACATGGAGGACTCCGCCGCGCAGCTCGTGACAGCCATGGAGGCTCTCGTCGGGGACGACGGTGCCGTGCTGCTGGGTTACCAGCTAAGGTCGCCTGACGCCCACCAAGTGTTCTGGGATTTGTGTCGCCAGGCATTCCCGGCCATCGAGAAGGTCCCGCATGAGGATCTTCACCCAGATTACGCCTACGAGGAGACGGATGTCTATATACTAAGAAAGAGGAAGTAAATTGGCAACCATAAAACAGTGGTGATTTGATCTGTTCCGGGTTTAGCGACAGGTCCGTTCTTTTTCTTCTTGATGATATCTCTTATTCGAACGCAATCATGACATTTCATCGATCAAATTTTGTGTATTTTAAATTGAAATCTTAGTTGTATCACCTTCTTGCATCTTTAGTAAGATTGACGAGGTGCAATGAATTACTCAAACTAGCCAAGTCAAACATGGTTTCTCTTTTGTGCAATGAAGGAAGCAGAAGTTACCGTAGCAGCTTACAAGAATCAGTCTAAATATCGGTTCCAGTGAGGAAGTATGCTACTAGGAATAAGTGAGAAACACTAGTACACTAAGAATGGTGAAGTTCGCCGTAAAACAACTATGCTTCTTAGGTTCCAAGCTTATGTTGGTGGACATAACAGTCTCTGCATAATCTGTTTCTTCTTTTCTTTTATGTTGTACCTTATGATGAGTCAGTTATATTAAATTGTTCTAATATTATAGACCTTTAGTTTGTGTTCATCATTTGAATATGTTCTCAACCAAATACAAACTGCCTTCCATTAATTGAATAGGCTTTTCATATGATCATGTATATTAATTGTTTGGGTAAACTATTATACTATCAGGATTAACACCGTATCGGAACTTTCAAGTTCTGCATTTTCACTACTCAGCAATCAGCTTGTCTCAAACTGCATATTCTTCCTAGTGTCTTAGTAATATGATCTTGATTTATACTGGAGGATATGGATAGAGCCACTATTTAGGTTTGGCCTACAGCTTCAACTAAACATTAAGAACACTATAAGAGTATGTATATCTAGTGCATCAGCTATGGAATCTTAGATTCATGTAATAACATTGACCTTCCCTAAACTTTGCCGGGAACTCTGTAAACAAGTCCAGAGAGTATGTATATCTAGTGCATGAGCTATGGAATTTTTGATTCATGTAATAACATTGACCCTCCCCAAACCTCTGTTGCCGCGAACCCTGTAAACTAGTCCAGATGTATTATATATATAACTATCTATTTTATCCTGCCAATTCCTGATTGTGGGTCATTTCCTCTTAACTTTCATTGTTCGTGTGAGTCTGTACCTTGTTCATTGGTTCCTCAATGTGGGTAAAACATGTTGTTCTTGAAGAATGAGATGTTTAGCTGAATTTTGTTGAAGCATTTAGAGATGCTTCTCTTTATGTGAGACTAAAGCTAGCTAGGATTGTTCAGGCACAATCATTGAAGCATCTCATAAAATGTTTTAGCAGTTTAGCTCTGTTTTCAAAGATGTCTAAATGGTTTTAGCATCGACCAAGAAAATATTATGATTCATAGTTGTTTGACCATGGTGATTGCATTTCCATTTTGTGCTATCGAAGCCTGTATGCAAATGTACAACCAATTCCAAAGAATCCTTTGATGTTTTAGTACAACAAATCATCTAATTTACTTAGATAATCTATTAATGAAAGTTAGGAATAAAAGAAGGATTTGGCAAAATGATGACAAGTCCAATCTAAACATAATTTCTCTAAAATTTGAATCTAAACTGAGCTAGTAAGCTCATATGTTAAATGCTTGTGTATCTGTGCATTGCTAGTTCTTGAGTTATTATCTTGACTTGTTTGTTACATATCTTCTGTCATTTAGTCCATTGTTATGTTTCTTCTTCTGTTTAGTTCATATTTTCTTTGTGCTTTTAGTTCTCATTTGTAAAGTATGAGGGATGAGTATTATCCTAGTGATTCTCTTCTGGTTAGGACTTTGGTCCAATCCCTTGGTCTCTTAATGTTTCATTTTTAGTTGATCTGCCACTGAAACCTTGGGGTCTTTGTTTGTTTCTCAAAACTAACAACTTCTGTAGATTTGATAAGATGGGACTCTCAAGCTTCTATACTTGAAAAGTCAACATTTCTTTATCATTCATAAAGGTTTAACATGGTCCTACATGACATTATCGGCCATTCCTTATGGAAGATCTTGAAATACCATATGAAGATACCATATGATATGTGGATTAACATCCTTACTGAAGCTTTACTATGTATTTATTTTTTGTCATTCTCTCAAGACAAGTGATGTTGTTCTGGTTGTGTTCATCATAACATGACAGACCGAAATGTTACTCTTTTGGTTGCCAGCTTGTTTGTAATTTTGCGTAGAGTCTAGGCAGCATGATAAAGCTAATATTCATTTTCGTTGCCTTTTTGCATTTGTTGCATACAAATTGGTGATAACCATTTTCTTGTTCCGCAGACCATGGAGTTGATTTGGAGCTACATTTGGTGCTATTTAAGAAATGCTGCCATGAGAGTTAGTGAGAGACTATGCTTTATAGAGAAAAACTTGTTTAATTGGAAGATTTGAGAAATCTGGATTCTCTAATTTCTGACAGGAGGCATCTACTGCAAAATAGTTCCTTGAAAATATTCAATCTGAGAATCGCTTACATGTACTTAAATCATTCACTGGTATAACCTTTGAGCTTGTCACCGGTGTGAATGTATACGCAGATTTTACATGTGCAACCTGTGCAGGAGATTGACTTTCAGAACCTAACCTTTTGTGATCCAAAAGCACAGCAGGGAAGGGTCAACCCACAAAGTTTCTTGTGTGATGCAGATTGTAATAATTATCATGTCAAATCTTCAGCCAGCATACCTGGTCATCTAATATCCAGCATTCTATGTTCGGTAAGTACTTCTGAGTAATCTCCCTGTTGATTGGATTTGAGAAAACCCAACTGTTGGTCCAAAATTATTGGGTTGGTGTTGGATATTGCATTATGATAATTCTAAGAACCCATGCATGTGACATTTTAGCCAATTCAGCGTTGTTTCATACTTATGTCGGTGTTTTTATGAAGATATTTGTGAATATGGATAATTATGATGTTCACCCGTGTTTGATGGTGAAACCAGAAGTCAGTCTGCTTGTCTTTGCACTCAAAAGAAGTTGTTTATGATCCTTGACGATAGTAGATGGAAGCATTTGTATCTGCACTATGTATCCACTTTACAAGACAAATTCCCTGGCGGTGAGCTAGTCGTTTATCTCGTTGATTTATGCAACTTATAGACAGTGTTTCTATAATTAACATTTCCTTGACTTGTTTGGCTGTTTTCTATTCCTTTTTTTGCGTATGACTTGTTTGGCTGTTATATACTATGGTAAGTAACTTTACTAGTTCATATTAGCTTGAATGCTGATAGATAACACTGGTGGTGTCAACACTCATGCTGTATGTTTGCCAGTCTCTTTCTTTCCCTGAAGGATCAGCTCAGCCACCGCCATGAGCACTACAACAGTGGAAATGTTGGAGACAGAAGCAAAAGGCAAATAGAGAAGGATAAGGTCTGTCCATTGAAACTTTTCCTTCAATTTTTGCTGTCGTGTATGTGTGTATGATTTGCATAAGAAAGGGACAGACAAATGGGTTCCTTGTGGCCATATCATGTTAGTGGCGGATCTCCATACACACAATACGAGCATAAGATAGTATAATTATGTTTGTTTAGGTCTTGATATGACAGATTGCCCATCACTCACTATGTTATATCTTATGCTGTGTTGTCAGTGGTTCATTTACGCCACCCACTATCCTGCAGAGTTTCTCGCCTTTTAAGGTCACTGTGTTTTGGTCTGTGTTTTGCTAAATCAGTTCTCTTCATCGTGAAAGAGACGTGATTGAGGCTGCCTTATTCTGTCTGATGATTCTTATTATAATAATAATCTTGTAATGGTGTTTACTGCTCGAGTCGACAATTATAATCTCTCTATCTACAAGAATAAGATATCCCTGTGAGCCACGTTGTTGCGACTATTTGCACTAAGTCTCCTTAATCTTAAGATGCATTAATAAATAATATTAAGATAATATTCATCCCATTCTTTTTCGAGGAAGAGAATAAAACCTAACAGCGTACCAAAAAATACAAGAATAACGAAGCACGTGCGTGACACGTGACCAGAGTCCGTAGGGTCATATCTCACGCGGCCTTCATTGTAACTAAAATAATGGAAGGAAACCACGGCGTGGATCCGATGCACTGCCTATCCATTCCCAGCCCGCAGTCTTCACTCCAAAGCCGTCGGCCGGTGCAACGCTGTCACCATTCACAGGTCCTCCAAACAAATTTGTCCTCATCGCGCTTCCCCCACATGACACAACGCCATTACATCGCTTCTTCTCTTCTTCAATTTCGCGATCGACGCGACTGCCGCTTCCTTGGTTTCTTCTCCTCCTTGGTGTTATAAGATCAAAAGACAATGCTTCTGCTTCGATCCCACCGCTTCCTCCTCCCTCGGTGCCTCGCCTACTCCGCCTTCGTCTCCTCTTATAAAAGTGCCCTTGGGAGCCCCCTTCCTTCCCTTCCTAGACGGCGCTCCATGGCCAAGTACGGCACCTCGGCGTCGCCCTCGCCCTCGAGGGTCCTCCTCCGTCAGCTATTCGAGAAGGAGTCCAGCACCTACACTTACCTCCTCGCCGATCTCGCCCACCCCGACAAGCCTGCCGTGGCGAGTGCCGCTCTGTGATCCTTCTCCTTTTCTGTGTTTAGGTTCTCTGATCGGCGACTCGGATTGTTGCTTCGATCCTTGATGCATCTATCATCCGAAAATTGATTGAAAATTTGGGTGTTAGCTTTTCCGGATATCTATCGTCTCCTAATCTCCTATTCTCTTTCAATTTCCTTTTTTTTTTAGTTTATTAGATAAAAGGTTTTTGTCTTCCTTCGATCGAGATGAAGTCACATTTCAATCTCCTAATTTATTTCAACTGTGCTCTAATATATTCGATACCATAATACCAAAATATAATTAGTTCATGTGTTGCTGTTCAGTCTCATCAATGTTTATGTGCTTTGGATTGCTTTTCAGTTGTTTGATAATTCACATTAACGATAGTGCGATATTATGTGGTACTGACCTTTTGCTGCATAGAGTTAAAAGGTCAAATCTGGGACATCTTCAGCCCTTAAGATAATTATGCTGCATGTTACCGAAGTATGGCATTTACGTCTTGAGACATCTATTTTCCTGCTCTCTGGATTACTTATATTTGTAGCTCGATTGAATGCACAACAAACATGCAGACCAATCTATTGTTAATTTTTTGCCGAAAAAGAATCCATAGTGAAACAGTAAATGCAGGCGCTAACTTGAGCATAATATACACTGTTCATTGTGGATCACTTTGGGTGACAAATAAAATGCATTTGGATGCTTCGGCAAAGATCATCATGATCATCTAAAAAATATATGTATTTCTGGATATTGAATGTCTTAGATGAGTTAAATACAGATAGTTGATCTGCACCGAATCATGTGCCAATTGCCCACTGCTTTGGTTAGACACTAACTTGGATATTGCAAATGGAAATAGGCACTAGTGTTGTATAATACAGTTTTCACAAGAGAGCTCCAATGTGAATCACTTCATTCTGGTAGTCATTCAGACTAGTATGTTTACAAGGAGCATATCTTAACATCTGCATATTGATCATTTGTATCTAATTGTTATGCCAATTGATGAACATAATGATTCAAGCTTAAAATTACTAGATAATGTGTCTTCTTAATGCAGATAGGACTAAATGATGAGTGGAAAAGTGTGATAATTATTTGGATGTGTGATATATATATATATGTATGTATGTATGTATGTATGTATGTGTGTGTGTGTGTGTGTGTATGTGTATATATATATATAAGTATATATATGTATATGTATCTGTATATGTATGTATGTGTATATATATATATATGTATATATCTGTGTATATATATGTATATGTATCTGTATATTGATGTATGTATATGTGTGTGTGTACACTAAAAATAAACTGATTCTAAGCATATACCAAACTATCATTAGCAATTGGAAAGCTATTAGAACATCTTTGCATATGGAGAAACCTTGGTATCATCTGTTCACCATTTCTTGTGTGATTTGGGTTAGATGACAGTCTTTCGTCTCTCTGTCCTTTTTTTTCTTATCCTTTCCTATTATAAATCTAGATATTTGTGGTCTAAATTCCTGTAAATTACATATTTAGAAATCTAGATGTTCGGTTGAGTAGATGATGCATCTAATGTGACGCACAACTTATAAAGATTGTTATGCAAGAATATTTGCAAAACATTTAGTTTGTATTGATGAAGTTGTAAATTGGATTATTTGTTGGTTGTTTCACTTAAAAACAATGAACTTGTACCGATTGCTAGTATGAAGAAAGATTATCTAGTTAATTATGTTTCAAGGAAGTATCTTGTGCATAAGTCGTGTCACATAACCTGACTTCTGCCATTTTGCTCTTATGTTTCGCCAGGTCAATTTAGGAACTCTTTGCAACTTATGCTTGGTTCTGAGGTTAACTAAATTAAAAAGCTTACTAAATAAGAAGCTAAATTCTATCTCCCTGTATCTACATATAACTTATGTTCACAACTTTTGTTGAATATTGTCATTTGTGGTCTATCTGTGTGCTTTCTTTTATTGTGTGTTTGACTTGGCCTAGTTTTCTGTACTTTAGTTGGACCTCTCTATCGTTCACTAGTTAAAACATTTGCTTCATATTCACATTGTTTTCCTTCTCTGCTAAATGGTTTCATGTCTTTTTGTAGCTGGTTGATCCAGTAGACAGAACAGTTGACCGAGATATATCTCTTGTAAAAGAACTGGGGCTAAAACTCATCTATGCTGTGAATACCCATGTCCATGCTGATCATGTCACAGGGACAGGTTTGATAAAGGTAAATCCCAATTCATGTATCAATCTACTTCATCATTCAACTTGTTATTTCACGAATATTGTACAGTAAAGAAAAGTTAGATTGGCTACGTATTGTACATATTTGTACAGATGTATACCTACTGATATGCACGATGCATGCTCATACACATATTTTATACAGGATGATAATTTTGATCTATGTATTAATTGGCAATATTCCTTGCAGAAAAAGATGCCAGAGGTAAAGTCTGTCATATCAAAAGTTAGCAATGCAAAAGCAGATCATGTGGTTGAACATGGTGATAAAATATATTTTGGTGATCTTTTTCTAGAGGTAGGGCCATGTTGCCTCTGATACAGATTAGTAAGTTGAGTCAATTCTCCTCTTGTCAATTTGTTTGGTTCCTTTTGAATATGACTTCACAAACATATCAATATATGATATATGTGTAATAAATTATATATGTTAACCTGTTCTTGGGTTGATTATGCTGAATTATTTTGTTCAATGATGGAGTAACTGAGGGACTTTAGATGATGTTTGCATGCTAATCTTGATTCAATCAACAGATTCCTGACAGTGTATGGCTATGATGATTATGGTCCAATAAAATCTTCACATTTTTCACAAATGCACAATTTTAATGATTTGTAAGAGCATTGCAATTCCTCATATAAGGATTAAGCTGACATGCACTATGACAAGATAGTGTGGAAATCACAAAGCAGGACCTTGATGTGTGGCAAGAAACCAGTGATGTATTTTGATGCTATTTATAGAGACAATTTAGAAAAATGAATGAGCAGCATGTCCAAGTAGTATTTAGTGTACCACACATGTAGCTTTTGGTGATTAATGCACCAAGTTTTTCTTGTGGGATAAGCATTTAAATCGTATGATCTTTCTTGGTTTTCCTGCATATATATGCCTTTGAGTATGTAGTACCACAAGGGTAATTTGGATTAGCTTTAGTAATGTACTAAAGCATATACATAAGTGTGCAATAATCCATCATTTTGAAGGGTTTACATGTAAATATTAACTCTACAGAGATATATATGCTACCAATTTTGAATATTTAATTGTATGCATGCTAATTGTGCCATAAAAGATAGGTTTCTTGAAGAAATAAAGCCATTTACATGTCATTATTTATCTGGGCATAATTGTTACCAACAAGTTTTCACTTAAACTCATCATTTATCAGCTAATATAAATTGTATAAAATGTGTAACAAATTCATATATGGGAACACATATAATCGGATACAAATATGGAAAAGTGTGGGTTGTCATTTGGACAACCTGTCATGTAGATACTGAATGACTGGATGCACCTTCAGCCTTGGAAGATAAGGTTATAGCCTCTTTCCGGACCTGAATACACAAACATGTGTAAAAAAGCTGTCATAGTGTTTGGCTTATTACTAATCTAAATTGATCATGCTAGCAGAAGAAATGTCTTTTTTAATGATAACCCCAGTAAGAGATCCTTCTAGACATATATGAATTAGTACAATCGGACTGCTTCTACATTTAAGATCATTTTGGTGCAAAGTATGTTTTCTAAAATGGTAAATTTTGCAGGTGCGTGCCACTCCTGGTCATACTCAGGGTTGTGTTACCTATGTAACAGGAAATGGACCTGATCAGCCTTATCCGAGGATGGCTTTCACTGGTGATGCTTTGCTGATTCATGGCTGTGGAAGGACAGATTTTCAGGTGCATAGGCTCATTCTTCTTCCTTTTCTTCTGACACCAAACATCTACTGTCTATGAATAACTTACTTTTATCTCGGATATTAGATAAAAGCACTTTGAATATGATAATCACACAATGCACTATCCTGAGTAACTAGATGACTGATTAGATTTTCATTGTGTTCAAATCTTTAAATTGTAGTCGAGAGTCTTGAGAAGTTTGATCTGGTGCACAATCAATTTTGATGCCCATTTATTGTATTCTAATTGTTAGTGAAACTTGGTTGTTTTCCTGTGCAAAAGTTTAGATGAAATGAATGATAACATCAATTATCGTCCTTCAGTTTTTCTGGGTGGAGGCTTGGTTTCTCTCGAAGAGTTTACTAGCCCATTTCTCAAGTTCCACTCAATTGTTGAAGGCCATCTATTTGTATCACCTTAGTTAAGTTAGCTCTTGATGCCTTGATGGTTAGGTTAGAATTACATGGTTGTTATCTAGTTACATCTCATTGGTAACTATTACTATGATACAGTTCAATTAGAAACACTAAAAATATAACTTGTCATGCTAGTGCTTGCTTTGATGTAGAGCACGTGAGATGGATTGCATGAGAGTGCAATCTGTTATCTCACTGGTTAATTTGGCCATCCAATTTTGTGCATCACACAATATTTTCATTTACCTCGTATCATGTTTATTGGAAGCAGTGCATTCCACTTCTTATCCTATTTCATGGATGAAGCTTAAATTCCATGATCCATCTTACAGGCGGGAAATTCGCGACAGCTCTACCAATCAGTCCATTCACAGGCAAGGAACGAATGTTTATGTGGCACATTTCAATGCATGTTGCACATGTATTAGCAGTTCACTGATGACTTTCTCTGCACATCTTAGATATTCACATTGCCAAAGGAAACTCTCATTTATCCTGCTCATGACTACAAAGGCTTCACTGTAAGCAGTATCTTTGACTTACAGCCTCTGATGTATTCCTAGCTATTCACACAGCTTCTTTTGTGATGCAGGTAAGTACAGTTGGAGAGGAGATGCTCTACAATCCTCGGCTAACAAAGGATGAGGTAAATTCTTAATCAAGCAACCCCCTCCCCTTCTAATCTATTTTGGAAAACCACTCAAAATCTTAATGACGGTCTATATTTGTGATACCACTTACCTTCTGTTAAGATGAAATTATTTGCATGAATTCATCTGAAGAGTGAAAATTGTGCTATGATTAAACTTATTATTCTACTTCATTAATAGTCTGCTTCTAAGCAAACGTATCCTCTGTAATAACTATTCTCTGGGTTTTGTTTTGTAGGAAGCATTTAAAAGCATCATGGAAAGTGAGTGGTTTGATCATCTTTTTCACAAGTTCTTACGACCTCTTGCAGCAAACTTTCAGCTTCTAAATGAGCTCAGTGTTGCTCTTCTTTTACTTCTTGCTCAGATCTGAAGTTGGATTACCCTAAAATGATGGATGTCGCTGTGCCAGCCAACATGGTCTGTGGGCTCCAGGATCTACCTACAAAGGCCTAAGCATCATCCAGACGGGACTGGTGGATTAGTCTCCTCAAATCCTATGGGAGTGGATGGGAGCAAACATCCCCTATTTCTTTATCAATAAAATGCTGCTTAAGAGTTATTCTATGCGTAAATGAATGGTAAATGTAACCTTAAAAGTTACACAGTGTTGGCCTTCATCTATCATGGAGCAGCCATGTAGAATTCAAGAAGGCTATGTTGTAACCCACGGATATCATGATTCGGTCTTTACTTCTTGTCCCATGTTTCCCACTTCAGTAAATAGCTTTGTTTCTTTGTTATCAGGCGTGTCTAATTTATTACTAGAAGGGCAAGATTTTGAAAAGCTTCTTCTTTTGGATATTTTTCGAGAGATATCTTTGTTTTCATTTTCGGAGATGGTACTTCTATATCCGATAATATCTTTAATGTCCTTTATTGTCTCTTGTTGTTTCTGCCCTTATCATCGTGCGTTTGTCAATTATGCTCGTCATTTTGTGCTTGTTACCTCTTCCCTCGTTCTTGTTCTCCTTTGTTGTTATTGTTGTGCTCTCAATTGTCGATGTCCCTAGGGGAGGTTGATGCTGTCATCGTACTAGTGTTGGAAGGTGGTGTTAATGTGGATGATGGGCATAGGCATTAAGGAGTGTGAGGACTAGGGTGGATCTTTGTGATGCTTTAATAACGACGAACAAAGACAAAGACGAGGACGGTAGCGATGGATGAGAGCATTTTGTTATTATCAAAAGAGCTTTAGTGGTGGCAATGACAGATAAGAGGTATTATACGTATTACATAAAATTAATGACACCATCTGAAAAAAAAAAGAAAAAAAAGAAAACAGGGCACCTTTAGAAAATAATAAAAGCCTAAAAAGAGAACTTTTTGAGGAAAATCTCCCGTATTGGATATGGGCCAAATAAGACAGTTCTACCGATCATAAAATATACGAATAAACATTCGTATATGTAGCTGTCCAAGGAATACACGACTTTTGAGACGTACATAGGCTGATATAACGGTACTCCGAGACCCTTTCTACGATGGATTGTAACGCTTCTGGTGAAGATATATCGGTATACTTGTCACATAACGGCTCCGCATAAATGTAGGATCTCAGGGGTGGTGTTCCTCCCGTTTTCGCGAAACCAGAAGCCTTTGGCGAGAAAGACGATGAGCTCCGGAGAAGGGAAGAGCCGAGGAGCCATGGCCGATCCTTCGTCCCACCACCCTCAGCAAGCCCAGCCCCAGCCCCAACCCCAACCCCAACCCCTGCAGTTCCAGTCCCCTTACGGCACCTTCGGCGTCCCCGACTACTCCCAGCCCGCGATCGGGTTCCCGCAGCCGGTCGCTCCTCCTGGCGTCGGCGTCGGCGTCGCCCCCTCCGCTCCAGCTTATCCTCCTTATTCCGCCGCCCCTCAGTATTACGCCCATGGCTACCAAGTCGTTCCAGGTATCGAATCTCTCATGATCCTTCCCGAATCTCTGTTATCTGTGAAGTAAAAATCCGTAGCACGTTGAGTTTGATCTTATGTTGCTGTCGCGTTAGTTTGATATGTTTTTCCTTGAGGATCGGTTAGGTTTACAGATTTGTGCCGTTGCGGATGTGATACGATGCAATTCTTCTAGCTGATATTTATGGTCAAATGGAATTTGATTACGGGAGGCCTTGAAATGAGGGCATTTCTGCTAGAAAACCTAGGTTATTGAGGTCGACCATTGGGACGAGTCCCACCATGAAATTTGAGTTGAGCAAGAGCAATCTGTTCCTGAGAGTTTGTATGATTGATCTTTCATGTTTCTCCACTGAAAAATATGGCTACCATGTTTATTGCCTCTTTTCTAATAAATTGCTTCACTAAAATAAATCGATTTCAATTTCATATTAAATTGTGTTTTATAAAGAATATGTTTTAGATGGAGATGATCTAGATTTATTTGGACAAAATGGTAATTTTAGGTTGGGCTTGAATCTTTTGCCACTATTTCATGGATCACAAAATGCCAAACAAAGATAACAAATACATTGCAATGTTTGTATGTCTTATTTGGGGTAGAAGCATTAGGTGTATCTGTGATGCCCATGCTAGTTAAGTATTTATTGTGTAGATTGATATTTTAAATTTATAGTAAGATACTTAACTGGACCATATGTTTTTTGTGGTGCATCTTTAAAATGTTGCTCTCGGTTGTTATAGCTTTTAAGTTTTTTTCTATATCAATATGTGAAAGTAACATATGTTAGACTTGGTTTTTTTAATTGGATGCACATTAGCATATTATTCCATTGCTTTAAGGCTATGCTGGAGTTGCTGAAGGATGGCCATTAAGGTTGCGGCGTCTTCCCTGTTGTGGTCTGGGTCTTGGCTGGTTTCTGTAAGTTAACATATATTTTATTATGGTGCTCTCTAAGGGTCTAATTTTTCAAATTCTGTAGCATTCTAGCAGTGTTTTCTGGTGATAATTAAGATACATATAGTCTAACTTTTGATTAACATGGCTATCATAACATGTGTCATGCTTGAAGGTTTATCACTGGCTTCTTTCTTGCTGCTGTTCCTTGGTACATCGGAGCATTCTTTCTCCTCTTTGTTAGAGTTGACTACCGAGAGAAGCCAGGTTTTGTTGCTTGCACTATCGCAGTAAGTGATCATTAGTAATAAAAGTTACTGTGTTAAATTTGCATATTATGCCTTGGTTGCTGCTTGCATGCTCAGATTGTTTTGTACACTTGCAAGTAGTATATGGTTGGTTGTTGGATTTTGCTTGCCTATATACATACATGAACCTGAATTTGCTCACCATATATGTCACTTAGTTTATGTAGTATATTTTTAGCCTACTTTTATATTTGTTATTACATCTTGTATATGCATAGTGCATGTAACACGTGATATTAAAATTTCTAGAAAGACATGGAGGATGATGGACTTAGCTATGTGTTAGCTTGGAAATGCGCTACTTCATAAAGATTAGTGTTGGTCAGTTCAAATTTTAAAGTTTCATGAAGAATTGTTTTCTCAAAAGATATGATGGGAATAAATACTCTGTGCAGTATTTTGGTGGAAGTAATGATTCTATGAAGTATCTTGACTAAAAATGCCTGAAAAGGTTCAATTATTTCATGATGAATCAAATAATGGTATTAAAACCAGATTTGGTATCATGACTCAACTTGATTGACCAACTGACCAGTATGTTGAAGACCTGAAATCATGTGGCCTAAAAGTCCGATGGAATCCATCCAATCCTGGTAAACCATCATAATGCTCCTCTCACTTAGCCATCCTTGTTTCTGATTGTTAATTGATTGAAGGTAGAGTTTAGATTCCATTGTTTACCAAGGAAATGATGACTACATTCTTCCATGTTTCATTTAGATCCTGCCCACCAGACTAAACGCGATAACTTACTGATTGCTGAAGCTGGACAAGATTCTGCATTGTTTAGTTTTACAAAACTTTCACGTGTCCTACTCGGGGGTACATTTGAAGACATTCAATATTCGTAGAGGTGGAGGATTTTTCCTCTCAACTGGACAAATTTTCTAGAATCTTTTCTTAGTGATATTAAAGTGCGCCTCAAGCCTTGGGTGTATAAATTCATGGATATCATGGCAGCATCATGTAATCAATGATAAAATTTGTGTTAATCTTTAAAGTTTTAGAATCACAAGGAAACAGTGGTGAAAATTTAAGAAATGTTATTGGCAGTTATGAGGTGTCATGTGGTTTTTTTTTATGTTTTGGCATACAATTTAGCTGTTCCCGATAAACTCTCTTGTCAGGTTTATTGGTCACAATGCGATAGCATAGTAATAGGTTTTGATTTGAAATTTGGTCATTCTGGTATGTGAATTAGAAACTCGGTACATACTTTGAAAGATCTGTAAGAATTTGTTTTGCTCGTGCATCCTTTGTGCTTATGTACTCGGTTCTTTCTCAAACGTAGCCATTCCTTCCTATATAAATTTTAGAGAAGCATATGTTTTTATTGATCAAACGCTTTGATTATGGACAGGCTGTTGTTTTTGCAATTGCGGTTATTCTTGGGTTAACAAAAGAAACTGATGCATGGTGATTGGTGTTCAAACCTCAGCTGGATTTGGGTAATCTATGCCTTGTCCAAGCCTTGTAATAGACAAAGTTGATCAACCAAAATATGAAAGATGCTACATCTCTTATCTGGGCTTGTAAATTTACTTCTGATGATCAAACTATTTATGTCTATTATTCATCCTCTCATGCTTATTGGCAGGAAATGATTCAAGTAGCCATCCCATGCAGCAGGGACATTAATTGACCATAATGATATGCTTTCTCTCAGTATTTGATTTTTTTCAGTTTTTTTATGACCACCAGAATATATTTCTCCTCGGTGGCATGAGCTCAGTTTGCAACAGAAAAGATGCAACAAAGCAGTCTATTGGATTTTCACATTGTCCCGTCTAAATTTGACCCTTTGGGAGCTCAGCATAACTTTAGATGGCTGTTTTTAACTCTAGAATTATGCAGATTGTTTACTATCTTTAGGCAAGGAAAAAGGTTTCACTAATACCAGAGAATGCAGTTTTGAATGAAGACACGATGATCAGGTCACGGTGAAATTTTTGTTCAATGTAGCTCAGTGACAATGATCTCGTAATAAAGAATGTATGAAATGTTTCAGACTGCGTTGGTCTTTCTGTGCTACTGACTGGCGCTGATTGATTGAGAGGGATCGAGAGGGCAAGTTTAAGCAGTTCATCGCCTAGTCAGATTATGTTTTCAGCAAAGGTATGGTTGCTTGCCACTGTGATTGATAAATACGTTAACTGACATCGGTTTGGGAAGATTTCATATCAGCCAGCTTATTATAACGGGTTTTGATAGTTATTGAAATCAAGTATTAACAATCTCGACTGGTTTTTTGGTCTAATTTCTCGTTTCCATATTGATTTTAGCATATTAAAAGTTTTAGAACATTTATGTCCACTGATGCCTTGGTCTTGTTTAAATATATATCTGTCCTACAACATATGTCCTAATCGACTATATATATATATATATATATATAATAAGGAAAACGTGCACCATGGTAGTTCAAGCATAAGATGGAGGCTACCCTCCGCTTGTTCATACATGTGGGCACATAATTATTGACTGTTCTTTTTGTCACATGATAAAAAGGTTAAGAAGAGATTGTTAAAGGTGGTTAGAGGTAATTTTTTATTAAAATATTTTATCTTTTTATGATCATATATAAAAGCTCATCTTTAACACAACGAAGGGAGATCACTTTTTTTTATCACTCATGTCCATAT